CCCCCCCCGGTCGCCCGTTGAGAAATAGCGCTCGAGAGAGACAGAGGAAAGAGAAAGAACGTACTCTGCAAAACCGGCACCCCCGATTCCCCACCTTCCACAAGCCCCACCCTCGATTCCCTCAACGCCCTCGCCAGAGGACCGCGGGTGAAGAAGATGGCTTGCATATCCGGAAAGATATTATCTACATCTCCACATCAGCTTTTTTCGAGTAAAAAAGAATGAATGAGAAAGAGAAAGAGAAGGAGAAGGAGGGGACTTGCCATAACCATGATTACCATACGGTTTGTAATCTCTTTTGTGTATCACCTCGAATTCATGCTACACCCACCCAAGTCAGCCCACAACCCCCATCCCATCCTCTTCCCCACCCCCACCCCCCCAGCCCCGCAAGAGAAAGAAAGAAAAGAAGGACTCACACGATCCGTAATCCCCCACCCCAAAGTCGGTACGACCCAAACCCCAGCAATCCTCCCCGACTTGCTGAAATGCCATCTCCCCGGCATACTTTGACGCGTATACACGCCAAAGGTACCGTTCGACTGGGCGGCGGCGTTTTGGAGGGTTGTAATATGGGCCGATAAGGTGGATGGGGGGAGGGAGGGGTTGAATCGGATGCCTACTGAGGGCCAGCCTTTTGGAGTATCTTAGCTGAAGAAGAAGAAGAAGAAGAAGAAGAAGAAGAGAGAGAAGGGAAGAGAAGTAGCGTACCGTCTTTGTGTTCTATATCCTTCATGCCTTCGCCCAAGATGTCATCCAAGAAAACAAGCCTATCATTACTCGTCCTCGTCATGCCTTCCCCACCCATCAGCCCTCCAAATCCTAACCATATCCCAACCCGAAAAAGAACTCACCATGATCAGACACGATAACAACATCCACAACCCCCGTCAAATTCCTCCCTTCCAACCCCCGCACCAAGTCCCCAACCATCCCATCCAACGACCCCAGCGCATCTTCCACTTGCTCGGAATCCGGTCCATGAGCGTGGCCAGCTTGGTCGATCTCGGGGAAATAGGAGGCAATGAATTCTGGGCGGTGGGAGAGGGGGAGGTCGAGCCATTGGAGGATTTGATCGACTTTTGGAGAGGGGGCGAGGTTCTGTTTGTTGGGGGTATTAGTGAGAATGAGGGGAAAGAGGAGGTTGAGGGACTTGCGCGGTATGGTACAAAGTAGCTTGCTGACACGCCTTCAGACGTCACAGGCGGTCCCGGCCTATCAACCCCCCATCAGCACCCCCTCTCCCTCTCCCACAAAGCAGAAAGAAGAAAGAAAGACTCACCACATACTAACAGCCGCCTTCCTCCCCATCTTCTCCACAACACTCCAAACCGGCTCCCCCTTCCACCACTCCCCATCCCAACTCTTACTCTCATCCGTATACACAAACTGCCCTCCCTTGCCCCCTTGGAAGTCTGGATCCCAAAAATCATTCGCTATAATCCCGTGTTCCTCTGGGTAGAGCCCTGTCATGAGCGCCCAGTGGTTTGGGAATGTGAGAGAGGGAAAGACGGGCTGCATGCTCTCTGCTCTCAACCCCGCCGGGTGGGATGCGAGCGCGTGGAGGTTGGGTAGCAAGTCGGCGTGGGAGGAGAAGTAGGAGGGGCGGAAGCCGTCGAGGGAGATGAGGAGTGTGGTGGGGTGGTATGCGTGGGTACCGTTGGAGAGGGTGGGATGACGAGGGCTGGACGAGATGCTGTGGCTGAAGATGAGGTTGAGGATGATTAGGGTGGGTAGCAGGCAGAGTACATATAAGAGGGGCTTTGGTAGCTACAATACAGTCAACGAGAGCACTATTCCGAGTGAAGGGGCTTACTGAAAAGCCTCGTATTGTGATTCTGCCATTCCGTCGATGTGGCCCTACCGAGTGCTCCAAGACCCAAGTCTGCCTCTCCTCTCTCTCATCAATCTCAGACCGCAGCAGGCCATCTTCCTCTTCGGCGTCACTTTCCTCTCCTTCAGGATGCCGGACAGCCATCACAAGCTCCTCGCCGTCGTCGCTTGATGAAGACGAACGAGTATCGAGCGTTTCAGCCGGCGGTGGCGGTGCTCTCAGCTTGCTTTTGGGAGACATGGCGACGTCTTCAAGGTGGGGGTAGACGGCCAGCCCTGCTTTGTGATTATATGCGTTACGGATGCATAGCAGAAATCAGTCTCGACTTGTTGCGTAACAGCGCATTAGCGCATTAGCGGGATCAAATATTTCTAATACCTCCATTACAACTCCACGTTCCATCTTCTCTTTCATTTCCATCCCCTCTTGCCTCTCCATATCCCACCATGGGCCTCTCCCCCCGCTCCCTCCTCCTCCTCGCCCTCCTCGCCCTCGCCCTCCCCATCGTCTACGCCTCCTCCGGCGACCGCAACCCCACATTCCAGCACTGTCTCCGCGGCTGCTCCCTCACCTACTGCGACCCCTCCCAGCCCCCGATCCCCCTCTACCTCAGGCTATTTGGCTGGACATGCGCCGAGAACTGCGCGTATGAGTGCGCCCATAGCTTCACAGACCATATCCGCCCGGGAAGCAGATACCACCAATGTAAGTTTTAACGCGTCGGCGCGTCCGAGATACTTACGTGAGCTGTAGTCTACGGCAAATGGGCGTTCTACAGACTGGGGCCGTTCCAGGAGCCAGTGTCGATATTGATGTCTATCGGAAACCTTTACGTCAACTTGCAAGGTGTATCCGAGGTTCGTAGGCGTATACGGCCAGAGAACAAGTTGCGACCATGGCTTCTCGCAGCTGGGTATGTCCAGGTGAACACCTGGGTATGGAGTGCCGTCTTCCACGCCCGAGGTGCGTCTCTTCCCCTCTCCTCCTTCCCTCCTTCCCATCTAACACTCTTCTAGACACCCCCACAACCGAGCGCCTCGACTACTTTTCCGCCACCCTCACCATCTCCTTCACCCTCCTCTACGCCCTCCTCCGCATATTCCACCTCCAAACACCCCTCCTCACCACCCGCTTCCTCCTCCCCACCTGTGCTACCATCGCCTTCCTCGTCCTCGGCCACTTCACCTACCTCCTCTCCTTCCCCCTCGGCTCTTTCCCATACGGCTACCACACTTTATTCAACCTCGTGCTGGCCCTGGTGCACAATACAATCTGGGTCCTCTGGTCATTCTCTTTCAAATTCCCATACCCCTCCTTCTCTTTCTCTCGGTACACCCTCTCCTGGCCAAGGTCTTACCCCCCACACGACGCATACCCCTCCCCCTCCCCCTCCCAAGCCGGCACCCCCGCCCTCCTCGTCGCCCTCACAACCCTCGCAATGTCCCTCGAACTCTGGGACTTCTCCCCCTTATGGCGCCTCATCGACGCGCACTCTCTCTGGCACTTTGCCACCATCCCCCTAGCTATGGGCTGGTGGTCTTTCCTCGTGCAGGACGCTATCGAGCTTGAAGGCGCGCTCATGGGCCAAAGGGGTATGGGCGTGGGGGAGAAGCAGGAGGAGAAGGAGAAGAGACTGAGGGAGGGGGAAGTGCCAAGGACGCCGACGTTTAGGGAGTTGGCTAGTGGGAGTGCGAGGTTGGCGAGTCCGAGTCCTAGTCCCGGTGCGAGGGTGAGGGCGAGTCCGAAGGCGGAGAGGAATGAGTGAGCAAAGGGATTTGAGCGGGCTTGTGGTATGGGATGACGAGCGGTGTACAGTATAGTATAGAAGGGTAGTGCGGCAGTGTAGCAGGTCGTAGCATCAAAAAAACAGATACAGAGCCCAACAGCTCCCTCCATCATCCAAAACGATCAAATGTATCATCAATCATCCAACTTTCAACTCCACTCTCAAACCTCACTTGTGCGCAACGCCACAGTAATGCTCCAAGACTCCAAGATGCGAATGGATGGGATGGGACGAAAGAATATCATAAGGAGAAACCCCAGACCTATGTTCCTACCACATACGAAAGTTGTAAAAAATAATCAGATTAGGAAACGAAAATGAGGAAATTCGACATGGGAAAGCGTGTCAAGAGGATGACAGGATTGATTAATGGATATAGAAAAAAGGGGAGAAAGTCATAGGGGTTTTTTTTCTTTTGTTTTACGGGACCTCCACATGCAGGAACACCACTCTCCCCGAACTCGACTTTCGACTTCCGTACAGGCCCTCCATCTATGCTTTCGCCAGACATGAAAACACCAACACTCTCCTTCTTTCACCGACATGACACCCTTCCCTCAAACTCCCCAACACTCCTCATCGTCTCCTCCCCAAAGTCCAAAGTCCAAACTCCACACTACTGCCGCTCATCCACTTCTGTAACTACCACTGTCCCCCGTTTGTTCTGTACCACAACCTACTTCTGCGCTCAGTATCAGCTTTCTATCACCTAAAGATGAAGGGAGAGCGTACCTTGGACTTGGAAGAACCGACAACTTCAGCAGCGACGGCAGTAGCCTTCTCCTTGGCCTGCTTGGCTTTGGCGGCACTACGTTTCATCCCATCAGCTTTTCTTCTTCCTCGGGCCATTCATTGGTGGGGGACGTACGCCTTCTTGTAGGTGGCCTTGTAGAAACTAGGTATCATCAGTATACGTCCAAATCACAGTGCAGGGGAAGGGAAAGAGGAGGGCTCACGCAATGAACAAGAACAAGTAAGAGCTCAAAAGACCACATCCAAAGAGCGCAGCACCCTCGGATCCGGCACAATCACCGACAGTAGGCAGAGTAGTCTTGGAGGCCATGTGGGAGTAGGCTACAATCCAGCGTTAGTACCATTTCTTATGCACAACCATGGTTCCGAGCGGGGGTGGGGTAGGATGGGGGAGGGAGGAGTAAGAGGCGCGGAATGAGCAAAGGTGCTCGAACCGCTAAAGCCAGAGCGCGCGCGGTAATTGTCGTTGTGTTGTTCGCCTCCCTGCCTCCACGGGCGAGGCATGAAATCGGGAATAGGGGGAGGGGGGGAGGGGAGACGGGGGCAGGCAATGATAGACAAAAAAGAAATAAAAAGTACTTGAAGGCGATATGGGGAAATAGAGGTTGGGGTATTGGTTGTGCGTGTAACGATGAGAGAAGAGGTACGTGCTTGCGAAGAATACGATGAACAGGTCGATGACGAATTGACTGATCTGGAGGGTAGTGAGGTACTTCTTCCACTGTTACCAAGAGTGTGAGCGGAGGCCATGAGTGGGATTACAGGGAGGAGAGAACAAACCCAGATCTTGGCACCGCCAGCGGTAGCGTAGTAGTAGTAGTCTACGACAAAAGTCAGACGCGTCAGTAGATGGAAGAGAAAAGACGTACACATGATAACATGGACGAGCAAGTTGAGAGTGATGACAACCCATTGGACAGAAGTCTCGCCTTCGAGCTGAGTGTAGCAAAGGATAGCGGTAGCAGCGTGGTGGAAGACGTGGAGGAACGCTACCTCAAGTATCAGCACCCCATCACTAGCAGATAGCGATCACAAAACTCACCGAGAGGCTTTTTCTTGAGGACAAGGAAAATGGTGTCGATGAGCTCGACATACTTGAAGTAGTAGTTGACCATGTAGAAGGAGACCAATCGCTGAAAAAAAGCGTTGCCGCAAAGTCAGTACCGCGTATTGCAATATGCGGGGCATGTCCCGCCAGCAGGAAGTCGGCACTTACAGGGGTGAAAGCCTGGCAGTTGCAGATAGCAAAGAAGAAGCCATGCCTGAGGTACATGGGGATACTACAGACCCATGTCAGCACTCCTGTCGCGTCTTATACCCTAAGCGAGACACCCCAAGGGCGACGTACATCTCTTCAAGCATCAAAGCCAAAAGAAGACCAGAACCAAGGGTGAGGTAAACGTTGTGGATCTGGAAGGGGATTTGGAGCTTGAAGGCGGGTCGGTTCCTGCAGCAGAGAAGTGTCAGCGCATATCCAGCATCATGTTTTCACGACAGACGCGTCAATGTTGATGGGGGCGGCTCCGGCTTTTTTTTGGCCAGGGTAAAAAAAACCTACTTCATGATCTCCCTACCACCAAAGATGATGAGGAGGTAGGTGCCGATGGCGGCGACGACGGCCTTCTGGGTACTGAGGGGGGACTCTCCGGGGACCCAAGTGGTGAGCCAGTGGGGCGGGTTGGGGAGGTTGAGGGCGGCCCAGGAGGTGGTGAGGGCGGTGTAGAGGGGGCCGGGGCCGGGGGTCCAAGCGTCGAAGGGGAACATGGTGAGGGCCGTGCAAAAGAATGTAAAAGGCGGGGGCAGCGGGAGAAGAGGGAGGGGACGGAAGAAGAGAAAAGAAAAAAAAAACAGAGATGAAAAGGGCGGAGGCTGGCTAGCTGGCGTGGTCCGTGCGCGTGGCTTTTTCCTAATCGCCCAGAATTTATTTCTTATAGCTGTAATAGCGGCATGCCGCGCCATTAGGGTCATTAGGAGAGTCTGTAATGAACGCCTTGTCCGGGATTTGGTCAAAGCCCGCTGTTTGCGATCAGGTCCTCGGCACCACTTCATCCGCAGGCCCTGATGCCCGGATCACTGCATGCGATGGCAGAGAAATCGTGCAGGCATGGGGAAAGATAGAGACAGCTGGGATACAATGGTGCAGAGCAAGGTTCGACGCAAACGATACATGGACAGCTATATTCAAGTACGAAACCAGCGCTCAGACATCCTCGCATCACGAGGAAGACCTAAATCAGAACAAGTCAGCATTCAACTCGTCAAAACAGTCATCAACATCATTGCAAGAGAATCTGGTATCAGATTGTCCGTTTAGAGCATCGGCCTCAACCTTGGCGTCAACGTCCGCAGACAATGACAAAGGAGGAGACCCTGGTACAAGAGGTGCCATAGGGGTAAAAACCACTCTTCATTTAAACCAACAAAGGGGAGAAAGCATGGATAGAATACTCACAAGAATGAAGGAGAAGGCTTTGACAGGTTCGATGCTTGAGATGAAATGCAAGATACAAAACTTTGGGCTGGTTTGGATTTTGTACAGTTTCGACGGGACCAAAAAGTGGGAGCAGGTGGAGGTGGAGGCAGATCGCCATTCTTTCTCTTTCAATTGTTTTGAATATCTCGTAAACAATCCCTCAATCACCATGCTCTCCCGCCACCTCCTCCGCCTCCCGCCTCCCCCATCGTCTTCATCACGATACATTCACTCTTCCTCATCCCTCTTCATCGGCGGCGCACGCTCTGTGCTGAATGCCCCCGGAAACGACAGACCATGGGACAGGAGAGGCTCGCAGAAGGCACCTCGGCAATACGAGAAGAGCCCCAGCAAATACTCTCCAGAAGCTTTAAAGAACAGGAAGCTGAAAGGCGTCCAGCCAGCCACTTCCTCCCGCCGTCTTCTCAATTTCGACACCCAAGATCTGGAAGCCAGACCTCGAGAGAACTGGCGCAAGCACGATGTGGGATACCCTTCCCACAAATTCCGACTCGAAACTCCCGTCATGCCTCCCAACTCCAAGCCCCAGTCTTATAACCGCGACGACAATATCCCCGAAACATACATCGGCGAGCTGCCAGCGTACCCCACCCCTCCAAAACTATCCACCGCCGAACAAGCTGCTCCCACGCCTTTCCGCGAGTTTGCTCTCGAGGAGGGCCTGATCCAAAGCCTCGAAGAGCTCTACGGTCCTGAAGGCAAGACCTCTCCCATCGAAACCATCAGTTTCAAACACTTCACCCAGCCTTCCCTCTCCTCCGCCCCTCCCGGCTCGCAGCGAGTCATCCTCGGCGCCGAAACCGGTAGCGGCAAAACCATGTCCTACCTCATCCCTCTCTTCCACCACCTCAAATCTACCGACACCGGTCCTTCCAACGATCCGTCTCTGGACGAAGCGCTCTTCCCCCGCGCTCTCGTGCTTTCACCAACCCACGAGCTCACGCGCCAGTCAACGCAGTTCGCAAAGCTGCTATCGCACCATACGAAACTCTCCGTCTCTGGTCTCTCGTCCACTTCTTCCGGCAGGATCGATCGTCGGGGTGTTGTGGATGTATTGCTGGGTACGCTGGGGAGTGTGAGGCGGGGCTTTGGGATGAGGCAGCAGACGAAGGAGCAGAAGGATACGGAAGATTATATTCGCGGGAAGACCATTTGGCCGGAAGATGAGGTTCGGGAAGGGTTGGTGAAAGGTGAAAAGGTGGAGTGGGTAGTAATCGACGAGGCAGACGTATTGCTCGGTAAGTCACTCCCGCAACATTACGTTCAACGCTGACTTCTCTCAAGGCGGCGACTTTTACAAAGACACCATCGCCGTCCTCGAACGTATCCCCCACGCCAACCTCATCCTCTGCACCGCCACCCTCCCTCCCTTTCTCCTCAACCTCCTCTCCACCCACCCCTTCTTCCACCCCTCCCCCGCCCCCGCCCCCTTCGTCCACCTCCTCTCTCCAGGGCTGCACAAGCTCCCCGAAAAGCTGCTCACCCGCTTCGTCCGTCCCTCCCAAACCGGCAACAAACACGGCGACGTCGGGCACCAAGTCCGGCTCACCCTCGCCGAAGATGCCAAAGCTGCCAAAGCCGCGGGTATCCAGTTGAAGGATGGGGAGGAGAGCAAGATTGTGGTGTTTTGTAATACGGACAAGATGGTGGAGCAGGTGAGCTCGGTGCTGGGGACGAAGAAGATTGATTGTTTGGCGTGGACGGGCGCTGGTGGGGAGAGGTTGAGGGGGAAGAATGGGTCGTTGGATGATTTCTTGTTGAGACCTTCGTTGCCTGGCCGCCCTTCTTCCACCCAGTCTTTGGTACCTGCCTCCGACGCTTCCGACTCGCAATCCGGCCTTGAGGATCCATCCTCCCCTACTTCGTCTCTCGAGGACGAAACTCTCAAAGACCTTACCTCTCTCCCCACCCCCAAACACGACGACCCCCTCCCCTCCTCCCGCCCTTGCCACAACCACGTCAAACCCCAGCCCAAACGCCGCGTGCTCGTCACCACCTCCCTCCTCTCCCGTGGGCTCGATTTCCACCCCTCCGTCTCTTCTGTCTTTCTCGTCCAACCCCCTCGCGACGTACTCGATTTCGTCCACCGCGCCGGCCGTGCCGGTCGTGCTGGCCGTCCCGGAAGGGTGGTCGTCTTTGGGATTACCGGCGACCACATTCTCGACAAGACGCGTCGAGGCCCGTCAAACAGCGTAGCCCCGCGCATACCAAGAGAAGCCAACTCCAGAGAAAACAAGTCCAAAGGCGGAGTGTTGAGTACGAAGATCAAAGATCTGTTGAGGGAGAGCGAGACGATGAGTGCGCTGGGAAAGACGAGCGATAGGGAACGTCGGGCGCCGGATGATGGACCGTCGTATCGGGGAGAGCGGGGCGAGAGGTATAATGGGTCGGAGGCGCGGAGGTCTTTCGGGGGAAGGGATGGGGAGAGAGGATCGGCTGGGTTTGGGAAGAGGGGAGAGGGGAGAGGATCAGGTGGATTTGGATTTGGGGAGAAGCGTGCTAGTGGAGGTTCTCCTGGCTTTGGCGAGAGGGGGAGCAGTAGAGGGTCCGGCAGCTTTGGCCGGAGAGATGACAGCAGAGGCTCGGGCGGTGGGAAGAAGGAGTTTGGAAAGAGGTATTAGACACATTGTACTCGTATAATCACATCAAAATGAAACACCACCACTTGCATCAATCCTTATCATCTTTGCTGCTTAAAACAGGGCCCTCCTCCCCATATATCGGATCTTTCTCAAACCATTTCAACCCTCGTATCGTATCCCAAGCCTCACCCCTTTCCTCCTCTTGGCCCGTACACATATCCCAACTCTCAGCTTCTTTCGGATAACTACCCACCATCTCAAACCCTCCCTCATCTTCCATCAACGCATGGCTCACGCCTGCAGGCACAATCATCACATCACCTCTTCTCACTCTCACTTCCACCCTCCCCTCATTAGCCTTCTCCGGCGGACCTCCAAAGCACAACCTCGCTCCGCCGTTCGTGACCACCAGCACCTCATGCGTCGTCGAATGATAATGATGTTGTCTGTACATTGTATACCTCCACCTTGGCTCTACCACGCCTACTTTTCGCAGATGCTTTTCGACAGATGTGGCGGTAGCAGAAGCGGGGGAGAAGGCGGAGTGGTAGATGATAAGTGGATGGCCGACGAGGGAGGTGTTTGGGAAGGATACAAAGGCGGGGATTTGGTGGGATGAGGTGCGGAGTGCGGGTAGTGGGGTTATGGCCGATGAGAACATGGCGGTACTGCTTTGGAAAGCTTTGAGGTTTTAGTAGACAAAGACGAGATTTCGAGATGAGGGGGACGACAGTGACATCACAGCCATATTTGGTTCCGCCCCGACGGGCTGGAGCTACTAGGGCTGTCGTGAGCACGAAGGGTTTCTCTCTAGCTGACTCTATACTACGTCAAGATGTGGGCACTACACGAGCTCGCCGAGAAAGCCAAAAGCCGTCGCATCACTCCGCCAGATGGTCCTTCATCCTCAGCGTCAGTACCAGCGAAACGTCCGCGATCGCCCAATCTCAATAAGCAGCCCACCTCCCCCTTAGCCAAGGATGGACGGAAGAAGCACAAGCATACTACCCGGGAGAACGAGGATGAAGGTACAAAGCACCAGAGCAAACCGTCAGATAGGTATGCGTCGGACGATGATCAGGGAGTGCCGCCTTGGGGATTCTCGCCTGAAATAGTAGACAAATTTCCAGCTTTGACGAAACGCAACTTCTGGTGTATACAAAGACACTCTGCTACAGGTAGGTCTATCCTTGCTCGCTCGATTCATTCACCATGGTTCAAACAGTGGGGCTGACATATCGTAGCTCTACATTACGATCTTCGATTACAGCTCGACGGCAAGACGGTATCGTGGGCCGTGCCGAAAGGGCTTCTAGGTCAGTCTGGTTCTATACTGCAGCGTATAGAGTATGATCAGTGCTGACTATTACTAAAGGTATGTCGAAGAGCGGCGAGTCCAGAAGAATGGCAGTGGAGACGACATTACATTCCATCGAGTACACAATCCACGAAGGTGCGTTGTTGGCGTACATTTTCTATTTGCATGAAGCTTATGTATGGTCACATACCATCCTAGCGTCTAGCGATAGAAGTAAGAGCCATTTTCTGTCTTTGATGGCGCCCTGCTGACAAGCAATCATAGCTTTTGGTCAAGGCCGGCGAGGGGGCACTCGTAAGCATCGTACTCTTTTACAGTCTGCATCACATATACTGACCAGTCAATAGAGCTCTGGGATATTGGAGAGTACACTATCGACTATCTTCCTTCTACCTCGGACGATGGGTACGAAACAGAAAAGGAAAGAGAAGCTGAAATATGGGGCGTGGAAGAAGCGCAATCGCGCAAGAAGGACAACCTCATTCGGCAGCCGTTTGTATTCCTTGTGCCGTCTTGTTGGAATATACGGAAGCTGATTAGATCGCTTACAGAGATGGTAGAGATCAAGAAGATCTCTTTCGGCAAGCGTTATATCGCCCAATCACCCAAGGCAACTCTCGAAGCATCCACTTTACGTTGGAGAACGGTCGAAAGGTACGTCCACTATCCACGTCGCATAATTGATGGCTCGTTCTGATGGGTTGCTTCTTGTCTCAGATGGAGAATAACTGTGCGCATTGGGTATCTAAACTCCTCATATTTGTCTCACTGACACACATGACAGCTTATATCCTCGTCCTCAGCAGCAACACCTACGGCAAGACTGTGATCTCCAGCGACGGCAAAGAGAAAAAGACGTGGTTCATCAGTCTTCCGCGTGGGGTAAACGAGTATCCATGGGATCGGGGCGGTCAGGACGGTGATTTCTATGGGCGGAGTGTAAAAAGTGAGTCATCTATGCGCTCATATGGGCGAGAGGGCGCGGGGAAGAAGGCTGATGATTGTTTGATAGGTGGTATGACGTTCGAGCAAGTATGCGAGGGGCGTGCCGACACCTAGAGCTGTTACTCGTACTAGCAAGATGTGACGGAGATGCATTAACACTATGTCAACTACAGCAACTGCTTCACGCCTTGCTTCCCCACACCCCTCCTCCTCTCCCCACTGATGGTCCGCCCATAGATCTAAACTGCTGTGGCCCGGCCGTGCTTCCAGTAAAGCCCGAACTGTTGAAGCTAGGTTTCGAGTACTGAGACTGCGTCTGCGACTGAGGCTGGAACTGAGAAGGACCAGATTGAGGACCACCGAAAGAGCTGGATGGCGTTTGGGGTCTCGTTTGCGCTGGTGGTGGTTGCTGAGCAGCAGGGCGACGACCGAAGAACGATCCGAAGCGGGATGTAGGAGGTTTTTCAGATGCTTCATCCGTATAATGACGACCCGCCCCTCCTTGGGCATAGGATGGCGTTGAGCTAGCAAAGTCATTGAACGACGACTGAGATTGTGGAGTGGTTTGAGGACGACTAAAACCACCGAAAGACGACGTCGAAGGAGGCTGGGCGTACCTGCCTGGTGGCTCATCTTGTTGCGATTCTTCACCCTGAGACGCCTCCCTAGCAAACTTTGAAGCCAACTCATGCACCAAAGTCTCCACAACGCTCGGATTCTTCCGAGCCGTATCTTGCATTCGAGGGTTGTTTTGCATCATTTGATTTATGAGGGTAGCAGCACGGCCGATGTAGGTCCAAGCTTTCGATTGCGTCTGCTGAGGTTTGCTTTGGGGAGGCGGGTTTCCGGAAGAAGCACTAGGTTGGAAGCCGCTGTTATATTGTGACTGATGTTGCGACTGGCTCCCAAATGACGGCTGTGATCCGAAAGACGGATTCGACCCGAAAGACGGTTTCGATTGTGGCTCAAAGTACGGCTCTTCAGGCTGTGCGAACCTGCCACCCGGGAAAGCGGAGTTGAAGTTCTGCTGTTGAGGCCGCGTGGGCTGTGTTCTACCGAACTGACTATCCGGGAAACCAAAAGAAGACGTTTGAGAAGGTCCAGGGGTCGTCTGTTGCTGACGCGAGCCCGTCTGACTCTCAATCTGACTCACCAAATTCCTCAATATCTCGGGATTTTGAGAAGCAGCAGTTCGGAGCTGAGGGTTGGTTCGTAAAACTTCTTGCAGAACGCTAATAGTCTCTTGAGAGACGTTGCCTGGGGAAGGCGCGCTACGGCCCGGGGGTGGCATTTCTGGAGAAGGCGGTCGGAAGCGGTTGAACGGGGACTGCTGCTGCGTCTGTGGCTGTGCAAACGATACCCCAGGCCCTCTGAAAAAAGCTTGAGGATGACTACCAAACGAAGTCTGTCCCTGCCCGAATCTACTTGCCCCATTGTTGCTAGGAAAAGATTGACCAGACGGCTGACGTTGCTGTGCAAACCAACCCCCCATCTCCTCTTCAGTACTCTCGTCATCCTCCTGCTGCCCCTCCAACGTCTGTGCAACATCATCATACAACCGCTTCATCATCTCCGGGTCCATCTGCGCTCTGCGGTGTAGTAGAGGATTTTGGCTGAACAAGGTGGCTAGGTGAGAAGCGACGATGGAAGGGTGGACGGATGATGGAGACGTGCCCGTGCGGGATGACATGTATTGATCGAACGGCGACTCTTCTCTCTGACCTATAAATCTATTAGTTATCTGAAGTTTGACGAAAGACGAGACATACCAGACGGATCACTCCTAAAAGCAGCCTTCTTCTCCTTCTTCCAAATCTCCTCCGCCTCCTCAAACTCCAAATCACCCCTCTCCGTATCAACCAGATAATCTCCATACACCCTCCCCCTCTGCGCCGCCTTATACCGCTCCAGATGACTCTTATGCAGCCATTCAAACGTCGCCGTTCGCCCCTTATCCATCTCACTCTTCAAGCCATTCATACTCCCCATGACATCTGCGAGACCTTGTTTCATACCCTGCACCGCAGGGTTTCTGGGGTCGTATGTCGACATGCTTTTCAGCGTATCATTCAGCGCTGAAGCGGCGTCGCCCCACGCTTCATCCTGCCGATGATACGTCTCTCTCACCGAAGACAGATTCCGCCCGATGTTGGCCGTCCATTGTGCGATTTCATCATCCACATCTTCGATATGCGACTCGAGCCACTGCTCCCAGATGCCTTTCATCGTCTCGGGTTCATCCCACATCTTCATAGGTTTTTCAAATCCAATCTTCTGCTCCCACACCGACCCCCCTTGCCCTGTCCCTGTCCCTTGCCCGGCACCGACACCCTGCCCGGGCACGCGGGGTACATTGACAACCCTCACATTACCCGCCTGGCCCCCACTCGTACTCGGCAGCGTCACCCCCACACTCGAACCGTACACCCCGCTCAGAGCAGGGTTCGAGTAGTTTTCAGGGCGGGAGGAGAGGTTTTTGAGGTGCGAGTACGCGCGGTAGAGGTCGCTTGGTTCGGGCTCTGGTGGGGGCGGGGTAGGTTCTCTCATGGGCGGTGGGGCGTAGGAGGAAGATGTTGCGGGTGGGGCTGGAGGCGGGGTGGGTTGGGTTGGGATGGCGCGTGTTTGGGGGGCTGTGGGAGGGTCCGACCTCGGACTTTGGAGGTTTGCTGACGAGCCGTTCGATGTCGGCGTGCTCGAAGGCTTCGAAAAAGGCATTGAAGGAGCAGTCGAACTCCCAACCGGCTCTTCATACGGTATATTCGTATTATAGACCGTATTCCTCAAATCAAGCTCATCCAGCCCATGCCTCGTGCTCATCGGTCCCTTGCCTTTCGGTTTCCAGCCCGGCTGCTGCGCCCAGGAAGGCGGGATGGGCCTCGAATATCTCGGAGCGTTGTCGACAGAGTCGCCGGGGCGGACATATTGCGGGGAAGGGGTTTGGGAGGAGGAGAGGGTTGTGGGGCGGAGGGCTTGCATGGCCGATGCGGGCTCCGGGTTTGGGGTAAGTGGGGGAAGGGTGTTGGGTGAGTTGTGGTCGGACGGGTGAGGAGAGGAGGTGTGTGAGAAGAGGTTAGAGGACGGGGTTGATGAAGATGAGGCGGTCCGGTTTCATAGAGCGCCGTTCATGCTGATGTCAACTCAAAGGATACGGTGCATATTTCTACCTGGGGGTGAAAGGACGCGAGCTGTAGGGGCCTCAAATAGAGTGCCCATTGTGGATGGTTGGGGGCGGCTTGAGAAATTCACACAGCGACGGATAAGTCGCAGTACCCAGAAGAGAAAGCTGCATTGACGAGGCGTTGACCAAGGGATGTCAGCAACGTGCATGCCATCTATAGCGGTGGAGAAAATGGAGATGTCGGATGGCAGGACTGTATCGGACGCGAAGGTCTAGCATCCAGATCATATTCGCTATTCTTACCGAGGCGATCGGCCGTGTCGCGAGCCAACCAGATGTAAAGTAAGCCGCCCCGAAAGCCGTCGTCGTGCATGAGGCGCCGAAGTAGCAAGTGAGGCTGTATGCTGTATATGTCGACAGCGAGATCCCCCTGCCTGTCCATCCGTCTCCGGCAGCGCGCGCAGGATGGACGCTCGCTTGCCATGGTTGAAGAGCTTGAGAGCGAGAGAAGCCGAGGATGGCGGAGCAGGAAGAAGTCGGCATTCGTGCGGGGTGGGGCATAGGCACGCGGTGAAGTGCGGGGTAGTGCGGTAGCGGCAGAAGGCGCGCGGTCAGGGATGGGATTAGCTGGGGAAAATGCCGAGTCGCCCTTGATATCCACGCGCCATTTGCATCTCCATCTCTCTTCCTCCTCTCTTCTTCAAAACAAAACACACAAAAACAACAATGTCCGTCGTCACCAAGGTCCACGCCCGCCAGGTATGTCCATCCGCCCCCCTTACCCCTCGTCCTCCATCTCCACCCACGCTCTCCCCTCCGAGCTTCCACTGACTTCCATTGTCTCTCTAGATTTTCGACTCTCGAGATAAGTCTATTCAACCGTCCAGGTGCCTTCAATATACCCCCCCTACCGACATCCCTCGCGAAGAGGGGTATAGAGAAGCCCTGGACCCTCCCACGAACGTGTTCCCACGCTAACATCAACCCTGCCTTTCGCTTTGACCTTTGTCCTCTCCCCATCCATCCAACGCTCGCTATACCCCTGGATTGACGACAACACGTAACCCTACCGTCGAGGTTGACATCACCACCGCCAAGGGTCTCTTCCGTGCTGAGGTCCCCTCTGGTGCCTCCACCGGTGCCCACGAGGCTCACGAGTTGAGGGACGGTGGTAAGGACTACGTCGGCAAGGGTGAGTACAGCTCTCGTATCCACCATTACTCGCTGACACTGCTTTTAGGTGTCACCAAGGCCGTCAAGAACGTCAACGAGATCATCGCCCCCGCTCTTATCGAGTCCAAGCTCCCCGTCACCTCCCAGAAGGAGATTGATGACCTCCTCATCAAGCTCGACGGTACCCCCAACAAGGCCAAGCTCGGTGCCAACGCCATCCTCGGTGTCTCCATGGCCGTCTCTGAGGCCGGTGCCGCTGACAAGGTGCGTTTCTTACTTTGTCTTGGCGCGATTAGAGCTAATCTGTTGCCAGGCCGTCCCTCTCTACGAGTACCTCGCCGAGCTCGCCGGTGTCAAGCCCCCTTACGTCCTCCCCGTCCCCGCTTTCAACGTCATCAACGGTGGTTCCCACGCCGGTAACGCTCTCGCCTTCCAGGAGTTCATGCTCCTCCCCACCGGCGCTTCTTCCTTCTCTGAGGCCTTGAAGATGGGTTCCGAGACTTACCACACCTTGAAGAAGGTCATCACCAAGAAGTACGGTATCGACGCCGCCAACGTCGGTGACGAGGGTGGTTTCGCCCCCAACGTCTCTGGTGCCGAGGAGTCTCTTGACCTCCTTACCGAGGCCATCAAGCAGGCCGGTTACACTGGCAAGGTCCAGATCGGTCTCGATGTTGCCTCTTCCGAGTTCTTCAAGGACGGCAAGTACGACCTCGACTTCAAGGTGCGCCCTTTATATTTTGTTTCGAGCTCGACTGACGTATCTGCAGAACCCCAACTCTGACGCCTCCAAGTACCTTACCGGTGAAGAGCTCGCCAACCTCTACCACTCTTACGTCGAAAAGTACGACATTTGCTCCATCGAGGACCCCTTCCACGAGGACGACTTTGACGCCTGGGCCGCCTACAACAAGACCGCCACCATCCAAATCGTCGGCGACGACCTCTTGGTCACCAACCCCCAGCGAATCAAGACCGCCATCGAGAAGAAGGCCTGCAACGCCCTCCTCCTCAAGATCAACCAGATCGGCACCATCTCCGAGTCTATCCAGGCTGTCCAGCTCTCGCAGTCTAACGGCTGGGGTGTCATGACCTCTCACCGATCTGGTGAGACCGAGTCTACCTACATTGCCGACCTTGCTGTCGCGCTTAGGACTGGTGAGATCAAGACTGGTGCTCCCTGCCGATCCGAGCGTGTTGCCAGTACGTCCCTTTTCTTCTCAGTATGATTGACTTGGCTGACAGACTGCTGCAGAGTACAACCAGCTTCTCCGAATTGAGGAGCGTCTCGAGGGCAACTCTATCTTTGCCGGTGCCAAGGGTCTCTCCAGGGGTACCACTGCTCCCGAGCTCCACTCTGCCTAAGTATCTGGTAATGCAGATGTCGAAGGAAAGATACGTTGGTAGTAGTTGACGGGAAAAGGGGATAGAAAAATCGGAAGTCTCAAGCTGCTAGAGAATTGGCTTTTACCATGCATACTGCAGAGTTTACGAAACATCCAGCTTGTCGAGATTGCACGTCACTGTACGAGTATATTGAGTTTGCGAGGCAAGAGAGAAGGGTCCAATGAGGCGGAATCAATTTCCGGGCTTTTACGCGTTTATCGATCAAGTCGCGTCGATTTCTCTTTTCTCATGTTGCACTTCCAATCTCAACGCGTCCCTCCCGTCCATCTCCTTCTTTCCCTTCTGTCTTTAGAAATACTACGGAGAGATCCAAGAATGGCTACGGCAGAACAACAGAAACAGGCGACGCGGAAATTGACTTATTGGCTAGAGAGCGAAAGGCGGATCGTAAGTCCTGCACGATCGACGGATTGGTCGGAAGAACATATACTTATACTGACCTTCACGTGTTTGTAGGTCAGTTATAGAGTGTTATCTCGAGAACTTGGGCTACGCGTCAACGTCGCCAAAGAGTGTGTATCTCATTTGCTCCAGCGCTCGTGAAGACTGACCTCGAAACGTGATGTAGTATCCTCCTAAAACACCTCCAATCAAACCCCTCCCTCTCTTCCACATACCTCCTCTCCGGCCCCCTTCTCTCTTCCTCCTCTTTAACCCAAACGCAGCTCTCCCCCTCCTACGGGAGAGGCGGAGGGGGTGGGAAAGGGTTTAGAGATCTGGGGGAAGGGATGGTCAAGATCGTTGATATGGATGAGAGGAGTGATGCTGGGAGTGATGCTGAAGCTGATGCCGATGCGGAGGGGGAGGGGGAGGAGGGGAAGGTGAATAACGGGGAGAATGAGCGTCTGGGAGATGATGAAGACACCCGTATGGACGGCGTAGGGAACGATAGGGGTGCTGAGCCCGGAGACGGCGGTCTGGGCGGGGGGGAGGTGATCGGAGAAGATGGCCATGGGGTGAGGAGGGAGAGGGTGGATAGGTGGGGTGTTGTTTTTGCGGCGGATGATATGCTGGAAGGTACGTTCTTTTGCTTGAGCTGTAGGAAGGAATGGTGATATGTTGATTGACGGGGATGATATAGAGAAGAAGAGGTTGTTCAACTCGGGCGACGTTAGTGTGCATGTTTACTCACTATCCCCTGCTCCCATATCCGTAAGCCCATCCCCCTCTCCCTCCCTCCCTCCTCCAATGATCATGAGATGATGAGTACAAGCTGACGTTTGTACACAAGGACCCATCTCAGTTCATAATCCCCAATACCTCTATCCGCTCCCACCCCGAGACCCAATACAACACCGAGGTGTACGGGACTCTTACGGGCGATGCTTTCAAGCCTGCTGCTCAGCCAGTCGCGGCGGGAGTGAAGAAAGAGGCTGTGCAGGGGAAGAAGGAGAGTTCGGCAGCGGCGGTGTTTGGTGCAAAGAAGCCTGATGCGAAGGGGATCAAGAAGGAGGTCGGGCAGAGTTCGCCTGAAGTGAGTCATCCCGTCACGTTCAAGCGTTTGTATCTCGACAGTGCTGACGAAGATGTAGAAGAAACCTACTACCAAAGCTGCTCCTCGGCCATCCAACTCTAAAAGAAAAGTCGTCACCTCCGATACAGAAGACGACGAGCCCGTGCCTTCCAAACCCGCTCCCAAACCCTCCACCTCCTCCACCTCCGCTGCTCCAACAACAACCAAGCCAAAGGCCAAGACGGCTGAAGAAGAAGATCTTGCAGCGCTCGAAGCTATGGCCGGCATGGACGATTCTGACGACGAATTCAGCGTTACCAGCTTTGCCAAGGATGCGAGTAAGGGGAGAGGGAAGGACGGGGAGAGGGTTGGAAGAATTCCGGGGAAGAGGAGTTTGAGTGGGAGGAAGGTGAGGAGGGTGAAGAAGACGAAGAGGGAGACGGATGCCAAGGGGTATATGGGTGAGTTGTCTTTCTGTGTGATTCTCGGGTATACCCGGGGCAAGTTGTATGAACAGGAGCTGATCAATCGAACAGTATCCAAAGACTACTACACCGACGAGTCATACTCTGGCGAATCTGAGCCCGAACAAAAACCCGACATCAAACCCGCTCCAGCCAAGCCCAAGCCGCCCATCAAGGCTCAAGGATCGTCGAGTAGTACTGGCAGTGGGAGCGGGGCAAAGAAAGGCGGGCCTGGGGCTGGAGGAAAGCCGGCTGGGCAGAGTACGTTGATGGGCTTCTTCAAGAAGAAGTGAATGCGCTGTGGTGGTGGTTGCTTTGTACATGTACTCGCTAGTATGGGTTCTGCATATGTCTAAGCCCTTTACAAACATCCGAGTCCGAGTCCGAGTATCGTACAGTCTCACCGAGAAGCGCGGACAAGCGGAACCAAACAAGACGCGACGATGATGCGTTTACGCGGAAGTATGTAACCGGTAACGATTACGTTGACGCTAACAAGGACGGTACCAATTTGAGGCTTTGTTTGTGCTGGCTGTACCATGCAAGGTCTCCCAATTCACGACTATAATGTACACGTACGCATAGCGAAAACAACGCACCACAAACCCGAAAGTTTGCCGGAGATCTGCTCGACAAACGTCTCGATTTTTTTTTTGTGCCACTGGCGTATATACCGAGTGACCCACCGTCCACACTCTACCCCATATCGCCACCATGCTCATAACAAACCCCCTCCACTCCCTCCAAATCACCGCCCTCCAACTCCCCGCCTTCCTCTCCATCCCCAACACCTCCCTCCACCATTTCCCCCTCCTCATCTACCACTCGGCATTCCCGCCACAAACATGCACAGTCGACGATGTGACGCTGCAGCTCGAATCTGTCGGCGTCGTGGAACCTGCTTGGGTGTACTCTTTTCCGGACGATGGGGGCAGGTTTCATTCGGGCACGCATGAGGTGCTGGTGATCATCTCGGGCAGGGGGCGCATGTCCTTCGGCGGGCCTGAATACGCCCCGGATGAGTTGAAGGAGAGTGAAAAAAACCTGGCGAGGACAGAGCTGGTAGTCGCCCAGGGGGATGTGGTGGTAGTACCAGCGGGCGTCGCCCATGGGCTAGAAGAAGATCTGGACGGGGATTTCAAAGTCGTCGGGGCATACCCGCTAGGCTTGGGTAACTGGGATTCTCTCACACTCGACTATGAAAAATTTGGAGAGGAAGGCGAAGAACAAAAAAGCAAGCCGGATGGTGGCAAACGCAAGTTGAGGACGAGAGAAGAGGTGGAAGAGACGGTTCGGGCGGTGGAATGGTTTGAGGGGGATCCGATATATGGCGATGTTGGGCCGGTGGTGGATGTGAAGAAGAAGATGGAGGATTAAATGGTTCTGGGGGAAGATGAATAAGGCTTGGGCTAAAGTGTGGTGTGTCTTTTCGCTGTCAAGGGGATCAGAGAAGCTAATCTGTCAGACAACATTCGGCTACCCGCACGCATAAACCTGTATCGTTAGATGTGTCTAGACAACTGTATAAATAGTCAGAGAGAGGTCGTATAGTCGAGGGTGTCTGGCTGAGACTGGAGCTACCACGCGGCACTCAAAAAACATCGCCTTTATAGACATGTATCCCAATAGAGCACAAGGTCGACACGACTTTGAACGTGATATGGTGCATAACGAGTCCGTGGCCGTGGTATATTCGTGGACATTATATACAAAAGGCAGTCATCCATCCAAATGATAGCCCTTGTTCGTTCAACTACGGACGGCAATCAGCAACCCGCCGACTGCGACTCAAAAGGATCAAGGGTCGGACTCACGATAGAGATACACGCTCTCATTTCCTTCATAACCTCTCTTCGCACAAAGACCTTCATCGGCCCCAGCCCTCCACTTTTGAGGTCGCCGAAACCCAAGACGCTCTATTCTCCAGCAAACAACCGAACAATCAGATAAATCGTAGACCCTAAGAACCGGAAGACTACCCCCAAACGTCAGCCAGTCAGTCGCCCTTCCTGTATCTTGAAACTCGACTCACAAGCCAGCCCCGCGACTGTATACAACAGCACACCCATATACGTCGTCGCCAACGAGCTCGTCCCACTACTGCTCTGCAAGATACCAGCTGTGAGAGCACCGTTACTCATCGTCCATGCCAACAAGACCTATTACAACTATCAGCCTCCCATCTCTCGACGGTTGAAAGAGGCAGCAACTCACATTCGTCCTAAAGTTCTTGTAATAATCCTCCTGCTTCTGATCCTCACTAACAACCGTAACCTCCTTTGGCGCTTTCGTGCTCAACACCCCCAACTCGGCCGCATACACCGCATTGATATCTTTCTGCTCGACGGGAAGGTCGACGTCGACTTCGTCCTTGTTGTCGGAGGAGGACTTGACAGCTCCTAGGTCGTCAGAGACTTTGTCGGAACCTTTGGTACCCCAAGACTATGAATGCTGGTCAGTGACCGAACGGTGGAAGTGAAGGAGAGAGGAGAGAGGGAGAGAGGGAAGAGGACGTACGACATCGTGGACATTGCAGAACGCATACACGCTACATTCATATCAGCGCCGACCTCATCTCGTATCTATACGAAAAAAAAAAAAAAAAAAACTTTACTTGAGCACATTGACATAACTCGGCGCCAAAAGAAGATATTGCAAGAAAGACGTGACTATTCCCACATATCAGCGCCCACTTTCCAGCCATCACCCTACCGAGAGAGAACTCACGCATATGCCAAGGTTCAAGAGCCAACAATGAACTGATGATATACAGCCCATACGTCGCTAGCAGCGAAATGACGATATTCCGGAAAATCCTGTCGCCAAAGATCGTACTCGCTGTGATATCTCCCTCCGCTTCGATCGATTGGATTCCTCTCACCGCCAGGTAGACTGCACCCCATCCCATCAGCTTTGGCGATCGAAAGACAAAAGACAGAGATGCGGGGGACTTACTAGCAGCAAAGAGCATGTATACGGTGATCAAAGCAAACCCAACCATACTCAACGTATACCCAATCCTCGACCCCGCCGGTCTATTGCCCAGCGAAAGCAAGAAACACCACAAGACGAGGCCGACGTAGATGTAGTGGAGGGGTGTGTTGACGTATTGCCAGGCGGAACCGAGGTCGTTGAGGGATTGAGTGAGGACGAACTGCAAGCAGAGTCAGCTTTTGGCGAGCAAGGCAAGGAAGAGGCTTACGAAGGCGATGTAGAAGTTGCCGAGAGCGAACCAAGCAAAGATCATACTCAGCGTTTCTGCCCCCCCCCCCAAGTCAGCCTCATCCCACCATCCCACCCTCATCCGACAAGCCGACCCGAGAAGGAACTCACGATAAACAAGCTCCACATGCAAAAACAACTTTCTCGTAACCGTATGCGAACTCCTATACAAATACCCAAAATGGAAAATCGAATGAATCGCCGCAAAAAAACTACCATTCAACCAACGTCGTCTCTGCGAGACCAGCTCGGGGACCGTGTCGGGCACGTCGGTGATGGCGTAGGCAGATTTGACATAGTGCAGTTTCCACTTGCATTCGCGTTTGGAGACGAGTTCCCAGCAGAGGATACGGTCTTCGGCGAGGTACATGTTGGCGGCGCTATTACATAAAGTCAGTTCGGGGCAAGAGAGGGGAGAGGGGGAGGGGGGGGGGGGGGCGTACAAGATACCGGCACCGGAACCGTGCATAGTCTCTCCAATGAAATACTGCTTCAACGGTCCATTCCCTTGCTCGTCATTTTGCAGTGCAATATACTATCCCACACCCCCGTCAGCTCTTATCCAACAAACCCGAGACAGAGAGAACGTACGCGATAAGCAGAAAAAGCACCCGGCAAAACCGTGATATATCCAAAAATCGATTCCAGCGGTTTATCAAGGATATTACTCATCTTGTATTCGAAATTCTGCGCTGCGACCCTACCACCATCATCAGTTCCTTCCTCCCTTCCTCCCCTTCTTCTCCACTTTTCAACAATGCTGAAACTGGGACGTACAAAGGATTAAGCAGATTCTTCCAAAACATCCCCTTCAGCGCCACAATCTCCCCACAAGCCCCTCCCACACTCGAATTGATGTCGAACGCTTTCCAGAGATGGTAGATCGAGTCCGGGCCGGGTTGGGTACCGACGTCGAGGAGGACGCAGACGTTGGGGCGGAGGCAGTCGCCAAAGGCGCTATAGCGTTTGTCAGCGCTGAAAGGGGAAGGGAATGAGAGGAGGAGGAGGAGGAGGAGGCGTACTTGAAGAACCATCGATGCGAGTTGATCTTTTTCTGATTCTTTTCCTACGACACTGTCAGCTTCCGACTCAAGCTCAGTGAGAGAGGAGAAAAAGACAAACCTTCATACAGAAAAGCATCTGGATCGGAACAGTCCCCGACCCTCCAGGGCCGATCTTTCCACTAGAGTTGATCGACACTGCACCCATCAGCTCTCTCCCCATCTTGTAAGAGCGAGAAGAACTCACGTTGGGTGGTGTACTCGTAAAGATGAGCCGTGACCGGTTTGCCATTGACCATATTCTTTCCCACACCTTCTTGGTATACTCCGAGAGCTGCGAGGACTGATCGTGTACGGGGATTGATCTTGAGTCGACCGTCTGCAACGATACAGACTACCACCTAATAAAAGTCAACAACCCGCAGACACGTGAGACACGAAAGAGTTGAGACGTACCTTCTTCCACCCATTCTCACCCCAAGTCTTACTCTTACTCCTCGTACACAGATGTGCGATATTCTGCATCACACCCCTCATCGTCCGGCAGAACAAGACGTCGTCTTCGTTGTACATTGTGATGACGATAAAGAGCTCGGTTTGTCGAGGAGGGTCGTAGAGTCGTTGTCGGAGAGTATACTTGTCCGCCTGTACTACTGTCAGCGGATCTGTTTCGAGGTTGAAAGTATGATGAGCGACTTGCGACAAACTCGTTGGCATCGCCAGTGACAGCAGTGTATCTCATCTTGGTGAATTCGTTGCCTTGGCGAAGGGGACATTGGTCCAGGAGCATAGACGGGACGTCGACGTCGAGTACGAGATGGCCTCGGAAGAGTCTACGAATAGGTCAGCAGATATTTCCTCGACCATCTCTCTCAACTTACTGAACCCTCTTCTGCGTCCTGTTACGCCTGACAATCCTCGACGGTATCGGCCCATAATGCACATTCCCATAGTCATCCTCATTATCATGCCCCAGCCCATCTCCCGCATGGAACCCCGCCTGCCCCTCTGCCCGGCCCGGCGTAGCATACATCGGCACCCCCATATCCCCCGCCCCATTATCGCTCAGCTGATACCTCACCCCCGTCCCAGGACGCGGGGGCGGGTGCATCGCCATGGCACTCTGCGACGCCGCTATCCCGAACCTAGGATCCGGTGCAGCATGCGCCAACAGCGGATGCGAGTCGTTCATATCGTCTTCTGGCGCGTTGCCATAAGACTCCGGGGGGTAAGAGTTGTGAGGATAGTCGGCTGGGAGGCCGACGTTGGAGTGGCTTGAATGGTGCGGCATCAAAGGAGGGGGCGAGGTGAGACGGTCGCCAATGCCGGAAGGATACGAATAAGCTGGAGCTTGCACGTGTTGGATTGTCGGGGTCGTGTGCTGCGGAGGAGGAAGATAAGAAGGATTGGAATGGTAGCGGGTGCGAGTGGGAGATGAGACGGCGGGGATGGGGGCGTGGGAGGCGGCAGGCGACACGCCGTACGGCAGGGGCTGAGCGGTGGGGACCGAGTAGCGGGGGGCGTGGTTGGGGCTGATCGGGGAAATGGGCTGGAGGGGGTAGGAGGCGTGGTGATGGCTGCCTTGAGGCTCGGCCCAGGGCTGCTGCTGGTTGTAGAGGGGAGCTGATGGCGGGCGTTGTGGGGAGGGGTTGGCGAACGGGTCGCCGTACTGTTGCTGCTGCTGGGGCTGCCCCTGGGGGTATCCCGCGGTGTATACCTGGCCGGGGTTCATCGTGTCTGGTGGCGAACGCTGTCCATTTCCATATCTTTTCATTGTCTTCGCGACAGCCTGCACCGCACAGACATTACAGAAATCACACTTACGTAACCGTTGATTTTGCCTCTTTGGGACAAATCAGCATCGCTATTCGGCTGTGCTTCCATCCCCGCAGACACTGACAGCGCGTCTTTCCCATACATAAAGCATACGCTCGCAATGAGAGAGGACCTCAAAGATCTTCAACAAGATAATACTATGCATCATGGAAGAAGACTTCTGTGGTGAAGTAACTCTACGCGCTCGCTCAATCTCTCGTCGAACAGTGTCTTCTCGCGACAGTCCACCCGGGCCGCGTGAAATAGAGGCGGTGTATCTGCGCAGCTTTCCAAGCTCACGTTGACGCGTCAATACGATAAGCATACGCTTACATGGTTCAGAAACCACTGTCATGCTATGCTGATACCTCCGACCACCGAATGGATGACGACACAACAATCCACTAGATTCCGCAGTCCTTCGCGTTCGGCTATCAGTGTCAGATATGCATTGACCATTTGGCACAAACGAAAAGGATGATGCATGATCTCAAATTGTGATCGCACTCTCCGTCAAGTTGTACAAGATCTCCCCATCATCCAACGTCCCATACTCTCCATAACCACCTTCTCGCGCAATGATCAGATCCGCCTCTGTATTCCAACCAGCACCATCCTCCCCCTCCGATAAACTAGCTCTTGAATGAAGACTATCCACATCAGATCGTTGCCTGTCAGAGTACGGGAATGATATAGCCGATCCTGCCATAGAAGGTTCAGGTTCCATTTCAGGGAAGAGGAAGGATGAAGGGAGGGCGGTATCGTCGTCGATGTTGAGTGAGCCTGGGCGGAGCTGGATGGAGGAGGATGAGAGGGATGGGGTGCGGGTGTGGTGACGGGGACGACGGGCGTGCCGGGGGGTGGGGGCGATGATGGAAGGAGACGACGAAGATGGGCTTGGCGTACTCTCGACTTTGGACAATGTCTCTGTCGCACTCGTCACTGATGAGGTGCCTCGCTCGGAAGAGCGACGAGCTCCCATGAGATCGATCTTGGCTTCACCTCTTCTACGTTGATCTTCGGCTTCATTACTCCTCATCTGTTCTTTCCTCCTCTCCATCTCATCAACCCTCCTCAGAAGATCCGCCCTCGTATTTCTCAACCGACAAAGACTCATCACAAGCTGCGCAATCTCAACATCCCCCGTCTCTGGCAACTCTTGTATAAGCTTCCTTGATTCTTTCAGGATAGGGTCGTTGAACACCGACGATGATGATGGGCTCCTACTCGGCCGAGGGGAGGTGGGGGCTGATGATCGAGGGGATCCTCGGGAGCGGGTTACCCGGACCATTGGGAGGTCTTCGTATCCTTTGCTCATGGTCAAGACCTTTCGATCTTGAGCATCAAGCTTGACAGCAGCCTTCCGAGCATCCCTCTCCCTCTCCCTCTCCTTCACCATCAACCTCTCCTTCACCAACACCCTCTCCTTCTCCTCCTTCTCCTTCTCCAACCTCTCCTTCTCCAACCTCTCCTTCTCCAACCTCTTCTTCTCCTCCTTCTTCTTCTTCCTCTTCTTCTCCTTCTTTTCATACCTCTTCACTTCCTTATGCACCTCATCGCGCATCGGTACAGGCGCCAGATATCTGGGGTCGACGTAGGAGAAGATGTTGTTGGAATTTTTGCGGATGGCTTTGAAGAATTCTGTACTACAAACCAGAGTCAGTGAACTGGGATTTCGTTGGGTTGTAAGGAGGATGGAGGGATGGTTTTACTATTCTTGGACGAGGGCCATGTTTGTGCCGGATTTCCAACTGGGCTTACCATCCTTATCCAACACCCTTCATCATCATCATCATCATCATCATCATATCGTCAGTCACCATACAACAACAACAACACGTCAGTAAAAGCAGTGAGATCCAACTCACGTATTCGTCTCCTGAAAGTACATCACAACCTTCATCATAGTCATCATTCCAATCTTGAACCGCCGCTCATGTTCCATGTCCAATACCCATTTGTGTTCTAGGAGCTTTTCGTGTTGGCGGGCACGTTCCTTTTTGGATAGTATTGGCTCGATAGTTGTTGATACTGGGCGAGGAGGGATGGGTGGTGGTTGAGTTGTTTTGGTTTTGGTTTTAGTTTTGGATGTGATAGATGTTGCAGCTGTCTCTTGATAAGGAGGGGGCAGGGAAGTAGGCAGATCTGGGAGAGGAGGAACGGACGTAAGGGGTGCGGGGGTGGAAGGACGTGTAAAAGGCTGAGGCGCTATCACAAACGGTCGTTTCGAAGGTGTAAGACGGCCGTATTCAGCGTCCGGCGGGCTTGGTACTACAAAACTCCGATACCGAACCAACCACCCTATCTCTCAATCAGCCCTCCCCCCCCTCCCTCCTTTTTTCCCTCAAGCGCAAAAAAGAGACGTACCTCTCCTCCTCGGATCAAGCACAACGACCCTCAACTCCGGCGCCGCCTGCCCCCACACCCGGAACCGCCTCACCCTCCCCCTCGGCCGCTCATCAATCTCCGCCGCGGGCGGGGGGAGCTTGCTCCATGCGAGACTTGGGGGTTTGGGATCGGTGTAGACGCGCTGGGGTTTGAAGAATGGGGTAAAGTATTTGGCTGAGAGGGCGTGGATTTTGGAGGGAGGGAGGGCGGGGGGAGGGGGTTTGGATGGCATTTGGGGTGTGTTGTGGTTGTGGTGGCAGTGGCGGGGCCACTGGCGGGGCCACTGGCGGGCTGTGGGTGGGTGCGTTGTGAGGGAAGGAAGTGTTATGATAAGGAGAATGGAGAAGTTATAAGTGGTGTACTTCAACGATGCGAACTGGTCCGTTCGCCGCACTGCGTGGAGAGTACGTCAGATAGCTCAAATAGACCTATGTGAACCCTCAAAGGAAGGTACATCGTATATGCACATAGGAAGACCCTCGAGATGGAGCTGGTTAGCGTACCATATGAGGCAGAACGTCACAAAGCAGAGGTTACCAAGGAGGTCGGGCATCGCGTTTTGGTTATAGGACCGGGATGATGATATACCTCTCGGTCGCGAGGACATAATCGTAGCGAGTTTCGTCAGCTATCCCCTCGATCAACCAGCCGATCTACTAGTAGCTCGACAATTTGACATCTACCTGGGCTACCTCCTTATCGTATCTGGTACCAGTCCTTGGGAAGGCCATATATTGTATGTACATAGGTTTACATTCGAAACAGTCGAAGAAGAGCGAGGAGCGCGGTCTCGAAACGCCCACACTGTCCAGCGCACGACTTCCCTTTCCCTTCCAACCTCCCCCCCAGTCACACGCAGTGTGCACAGTTTCGGCCTAGGATTCAAGCCCGCCTCAAGGCGGTTTGACGAGAATCAAGTCTTCTGGAATGCCAATATACCTTACTCTGACGAGAGGGTGACTTCGGCCTGTACTGACTGGCTTGATGAGCGAGCTCTTGACGCTAGAATTACTTTTGAAAAGGAAGAGCAAGCTGTGAGAAAAAAGCGAGATGGCGAAGCGAAAGGGCAGAGCGCGATGACAGCTCAAGTCTTTGAAGACGCTAGCAAAGCAGCCCGCGGTTTGCAACGTGTGGTGAGCCAAAGCGGAGATGTCCATGCGTTATCTGAATTCAACTCTTTGATCCAAGCATTGGGGCAGCTTTCCGCAGAGCTGCACTTGAAGAGAAATGGAAGGGACGAGGTGCCGGAGGCACAGCTCAGGGCGACTGTTGCTACTTGGGCAGGATGGAGGGCGTTTGACGTGGCAACTGGTAATGCGAGTTTGGATGATGTGCGCTCGTTTTGGGACCATCATGAAGCTGAAAAGAGGGTGACTTCTCAGAATCATGAGTTGCCCGCGGTGTTCACTGGGGTGTAGAGCTCACTTTGGTCATACAGCGCAAGAGGATGAGGGGGCTTGGCACACCATGATGAGAAATGTGAAAGGCACACCCACCGATGACATTCTAGAGGCCTTGGAGGAGGGACGCGCCTCTCGTCGCACACAACCCTCTCAATATCCTCAGCCTACCAGTCAGCCAACTTCTTCCCGTGCTTCTTCATCCTTCTTCCCACCAAGGCAGCAGAGAGATCAACTACTCGCACCTGGGCAGCGTCCCTATAGTCCAGGTAGTAGTAAACGATGGTAATTGAGTGACCTATGATGACTATACTTCGGTGTGTTCTACCTATCCGATGTTAGAATTCTCAGACGAGTGCGGAAGTAAGACAATCGTGGGAAAGACGCTTCTCCTCCTTTTCGGTCTCTTGCCACCCTTTCCTTTGGTCTTCTCAACCAGCCCACTCACGTCGTCACTTCGACAATCGGTCATAGTAGCTTCTAGCTTCGTTTTACCTCCTTGTCGAACCAGTACTGTATGCGATAAGAGGTACTGAAAGGATCATACATGTGTACAGAAGTTCACATTTAAGAGCCCCGAAGAGCAAGGAGGGTAGTTGGATGACAAACCGCGCCGGGGACACAACGGTTTTGAACGAAGTGATACGTACATGCGGAAACGTTCCTTTTCGGTCTCTCGCTACCTCCTTTCGTCATCTTTACGACAGGGATATTCGATGAATGGTACACGGAATGATATCAAGATTCGTGAAGGCTTCAATTGTGCATAAGACTAGAGGTCCGGATTTGCCACAGCCCTCTTCATCCGTCCTTCTCCCATAATTCTTCGCCAACCCAACCCAACAGACAATTGACACAAACCTCCTACTCGTCCGGCCCTACTATAACTTTTACCGACCGGCTACCAATATGTCTTTCGAGTTCCCAAGAAGGGCGCCAACGGCCGCTGAAATATCGTATCTACATCAACGACAGTCAGCGCAACCCGACCCCCTTTTCAGTCAGATGTTCTCTCAGCAAAGTCAGCCTTCTTTCGCATCTGCCAAGCAGCAAGGCCCCTGGAACACACAATCCTTCATCAACACCAAGTGTTCGGCCCCACCTCAGCAAGGAGAAGGCCGTCAATTCTACCCGCCACCACCCGATACTTTACGTTACTCTCAACCTCCCTCCGGCCAATATGCGAGCACTGCTCTTACCACCGGTCCTCCGCTCGGGCAGAATGTAAGCGTTCATCAAGTACCTCGACAGTCTCCATGGGCATCGCAGGCTCGTAAGACTTACAGTGTGCCACCCGCTTCGATTGCCCAACAGCAGACGACAAGGCAAAGTCAGCCCGCGTTTCAGAACACTCAAACTTCAGCCCCTCCGGACACTGCTTCCGTTGATGTCAGCGTGCACAATTTTGGTATGACATCCAAGCCTGCCTCAAGGCGGTATGATGAAAAGAAAGTGTTCTGGGATGCCAACGTACCTTCCACTCATGAGAAGACCACTTCGGCTTACAGTGACTGGCTGAATGAGCGAGCTACTGAAGCTAGAATCACTTTGGAAGAGAAAGAGGAAATCGTGAGGAAGAAGCGAGATCGAGAGGTCAAGCGGCAGAGCGAGATGACAGATAAAGTCTTTGTTGATGCTACCAAAGCCGCCCGTAGCTTGCAAAATGTGGTGAGCCAGAGTGGGGATGAGATTGCGATCTATCAATTCAACGACCTGGTTTACTCATTGCGCGACCTTTCCGCAGAGCTGAATATGGAGAGGGATATCAGGAACACAGTGACAAACACACAACTAGAGGCGACTGATGCTGCATGGCAAGGATGGAAGGTGACAAAGAGGGCGTTTGATGTGGCATCTGGCAATGCGAGTTTGGATGATGCGCGCTCGCTTTGGAAAGCACATGATGATGAAAGGAAGGCGTCTGAAAAGTGTAAGTCGCCATAGAGGTCGCGATCCGAAGCTGACAATGAACATACAGCACATAAAGATGAAGGGGTTTGGCACTCTATGATGAGCAACCTAGAAGGCACACCCACCTACGACATTCTGGAGGCTTTTGAGGAGGCACTCACCTCTAACCCTACACAGCCCTCTTTCTACCCTCAGCCTACTGCACCCTCCCATAACTCATTAAGCCCTACCCCATTCCCGTCTCAATTCCGAAGCAACTACCCGCTCCACCCCATAATAGGGATACCTGTTCAGCAACAACAGTACCCTCAGCGGAGTGCTGCCACCAATCACCTTACTCCTTCCATGTCCTCAAGCTTCTACCAACAACCAAGACAGCAGCAGCCCAATTCCCAGGGCTTCGCATCCTCTATTCCTCCTTACTAGATGTGGGCAGTAGACGATAGTTGCCGATGATCTATGTTCATAGCCTCCGTAACACGGTCCACTTTTCTACCCCTGTAACATAGCACATGCACTCGATTTCCCTTTCCCATCAGACTGCTGATAACCGATACTCAAGACAGATAGTATACGCGTGAAAACGAGAGCCACTTACTCCACTACGCACTCTCGTCATCTACCACGACTCTAGCCGTCTCATGACGTTTCGGATATGGGAAACTGCTTCCTGAATGACGGTACACGCGTGAGATAATGTCGGGAATCAAAACGCCCTCCATTACTGATACTGCGTACGACAATGGATCGAGATGGCAATCTGCCACATTTCTTTTTCCTCGTTCACATCATCCCGCCGTTAGCACACCAGACTAGCCGAGCCATTTCATGCACGAAGCTGCTCATTGCGGGCAGACAAATCTCACATTGTCTTCATCACACTACTAGTACATACCAACAACAACATGCCTCACGACGACCCGTCCAAATCAAGACGAAAGAGTAAGAAGTCAAAAGGCAAAGACAGAGCGCACTCTCATCACGATCAGCCGGCTTTTCCCACCACTCGACGTGATTCTGTATCTTCGAGTACTATATACGGAGGTCAGACTGGAGGGGTCTTATATGACGACGAACAGGCCTCCATGGGGACCTACACTCAAGCCACCACTTCAGCACCATTCCCAAACCCTCTCAACAAAACGCACAATTTCGGTATACAAGCCACTCCCGGTCCCGCCCAATACGCCCAAGGAGTGCACTCCTTCTGGGACGCCACCGTGCCTGGATCGGCTACAGGCGAAAACATGGCGACTGCTTTCGGCTCTTGGCTGGACGGACGGGCAGCCGATGCTAGAGCTACTCTGACTAGAGAAGACGATTACACCAACCACATGCGCGATGTCGATGTGCCAACCCAAAGCGCAGTGACGAACCAAGTCTTTTCACAAGCTACCGAGTTTCTCCCTCTCCTGCGCACTGCAGTGGACCAAAGCGGTGATCCCGAGGCGGTCACCCGGTTCATCTGCTTTGCAGAGACGTTGCGCACGTTGTCTGATGAGCTGCGTTACGAGAGGTTTTTGAGGGATGAAATGACGAATGCGCAGGGTAGGGCGACGGATGCTGCTTGGAAGGGTTGGAAGATGACGAGGAGGGGAGCGAGCTTGGCGGATGGGCATGCGAGCTTGGATGATGCGCGTGCGCTTTGGAGGTCTCATGAGGACGATAAAGCCACCAATTCACAGGACTGTAAGTCGCCTGGCCGCGGCATAAAGTAATTGGCTTGAGAACGAGACCTGACAATGACTATACAGTGTTGACGGACGAAGAAGGAGAGTGGGACTCCATGATGAGAGCTATAGGAGATACACCCACCGAAGATATTCTACTCTCTTTCAGAGCATAAATCGCCTCCATCATTCCATCGGCTTGCATCGTCTTCCTGACCTGTTCCTGACGGATCTTTCACTCTTTCAGCCAACTTTTCCTCTCTCATGCGTCAGACAAGATGTTTGAGTTGCCTTTACGTTCACCTGTACATAGATACTTGTCATCTCGATGCATTAAAACATGAGCCAAGATGATGAATGGCCCGTGAATGGTGATGATGAGAGCAGCCGAGCGGCCCCCTCCGCCGACGGGCTCATCTCGCAAAAGTGATGACATCCCATCTGCATCCCACGCGTGTTTATACTACTCTTCACAACTTTCCCCGTCACCACCCACGCATCACCACCCAACTGGCCTCAATGAGCAATCCCACCTCCGCCCTCCCCCCCCGCAAGGGCGCCCCTCCCACCGGCACCCCCCAACCAAAATCCACCAAACCACTAACCAAAGACCTCCTCGAAAGCTTTCACCCTTCCAAACGCTTCTCCGGCATCGACAATACCAACCCCCCTTCGGACTTGTCTGGTGGTCCTACCGAACATCATATTACCAGCTTGGCGTTTGACGCTTCTGGTATGAAGCTGATATGTGGAGGGGACGATGATCAGGTGTTTCTCTATGATGCGCTCAAGGGAAAGTGCGTGCTTGTGATTCTCTATACGACCCCCAGAAAAGGCTGACAAATAGATAGAATGACCAAGAAGCTGTATAGTAAGAAATACGGGGTCGACCACGTCCGTTTCACCCACAAATCCGAAAACATCATTCACGCCTCTACCCGTCGAGACGACGCGATCCGGTACCAAAGTCTCCACGATAATCGCTATATCAGCTACTTTCGGGGCCATACTTCGACCGTTCGGTCGATATCGATGAGTCCGACGGATGATACGTTTGTTTCAGCGGGGGATGATGGGACTGTGCGGTTATGGGACTTGAGGGCGGCGGCGTGTAAAGTGAGCGGGCTCGACACGACCGGCGGTTGCATGCTGATGAAGCTTAGGGACTGGTAAATGATATAGGAGGATCGAGTATTGCCGCTATGGATAACACGGGGATGGTATTTGCCGTCGCTTGTACAAGCGCGCAAACCATCATGATGTACGCTACCAAGACGATGGATGCCGTAAGTCTATCACTTCCCATACTCAAAGCTGACCTCTGTACCAGTTACCATTCCTCCACCTCCCTCTAATCGACATTGCCCTCGAGTCCATATCAACACCCCCTCCCGTCCCCATATTTACCTCCCTCTCCTTCTCCAACAACGGCCACTACCTCCTCGTCGGCACCTCCTCCGACGTTCATTACGTCCTCGACGCCATGGAACTCATCCCCCTCCGCCGTCTCGTCGGACACAAGGGCCTCGAAAGAGATGAGAAGGGCAACAAGACGGTCGAGCCCCGCAGAGGCATCAGCGGCGCCGAAGTCGGCTGGACGGGGAACTCGGAATTCGTCGTTTCCGGCTCTGCTACGGGAGAAGTGCTCGTTTGGGATCTGCGCCCGGTTGATGGGGCGGAGAAGCTGAATAGGAATGATTATATGGGAGGGAGCTGGGATGCGCCTGGGCAGGAGGCGCCAGATTGGACGCGGATTAGGATACCGGATGTGGTGCCGACTGTCGTGTTGAACAACAAGAGTGATACGCCTGGGCCGAGCAGGGCGGTGGCGTTTAATCCGAGATATAATCAGATGGCTGTGGGAGGAAGAGATTTGGTAAGTCGCGCTGTCCTGCTTGAGTGGATGTGTATGGCTGATCTGTGCAGTCGCTGTGGATTCCTCCAAAAATGGACGAGGCGAGATTAGCGGCCGAGGGGTACTGAGCAGAGATTCATACATCACCACGCATTGCATATCATCAGCATTATGTACACATGCATGACTGTAGCTTCTTAAGCCAGTGCAGGACTGTACAGCCTTTGTCTGGAACCAAACATTGAGATGAGAGAGTAGAAAGTTTAAATCCCGAAAGCCAAGAATCACGCGCGCTCTTTCTTTGCGGGCTACCACGCATTTATTCATTGCTCGACTTTTTCCATTCTTCAGCCAATACGACCCCCGAGAGGGCTATACAGCGTACATCTCTGCCTCCCACACTCCACGCCCCTCGTCCAAAAGCCCATGCGCCTCACCACTGCGCCCCGCAACATCCCTCTCCTCTCCCTCCTCATCCCCGTCTCTCTAGCAGCCCTCATCCTCGCCTATCTCTGGGCCCTCAGCACCCGACCGGATGTTCCCGAGAATGCTCGTATAAGCGATCGTAAGTCCAGCAAGAGTGCTGTAGGGGAAGAGCACGTGCTGATGGGCTTTTGATAGCGCTCAGGTGGGGGTTCCCGGCGTGGTATGGTGAATCAGAGAGTCCTTATGATAAAGTCTTTAAGGGTACTGAAGTTGTCGAGGAGGGGAAGCAGGTGTTGTTCTTTATCGGTAAGTGTCGGCTTGACAGTACTCGTACAACTGCTGACATGACCACAGACTTGCCTTGTACGTCCATCCTCGAACCAAGAATACTATCCAGCTGACAAACAAAAAGACGACTCTCTCCAAATCCCCCGCGCCCTATCAACCCTCTCCACCCTCCGCCAAAATCCCGCTCTCAACATCACCATCATTTCCCCCTTCCTCTCCCACTGGGACGCCGACCTGCCCCCAGTCGAGAACCTCGAAGCAGCGAGGTGTTCCGAGATGGACTGGGTATGGCGGATAGGAGGGAGTAGTCGTGGTGTGGGTGATGCGTGTCAGGGGGCGGTATGGATTAGGGAAGCTGTTGGGGGGTTGGAGATGGATAAGCGGGCGGATGTGAGTCTCAGAGATCTTTAAAGGTGCTCTAGCTGATCAGTGTTGTCCAGGTGCTGCTCTTGGAGGAGCCGCAGATGTTGCTGGCGGATGAGATCAACCCTTCCAGAGTTGAGGACAAGACTGTCAAAGGCTGGGAGCTGGGCCTGATCTCTTATGTACGACCAGCCGTGCGTCAACCTCCCCTTCTTGAACCGTACTCTCAGCTAACTCTTCATAGGCCGAGTAAGGCCACTCAAACACCTGTACCATGAACCAGCTAACATTCACACAGCCCCGCCGTATTCTACCCCCTCAAAAAAGTAAATTCTCCCCAATCAATAACATACTTTCCTTCATCCACCACCCCAACCCGAGAAATACCCAGCATTCCTTGGAAACGAGGATGGTCCACCTTCTCCCGTACGTCCTCCTCTTCCCTCCTCTGTACAATGATACTGATGTACGATCATACAGCTTCGAGAGGTCTTCCTCCACCCATCCGAGCGGGCCACGACCCCTTCAGAGCTGGCAGTACATACCTGAAATACTGGCACAAAGAAGAAAAGAGACGGGCCAAGGCTATGCGCAATTCGGGTATCTGTCTTGTACGTCTCTATGTCTTCTTTCATGTATTTCAAAGGAGAAAAGAGCTGACGGATAGGATTAGTTTGAAGGGTGGCAAGATGGGAGAGTAGATGCCAGGATGGTGGAAGCGTTCTTATCCGGCTGTGTCGTTGCTACCTTCCCACCTCAGACCGACTACGGTACGTCCCTCGCCTTCCCGTCTATCTCTATGACCTTCAAACTGACCAAAACAGACACCCTATCCTCCCTCATCCTCCCCCTCCCCAAACCCCCTCCAAGCCCTCACCAAACCCTCCCAGCCCAAGCCCTCACCACCCTCCTTTCCCACACCCCCATCGCCCAACTCCGCCACCTCTCCCTGAAATCATTCATCTCCGCCCGCCACCTCTTCATCCCTCCTTCCCGGCTTGAGAGTATACACCAAGTTGTAGATCGGTGGGAGAAGGGTGGAAGGGGATATGATTTCACGCATGGGTTCAGGTGGGATTGTGCGGGTGGGGTGGGGGCGCCTTGGTGTGGTGATGGAGGAGATGGAGCTTGATCGTATATTGCGTGTATAGTATTGGCTTTTGAGTGTCCATTTTTTTGCATTTACAAGACAAGACGTGTATCACCAGTCATCACAAGATCCAATAACCAAATGTAATCTATCTCACTCTATCTCTACTCTAAACAATCCTCCACAGATCCATCATACCACCCCTACAGCATCCTAGTACAGCCTAGCCCCCCCCACCTGCCCCTGCCCCTGTGTGGCATACTCATTCCCATTTCCCCAAAGGCCTCGCCTCAGGCCAATGCGCACTCCCACTCCCCAAATCCCTCGCCTCAACCTGCGTCTCCCCAGACCATCCCCCCTGCAAAGTCTGCCCCCTTCCACCCTCTTCCTCTTGCCCCGTGCCCGCTGTACCCGCTGTGCCCGCTGTACCCGTAGGTCTCGCCTCAGGGAACACGGCGTCGGTAGCGGTAGCGGTAACAAACGGGTCCCCACGATCCATCTCGACACGCCGATACTCCCCTGGCCCGGGAGAGTCGGCTTCGTATGACGACGACGGGTGCATGGCGTGTCCTTGGGAATCTTGGTGTTGGTGTTGCGTGAATGGAGATTGGTGGTGGTAGCCTTGCCCTTGGGTCGCTTGTCCTTGATCGTCGGCGTAAGCGTAAGATGAGGGTTGAGTCTGAGCCATAGGCGCAGCACCCTTGCCCTTGCCCCCCTCCTGGGCATAACTCTGGCCCCACCCACCGCCAACGCCACCGCCAGCGTTGGGGGAAGCGTCGCCGGAAGCGTTGCCGGAAGCGTCGACAGTAGAAGAGTTGCTGGAAAAGTGTTTGTTGATCATACCAATTTCTTGACTCTGATACGGGATGGAATCGGGCATGAACCTGTTTCATTCATCTTTGTCAGCTTCTTCCCCCTTCCCCTTCCCCCTCCCTCTCCCCTTCCCCCTCCCTCTCCCCTTCCCCCTCCCTCTCCCCGTCTCCTCACCCCACCCCCCCAAAAAAAGAAACAGAAATAGAAAGAAAGACGTACGTCCTCTGCAACATGGTATTCTCCGAATGCGTCCCCGGCTTCCCCCTCGCATAATTCACAAAAAACCTACACGCCCTATACACTTCCACCCCAAAGTCTGACAGGTTGACAGTATCCCAGATGGCTTGGAGGTAGGTTTTGAAATTGGAACGGGTTTCGCGCTGATGATGCGGGTTTTTGGATGGGTCGGTGCTGTTTGTCGGAGGGAAATTCTTTATGAGCTTGTATTCTTTACAGCAATGATAAGGAGGGAGAGAGAGGGGGGAGAGAGGGGGGGGGGGACATACTAATCAGTCCAATTATAAGCCCACCCCATATAAACACTAAAGAAAACCATCTCCACACACGTACACAGCGCCGCCAAGCCATCCGACACATTCGTCGCCGTCCACATGGCCGTGGCCTTGATGACGCCGTGGGATTGGAGGATGGAGAAGAGGAAGGATTGGTAGAATGTGAAGAAGACGATGAGTTTTATGGCTATGAACTTGTGGCATGAGGGGGTCAGTTGATGGCTTATGTGTTGAGAGATGGTAAGGAGGATGGAGGGGGTTGGGAGAGGATGGATGGAGAAGGAGAAAGGAGAAGGGACGAACCTTGTTCAAAGGTTTCTTCCCCTTCAGCTCATCCTTGCACAAAACATAAAACACAATCAGCCCATAAAGCGCTACCGAGATCGACACAAAGTCTACAGTGTCGAGGTATACGCCGGCATAGTGGATGGAATATGCTTCTGGGCAGAGCTGTTCCCCCGAGGGTTCGTCAGCTTTCTGGCTTTTTGACGCTTGTGGAGAAATGAGGAGGGAAGAGGGAAGGGGAAGACGGAAGGGGGGGGGGGGGAGGGGAGAAGGGAAACTTACGACGCGGTAGTATTGACAGATGATACCCATGATGGAGATGAGCGGCCGGAGGACGACATACTGCATCACGCTGAAACTGAGGGCATGCCAGAAATACGGCTTGCTCGCTCGGAACCTCCAAAAGCCGAACGGAAACCTAACTTTCCCATCAGCTTTTTTTTCCCCTCCCCACACCCAAGATGTACAAAGAAAACAACGAGAAAAAAACAAAAAAAAAGGAGGGAAAGGAGGAAAGGGCAACATACGGAAACTTGTTCTTATCCTTCTCCGCCAGCACCGACCCAATATGCATATCCACAGTCCCCATCGACACCAGCTCCATCAACAACATCAAAAACGCCGACAGCGTCACGGCTTCGTACGCGGTCTCGGCCAGGATGTAGTATTCGTATTCGGTGTAGTAGCGGTAGGAGAAGAAGGATACTATTGAGTAGCTTTTTGTTTTGGGTTCACGGTCAGCGGGGGCGGGGGCAGGGAGGGCAGGGAAGGGAAGGGAAGGGAAGGGAAGAGGGAAGGGACTCACACAGCAGGCATAAGAAGTACACGCATAACCTGTCTCTGCGCCGGGGGATGTTTGTACCTCGTAGCATGCATCGTCACTGTAAACAGCGTGATCAACGTCGTCTATGTCGCATCCGAACGTTCCGAAAGTCAGTATCTGTTGTCATGGCAGGGAAGGAAGAGGAGGGGAGGGGAGACATACGAGGGCAGCACAACCGCCTGCAACAGCCCATCTACGAATTCCGGCCCATCAGCTTTCCACCTCTAGATCACGTCTTTACTGCTTTCGGCCGGCCTAGGCGTAGGATTGGGGGGGGGGGGACGTACCCAATACGATGCGCATCCCAGTGGATCCCATCCTGTGACCTTAAGTCAGCGCAGATACCCTCCGAGGTGAGAGCAAGACCGAGGGACGACAAGGGCGACAGTCGTCAAGATGGAAAGACCGACTCACCGAGCTCCAGAATTCATCGTCCACCGCCTATCACCGCCATATTCCATAGCCATATCATGATCACAGTAACAGTTTGATGTGTCGAAGAGCGGGGGAGTGGTGGGAGGACGGGGGACGGAGGGAAAGTCAGTCGCGCTTCAGACCACGACACCTCGAGGTACAAGTAGAAGACTGACAGTAGAATTTGTTGTCTCTGTAGGGCACGACATGCACTAGTCCTCTTCCTCCTTCTGTATCCCAATGTGTTGTTGAGAGATGCGGCAAGGTGGGCAGAAGCGGATGGTCCGTTCTGAATCCTGCGGGTGGCGTATGCTTGAGAATTGCTTTATGGATCCTGCCGTAAAGCTTGTTGTCTTGGTATCACTTGTTGTCGGGTGGACGCAAGGTGGGCAAGGGGATGAGATGAGGATGAAAGGAAAGCGATGTATATAAAAGAAGAGAACAAAAGGTCTCCGAGTGCGGTTGCTTATTTTAGAACTGCCCTACTTTTCTACTCCAGCAACCCCCTGACCCCCTCAACAGCCCTCTGCCCGACAACCTCCCTCGTCCCATCAATATCCACAGCCACCACATCCTCCTCCCCTCTCGGATCCTCCAGAATCGCCAGCTGCCCCTCCAACATCTGCGCCCCAAAGAAATGGCCCTTCCTCGCCGCGATCCGCTCCTGCAGCAGCTCGGGCGTACCGCAGCAGTAGACAAAGTATGTTTTCAGATTGGACGTCGCGCGGTGGTGCGCGTTCGGCGCCGGGTGGTCTTCCACCTGCGCCCCAAACCTTATCAGCTCTCTCTGAACGAAGAGAAATGGGACACTCACCAAGTCGTCTTTGGGAGGCGGATCAGCTTCCACAACGCCCCTTAGGATATCCCTATACCACCCCTTCAACGCCGAACAAGCTACCACCACCCCCGGCCTTCCTATCCCCCCTGCCCCTGCCCCGTCCTCCCCACCCTCCCCCTTCTCACTTTCCTCCTTACACACCCGTTCCGCCGTAGACCGTATAAGCGCCAACCAAGGCAGCCGATCCTCATCACTCAACGCCTCCCCCCGCGACATCTTTTCCACATTCGATTTTGGGTGGAGCGAGTCGCCGTCGATGAAGGGGATGTGGAGGGAGGACGCGAGGTCGGTGCCTATCGTGGACTTGCCGCTGATAAGCACGTATCAGCACGATTATATAGTTTGTGGTCTGTTGTCTGATGTCTGATGGCTGTTGTCTGTTGGGGGGGAAGCTTACCAGGATGCGGGGCCCTAAGAAACGTTAGCTCAGAGGGAAGAGGAGGAAGAGGAGAAGGGGAAGGGTGATGACGTACCATAGCGATAATCAGCACAGGGGCCGGCAGGTGGGCCGGGACTGTCAACTCATGCTCGGGCTTGGGGGACATTGTTATTGTTGCTTATGTATTGTGTTCTGTTGATGTGTATAAAGAAAGACGAGGGAAGAGGAAGAGAAGAAAGAAATGGAAGAAGAGAAAGAGGAGAAAGATGTCATCCCCCGCGAAAACGGCATCCGTCGGCCCGAATCTCCGAATCCCATTCCCCATCCATCCATCCATCCATCCATCCATATCATGCAAATCCAGATCCACTTTGTTTCCTTTTTGGTCCTTATTCATACATACTGCCCTCAAAGTACATCGCCCAACAGAGAAAAATCAATATCAAAGTATGAAAATTGTAGTAGAATCCCTCTGCTTATATATGTAAAGTAGGCGCGTCCTCTAAAGCCCTTATCACTTCCGCGGCGATGTCGATGAAAGAGAGAAAGAGAGAGAGAGAGAGAGATCTAACAACCGCCGACCTCTGTTTACCCACGTTAGCGCACTGCACCCTTCTTCTCCAGTCGATGGTATAGACAAGGTAAGAGCAGGGCAGGGGAGGATAAGATACGAGAAGAAACAAGATGATAGGAGAAGAAGGAAGAGGGGGACATACGCTGAAGCACGACATCAAGCGAATCACCATCTTCCAGATCAAGGTCGGCAGCAGTCTGGTTGTCGAGGATACGTTCGCCGTCAAATATCAATCTGTTTATGCCAAACCCCATCCACCCGACAAATGAGGAAAGATGAATGTGACGCATGAGAGAAGGAAAGGAGGAGGGCAGGGAGAGGGAGAGGGAGAGGGAAGGGCAAAGTGAGCGATATCCAGCGGGCAGAAGGAGAAGGGGAGAGGGGACGTACCGGATAGAACCAGCATCGGTACCAACACGGTCGGCGTAGGCAGTCTGACAACAACGCGTCAACATTACATCCCACCCCTGTCATCTTTGTCCTTATCGCCTATCGCCCATCTCCCCGTCTCCTCTTGCAACCATCCTCAGCCACGACCCCCCCAAGCACCCAACAACCTCGCGCCCTTCCCTCCCTCCTCCATCCTCCTTCTCCATCTCCAAACAGCGGGGATCCCACCAAGAAAACATCCCAACATCCACATCCCGATCCCGATCCCGTGAGAGAGACGGTGAGAACGCACCTTGAGCTTGTTCAACTTGGTAGTCTTCTTGATCTTGAAAAACACTTCTTCGCCGTTGGTAGACACGATCTTGATGTTGAGCGTGTTGGGGTCTAGTTTTGTGTGTGTGTTTTTGGTTTTTTTTTATGGATCACATTGCCGTATCGTATCGTATCGTATCGTATCGTATCGTATCCGATTCGATCCAATCCAGCCGATTCCAATCGGGATGGGAGGAGGGGCAGGGGCAGAAACAGGGGAAGAGAGGAGAAGATGAGAAGAGAAAGAAGAGAGCGTCAGCTTCTGTATCTTTTTGCCGCCTCCCACCATGTTACGTTACGCGTTATCTCTTCGCGCGGGCAATAAATAGTCCCACAATACTTTCCACGCCGATTCGCACGTCCGGCGGGCGGGCGGCGGATCGGCGAGTGGACCTAAAGGGAGAAGGAAAGAGGGGAGGTGGAGAATGGATGGATGGATGGATGGGTGGATGGGAAAGGGGGAGAGGGGACATACCGGCAGCGGGTTCTTCAGGCTTGGGCTTCTCCTCAGGGGGGTTGGATCCACGGTCAGACATTCTTGCTTTTTTCAACCTGTTCTATTCTTTCCTATCCAGCCCCTTCTTATCAGCTTCCTTGCTCCTTTTTTCCCCTCTTCATCCTCTAGGGTTCCAGTGGAGCTTACGGATTGCGAAAGTAAGGTGATACGCGTTGGGGGGAGATGGGATGGATTGGAGAAAGCCGTGGGATCGCAGAAGTACGCGTTCGTCGGGCGTTTCTTATATGGGGGGCACATCCGTATTTCTCGTCGTTGGGCGTAATATCGGGCATCTTTCATTAGGTTTATTAGGGGGTGTGCTTGGCGACGGATTTTGGTGGGGAGCAGGGAGTTGGGGGATGTACTGACTGGGTGAGAACAATGTGAGCGGGTGGGGGGTCGTGGGAGACGGCTGAAATATTAAGACTTGCGCGCTGGACAAGTTGAACAAGGCCAACTCGTTTCTTCCACCCGTCATGCAACATGACTCATACACAGGAGTATTCAGTCATGAGCTTATGATCATTTTCATTTTCGAGGGGGGCTCCAAGGTAGCAGAAGGTGAGACTCATGCATCCAGAGCTATCATAAAGGGCCCACGTCGAGCTTGAATCGTTCACTCTCAACAAGATGTACATACAAGACGGAGTACTCGTGAAAAGACCTATAACATACGTTCTCTTTCCCCTTCCAAAGCTGCAAGAAAGTCCAGCATCTAACACATCATCAGCCTCACACCGCTCAGCTCAAGCTACAAACCACTCACAGTCTGATGCCTCCTCTCCGCCTCCTCCCTCCCCGGAACACTCTTCATCCTATCCCTCACCCTCAACAACTTTTCCTCAAAATGCCCCTCCGCACTCTCCCCATCCACATCATCCACCAACAGCTTTCGCCTCACATTCGAACTGTAAGCCGCACACCGCATCACCCCCACAGCGCCGATAGCGTCAAGACGATCGGCATCTTGCACTGCGTGCAGCTCCGCGCATGTTTGTTGCCACGTCCATCGGGTCGGGGTGGCACGGGTGAGGGAGAGCTCGGAGGTGTAGGAGACGGAGGGGATGATGGAGAGGATCAAGTCGATTTTGGGTTGGGGGAGGTGCGGGGAGAGGAGAGGGGTGAGGGTTTGGGACAGGGTCGGGTCGGTGGGTTTGGTGTACTTTTCTTTTGTTGTTTCGCATTAGTGGGTTGGAGTTGAGGGAAGGAGGAGGAGGAGCCTTACTGTCTGCGACGTCGTGGAACAATGCGGCGAGCTCGACGATGAGCAAGTCGGGCGTCGGGTCCATCTGTTTTGCGATAGCCAAAGCCATTTTGCGTACCCGGTCCACTATACAGTCAAGCTATTAGCGACTGTAGACAGCAAGATCAGAGAAGGGACATACCGTGTGGCCAGTCATGAGAAGGGTCATACCTAGCATCATCAGTCAGCGGCGGGTGCGTTAAACAGATAACAGATAGGGGAAGCAAAAAGACGTTACTTTGCCATATGCGCCTTGACCATCTCTTCTGCCCTGGCGATAAGGTCGGAGTGGGTTTCCTGGGTCATGCTTGCCAGTATAGTATATCTGTGGGTTTGAGAAAAGGGGGTTGTGGCGAAGAAAATGTGGAAAGGTGCAAGAGATGATGATTTGGGCTCAAGATGACTGGACCAAAAACAACGCGTCCGACGCGAACGCGTTCACTTGTATCTTGTCGGACATCACCGTTCTTTGATAGTCGTTCGACATGCCGTCTCGGGGCCTCGCTATGACTCTTCCAAAGATGATTGCTTTCTCATCTTCCCGCAGCATATCAGAATTACGCCCCCCCCTAAGCATGCTAAGCTCTCTTGGCTCTCCTTTGAATCCCATGATGTCTGGACAACGATCGTTTTCATGAAAGGACACATCAATCGCCCTGCCTCCTTTTCCCAGACCTCATACTCTGTCACAGCAAGGGGTGTATGACGATGAAGGCTTATAATGACCACCAATGGAGGGACATATAATGTGACTCACTCAAACCCTTCTTTGCCGCCCAATACTCGCAGTCTTCTTCCTATCAAGGCGCGTATATCTCGGCCCTCTTGTCAAGAGAATCATGTTCATCGCCAACTCTTACCCTCACTCAAAATACGCCTCAAAGCATAGTATGGCCTAGCAACTAATCATGGGGAATGCTCAATCGAATTACCAGCGCAGAGCCGATCTGAATGGACCTTTGTTTGGAGGACATTATCCAGGGGATTTCTCGATACGCGTAAGTGCAGATTACACACTTCTGTGTGGTAAGATTTCGCTCTGAGGCTGATTCTGGTTATCATTGTAGAGTGGGCAACAGCAGCAACAACCTGATTGCAACAAACCTCTACCACCGACGCCCCGAACAAAGACTGTCAACTTTGGTTCCGATCCTGCGTGCGTGTGTCTCAGCCTCATAACCCACAAACAGATAATTTGCAGAAAGCTGACAAACAGTGGTAGCCCATGGGTCTTGTACAAACATCGTCCCCCCGACGAAAACCTCGTCAACACCCGCTACTGCCACCCATCCTACCGGAGCCCATCCCCACCTCAACAGCAAGTATCGCCACCTCCGCCATACGCATCTTGTATCGATGAGAAGGGGTCAGAATCCACAACACAAAACCTTTGGGTTTGACCGGCCAGCTGACAGAGAGTATAGGAGGACGAGGATGGATTACATGCCTATCTATGTGAAGCTCGTGTATGAAATATGTATTGTTATGTGACCTGTATGAACATGCTCTCAACATCTACTGCGCCTTTTCAGCACCCTCAACACCTCTAGCCACTTTCGCAGCCGCCGCCTTCATCTCCTTCCACTCTGCCTCCGTCCCCACGGCTTTCGTCTCTTCCTCCACCGGTTTGGCCGCACTCTGTCCACCGCCATTGGGCTCTTCGCGTGATGATGTAAAAGGGTTGATCTGCTGAGAGATCCGCGAGATGTGCGAGACGTGCGATTGGACGGGTTGAAGACCATTTGCCGGTGCTGTAATCCGAGAATACTCTTTCGGCAGCAAGATAGCTCTAAATCTCACCATCAGCCATCGTCCAAACTCTACACACCGTTATACTCACCTATCGATGGCCACGGGTAAACCACGATGCCTGCCTCGGAGCATGACGAGAATCATAATCAACTTTGATACCGTACCGAATTCGCCAGAGAAGGCGTAGTTGTTGTTTGGCGTGCCGAGCGTGAGGCCGATAGTGGCGTATGCGCTGGTACATTCAAACAGGATGCGAAAGACTGTAAACCACTCGCTCCTATCATCCCATCAACATCTCCCTCATTGAACATGACGAAGAAGACTTACTTTTCAGGATCAACAATCTTCCCTCTCTCAAACACACATATAGCAAGCACAGCCGCGGCCAAAGGCCACATATCAAACGCCAGCTGTTTCCGCATATGCCACATCAAATACTTGCTAAACACTTCCCCTCTACCTCCCTTGAGTTCGGGCTCAGCGTCGGAAGAGGTGGAGGGGTCGTCTTCTTCGTAGACGCCGAGAGCACGTTCTTCGTAGACGTTGGTGGATCGGACGGACATGGCGATGGCTTGGGGGTGTTGTTAGTTTGGGATAGGGGTGAGAGGAGGGGACGTACGGTAGATGGCGACATACATCAGTATCTTGAATATAATCAGCATTGTTCAGCTGACGGATGGCGGTACTCACGATATAGATAAACAACACAGCCGGCGCCATACTCGCGACATTCACAATTCCAAACCCCGACGCCCTCACACTCAAACTCTGATACAACCCCACCGAAAACCTCTCCCACCCACCCAAACTCTCAAGCACCGGCAACCCAATATTAAGCAACAAGAACGAAAGCAGCTCGGCGATCGTAAATGCGATAAGGATGAATAGGAGGTACCACGTTTGATGACTTGGAAAGAGGTAGAGGAAGCAGCGGCGGGGGTGGTCGAGCAGAAAGTGGAAGGATTCGTTTCGGGTTCCGGTACGGGTGAGTTTGGTGCCAATCCAGATGATGAAGCGGAGAGCGATGGGGAGGGCGTGATTGCCGACGAGGAGACCGATCATGATGATGTAGATGAGGAGGTAGTTGGTTTGGAAGGGGATGAGGGCTTGGTCCGTAAGCCTATTGTTGCGGGTCAGTAGGGTGGGATATAGATAAGGAAAAGACGCACACCATACCGCACCCGGCATAAGCGGAGGAAGAGAGGAAGAGGGAGAACCAAGTCTTGTTGACGGTCCCAGCTTGTGTCCCAGCGTTCGCTTCAAAAGCGCTGTCCCAAGAGTGGACTTGGGAAAAGTAGATGGCCAGGACGGCGAAAGGGATGACTTGGTAGAGGAAGATGTACTGTCGCGTCAGCCTTTTGCCAAGAGGATCGAAAGCGTACTCACAGAAGAAACGAGATAACTCAACAGCCTGAGCGCGCGATACTCTACCCCTCCAATCTGCTCCAGCTCTTCATCCTCCAACTCTTCCGTCCAAAACCTCGAATTCCGCCCCACCACAATCCTGCCCAGCCCCTCCGGTAACCACTTTGCCACGCTCCCCGCCAGTTCTTCCCTCCAGCTCTCCTCATGCTCCGGCACTGGCCCCGCCCCAGGTTCTTCTCCTTGTGCAAACTCATGTTTGAAAGCAGGGTGGTTGATGATATGCAGCCGCCGCGTCGGACGGGTGAGACGACCTTTGGTACTTTGAGGGAGGAGGCGGTTGGCAACTTGCCAGAGCGTTGGGAACCCGCCCATGCCCGTGTTTTTGGGGTCGTGCGCAGCAGGGATAGGGATGTTGGGCGCGGCTTTGGAAGCGTGGGTGGCGTGGGTGAGGTGGCTCGTATGTGAGACGTGGCTGGTGACAGGGACGAGGGGTTGGTGGATATCGTGGGGGAGTCTGTCGTTGACGATGAATGTGGGGCGGTTGGGCGACAAGTTGATGCTGTTTACGCGAGTTTGCCGGCGGACTCTTTGGCGGGCGTCAAAGAGGGGGTTGATGGCGCGTTGGATGATGATGGGCTGGGGTTGTTTGAGGGCGGTGGTGGTGCCCTGGGCAGAGTCGGCTCGAGAGACGGTAGCCCCGGTGTTGAGCAAAGTGCGAGAGGCGTCCCCGGACCTGCCGACGGTCGATGGGACGTTCTGGTATGGAGCGTCACGCCCTTCTCCAGACTCGGCACTCCTCCGATGACTCTCTTCAAACGTCATCTCCACCGGCGAGTCAGACATGACCTGCTCCTCCTGCGCTACCCCACCGTTTTGCCCCTCTTCATGCCCAAAATCCCCAAATGACTCGATCTTGTGCCCATCCATCGGCCCAGAAAAGGCAACATCTTTCCCCTTCAGCCTCTTGACAGTGGACTTGGTGGTCGAGTATTCGGGAAGGCCGCGGCGGGATCGGTCGTTGGCGAGAAGCTGTTCGCAATGGGTACGAAAGTAGCGCTTGCGGACGAGGACCATGATGAGGGAGACGAAGGAGGAGTCGCCGATGATAAAGAGGACGAAGAGCATGAACTGTTGGAAGGGGTGGAGGGCGGAGAGGTTGATAGTGCATAAGCCTGTCGTGCTGTGGTCGGTCAGCTGGGGACATGGGAGCGACGAAATCACGCACGTCATGGCAGAGAAACACATGAATAGGCAGTCGAGGTACTGCACCTTTTGCAGTCCTGTCAGAGTGCTGTTGGCATTGCCAGTCGCCGAGCCATTCGCAGCGTAAAAGATGCCAGAGGCGATGACTGCTCAGACGTCAGAAACGTTCCGTCCTCAGGGATGCCCAGCTCACTGGGTGTGAATGTGAATACCAAGATGTGTACGCGAAAGAAATTGAGGTGTCTGAGCCCTCTATGCCAGTATTCAGACATGGCGGACAATGCTGCTTTTGCAAGTTTGTGGAGACAAGAGGATGAGATATCATCTTGGGTATTGTTTTGGGGCATGATCTTCGAGGGATGAGGTACCAGTGCGTTGTCGGGTCTGGGCTCCAAGAGGGGGGTCTTGTAGCTGCCAGGGAGGGGCCTTTGGGGGACAGGCGGTGTGCGGCTGGCGATCCTGGCGACCTCCTCATGGCGGGCCGCGAGGCGAGGCGCTACACTCGAGACATCGCAGGGGCAGATCTGGGAGGCGAAAGGGCGAGGGGTGGGCGTAGGATATGCCAAAGGATGGGGGCTGAAAATTTTGAATGCTGCAAAAAACGACGGAAAGGATGCAAGAGGACAGCCTCCACCGCCACACTGGGTCACTCAACATCAATTTCCCTCGTGTCGTTCTTCACTGCCATGGTGATGCTCAGATATGTACACAGTACTGGCTGGTTATACACACTACTGTCTGTTTGGGGCTTTAAATTGCAGGTGGAGTCTGTTGAAACCAAACATAAAAGGGTCGTCGTTCTGTCACAAATCGCCGACTCTCATGATCCTTTCTTCTTTCTATCGACTCCTGTTACGATGTTGCGTACACTCTTACCATCTCTGATTATGACTCACACTCTTTATATTTGTACTATACCAATTCTGCTTCTCGCTATCTAGTAATCCTACTCACGGTCGCTCTCTCCCACAACCCGAAAACAACGTTCCCGCCAGCATAAAGAATAGCCCCTTCAGCGCCCAGGCTTATAACATAGTAGAAAATGACAGACTACATTCCAACGACCGACAGACAATTCCATCAACCCCCATCTCGCTCTTCTCCCTCCACATTCTCCCGCCTTAACATGTCTTTTCCAAAACAGTATTCCCAACCCCCATCCCGCCCTGCTCCCTCCTCATTCAATCGCCCTTACATGCCTTTCCCAACATCACCAAACAACAACAGCAGCACGAGCCACCCTACGTACACCCCAAGTCCAACTGCCTCCCGCGGCGCCTATGGGATTGGCCCACAAGCGGCTGGCGGCGAGTATCATTCGATGCAGCCCTCAACTCAATTTACTGGGCGGCAGTATCCATCGAACGTTTGGACCGTACCCGTACCACCCCACGGCAGGCGGGCGGCTGTTCAACCAGCATATGTCTCGGCAGCATCAAAACCACCGATACGCCGAACGCAAATATCAAACCCATCTAGCAATCTATTCGGACCTTCACAACCCACATATACATTCGGCCTGAAAGCGCCCAGCGAAAGAAAGACGGAGGAGAGTACGTTCTGGGAGTTGCCATCTGCAGTAAATGCTAGCAAAACGCATGGGGATATATATCAAGATTGGCTAAATAGCCAGGCGGGAGATGCGAAACAATCACTGAATTCGCATGCCAAGACGGCACAAGACACGATACCAAAAGTCAAGCACAAGTCAAAGATGACTGATAAAAGTTATGGCGCTGTCTTTTCGGCCGTATCACGAATCCGAGAGAGGGTGTCGGCTTGTGAAGACCCACAGTTGATATCAGCCTACAAACATCTCTCTGCCAGTCTGAGAGATCTTGAAGGGGATCTTGGCGAGGAGAGGGAGGCGAGAGATGGGTTGACTGAAGCACACGCGAAGGCGGCGGCTACTTCGTATAAAGGATGGAGATTGACAAGAGCGGGGCTGGATGTTGAGAGGAGTTTGCAGTCTTTGGATGATGCGCGATGGTATGAGAAGCAATACAAGAACGATCTTTCCTCTTCCAGAGCATGTGAGTCGCTCTCTCGGGAATCAGTTCTATCATCATCGTTCTCAACGAACATCTGATTGCTGACGACTGTTTCCGATAGCATTGCGGCAGCAAGCACCATGGGAAGAGCTCCTCTCAAGCGTCAACAACCAATCAACCTCCGACATCATCCGCCAAGCATATCGATCAGCCAACCCGGATGATGACGAGACAACGCCAGTTCCCAGAGTACGCGCAAAGTTGCAACGACGTGGGTCAACATACGCATCTTCTTCGGCTCCTTTTTCCACTTCTCCTTCAAAAGGGTCTACGTCGGGGTCGACTGGGCGTCCCTCGTTTCTCTCAAGGGTGTTTAGGAGCGCCTCATCCCGTGGATAGTTGATAGCATCTTCTATCAACGACTGTAGGCGGTGGAAACTTGCTGGAGGCGTATTTATTTTCTCAATGACTGGCCCTGGGAAACAAATCGGTGGAGATAGGAGTTGAGCAAAAGCATGAAAAGACAGAAGCAAAGGATGTTCATGAATGTCCCTTCAATAGTCGATAGATGAATTGACAAACGATGGAGATATGGCCGTCGTGGAACAAGGGATCTTGGGGTGAGCCGTGAGATGGTATTTTCTAAGGGTGAAAACTGAAAGTGGGCCTGCAATTTGGAACCAAGGAGCATCGACTTCCTGTAGAAGATTGGCGAAAACACTTCATACATGCTGCTTTTCCTTTCATCTCACCGCCCAAATGCTCTAGCCCCCGACAGTGCACCCCTCTCTTGTTGATAGTGATCCAAAAGACAAATTAAAGCTTGCTCTTGATCTCCTCAAAGGTTTTCTTAATCTCATCCATAGGAGTCTAGCAGCCATATCAGCACTCTTTCATCGAAGCAAAAACGCGCGAGGAGACCCACTTTCTGACCTGTAAGCCGAACCCACCCCGCACAGACATCAGTTAGTGATCCATGCCACGGATATAAAGTGAAAGGCAACGTACCGGGCCATCCAACGACCAAACCCTCCTTGTCTCCAGCATCAGCAGGCTTGGGAATGACGTGGAAATGGACGTGGTCGACTTCTTGATGAGCGGGTCTGCCGTTGTTCTTTTGCCTGAATCAGCAAAAAGCCCTTGTCTGTGGAAGTGGGAGGGAGATAAGGCGTACTTGAAGAATGTTGTAGTTCTCGGCGCCCTTTGTAAAGATGTCAGCTTGAGATCTGATGCGCAAGGTCAAATCGGAGACGGTACGCACGGTAGCGATAGCGAGCTTCTTGAGAGCGGGGAGGATCTCGCTCATCTGGTCGTCAGGAAGGTCGGAAAGCTTCGCAGCATGGTCTACTCACATCCGTCAGTTTACAGAAGTTCTGAAGAAGAACGAACGTACACTTGGGAACGACAAGACAGTGGCCCCTGGAAATAGGTCCAATATCCATGAAAGCGAGGATAGACTCCGTTTCAATGAGCTTGAAACTACAGGCACACAGTCACACCCGCCACCCCACGCACTCTGGTCAGTCACATATCGAACAGCGAAAGAGGGTGGACTTGCGAAGGGATTTCACCTGCACGGCTGGTGAGCTCTCACCTCGAGTCTGGCTGAGGGAGCGTACTTACCCTTGACAATCTTGCAAAAGATGCAGGAGGCGAGGGAGGACATTCTTCGGGTGGCTTGTTGCTGTTATGAGTAGGTAGCGTGGTTAAAGAGAAGAGTGGTTTTGCTATCGCTGTCCATTTCGGCCAAGGCGCAGCAGCCGGCTCGGAGCCCCAAACGCTTATGTAACGTCGCGTCGCGTCCATCTTTTTTGAACTGTATTATATGTAGATGCCGATCGAACTGTCCAGCTACTCAGAATAGCCGAGAACTACATCGACATATCCCCAGCGACCCTTCACTCCTCCCCATGAGTTTCCACATCAGCAAGAACCTGCCCAAGAAAAGGACGACGGCTACCATCCTCCAAATGAAGCAACTGTCGGACCTGGTGTGTATGTTTTGACGATCTGCCGCATTACCAGACTTAGGGCGCGAAATCATCATGTAGTGTTGTCTTTAAGAGTTGGGACCGTCAACGGGTTGCAGTTTTTGCGGGTGTCCTTGAGGCGCTTGATCCACGCCGTCTCCTCCCGCCTGTAGCCATCACCAATATTCCAGCCCTCTCTCCGATCCATTCTCCCGATTTCAAACACAAACCCTTTCCATTCTCCTTATTAGTCGACCTTCCGATCACCACCTCATTGCTGCTTGGCAATATGTACCACATCCGAAGCGCCACCGATCAGTATCATCAACCGAATATGCACCCTGTCTATCATCACAACGATCGATCCGGCGAATTTGCAGGCAAGTGAAGTTTTGGTTGTAAAAGTCATTTTGCATGATTCGTTTAGAGAAATATGATGATGGTCATTGAATGACGACCATGGTTTGGTTGTTGTAGTAGTAAGAGTGATTCCCGTATGAAGATGCTATGATTATGGACACATGAATAGTTCTTTTCCTCGAGCACGGAAAGATTCCCCCATATGCTCGAGACGTTACCACCCCTTGCCCGTATCAGCCTCAACATCCTCCATCGGTGTGCCCCAGTCCTTCTCCTTCTCTTCGCTGACCGGTTCCCATCCTGTCCACTTCACGGAAAGTCCATCTCCCCTGCTCTTGGTCACTTCAAACTCTCCATCTGCTTGCCCTCCCTGTCCTAAAGGCGCACAATCACCCCACCCGCCGAGGGAACCCACCAACCACCGCTTCGACCCACCACAAACCGCCGCTATCGCCAACACCCCCCAAAGCTCTTCGAGCGATACTTCCGGTGTCGACGACCCCCCGAAAAACTCTCTCACTTTGGCTCTGACAGCTTCCGGGTCGGCCTTTGCCCCGTCCCCTGGCGCCGTCCTCGGATGACTAAACCTCCCCGCCAATTTGTGCGGATGCGACGATTCCTTGCTAGCGGGCATGAACGGTAACGGTGTCGTGCGGACGGACCGGGGAGAGCGCAGGGGCATACCGCTGCCCATACGGAAGATGGCGGTTTGGGAGGCAAAGATGGGTTGGTTGGCGTTGTGTTTGTCGTCTGGGGGGTAGAAGGAGGGGTGGGAGGATGTTCCGACGCCTGATACTTCGACTTCGTACCTAGAGCAAGAGTCAGTGATGAAAAAAGAGGGGAGAGGGAGATGACGTACCCCCAGTCGGCAGCAGCTGTTTCGGCCCATGTCCTGAACTCTGCTCCGGTCATCTCGATCTTGTGGTCCGAGTGCCTACAAATCACGTCAGATCACGTCCTTGCGCCCCTCGCAAACCTGTAGATACTCACCTAAAGACACGCTGAGTACGTCCGGTAGGATCCACAAACCCTCTCTGTGCAAACCCGTCTTCCTGCGCCCGCGGAAACTTGGCATTGAAATCGAAATTCTACACACACACACCATCAGTCCTGTGCCCACAGATAGAGGAAAAAGGAGAGACTCACGGGCGTAGAAACCAGCATCAATCTCGGCCGATACGTCCCCAACGTAACGACACCAAACCGGCTGAGCACATTCGGGTCCAAATGCTCAATAACCTCGAGCGCGACGATAGAGTCGTAACCTTCCAGCTTGGCGTTGTACTTCTCGAGGCCGCCGAGCCAGAGTTCCGTGCTGAGGGGTTCCCAGCGGGGACGAGGGGGAGGGAAGGCGTTGGAGGAGGATTGGGGGTTGATGATGGAGAGCGCGGGAGCAATGACGTCGCGGGAAACGTCGATACCTCCAAGACGCTTGAGAAGAGTCAGCCTTGTCATACTTTAGACTTTCTACAAAGAAGAGGGACGCACGTTGATGAACAACTCGCTTTCATGGTCGAATCCGTCTTCATCGCTATCAACAGGACTAGGGAGCTGCGAGCCTTTCTGTTGCCGGGCAGGCTTGATGGGAGGCTCGTAGACGGTAGAAGCTGGCATCATGAGCGTCTCGAGGAGCGCACCTGCGCCGCATCCTACATCGAGGACCTGCACGGTGCGTCAGCGCTGAAGATGAAGGCATGCCTGGTTTCACTTACAGATCGTACACCTTCCTTTCGGAGCGCCTGTAGAGCCCACTGTCGACGCTGCATCCAAAGCCTACAGAAAATCAAGTGTCAGCAAAGTCGGTCTCTTTTACAAAGATGTGGCGATGGCGACAGTCCACGTGCTGATGTCGACTGCCGACCAGCCAAGCGAAGGGTGGCTTACTCGGGTGAAAATGTGACGCCCGTGACGGCAGTTTCCTCGACCATGGATACCTCTGGTACCTGCGCATCCTCTGGAAGGGTATCGTGGGCCAAGAGCTCGGGGGAGCCGGTGGGGGACTCGTCGAGGTCGACATCAGGAGGAGGGGACATGGTGGAGAAGCGCAGGGAGTTGTACTCTAGAGCGATGAAGTAGGAGGTCGAGTAATGTGATAAGAGATAGCCCGGGCGGATTTTGGGAGGGGGGATGAAAGGGAAGATGATATCGTTTCGAGTTGAAAAGAAAGAGAAAGAGAAAAGAAAAGCGAGAGTTGTCCATCGAAATAGCCGGCCCGCGCCCCACGTGGGGCTTCAATCGAAGAGTCGAATCTTCCCGCTTCATGCTTGTTGCCCTGATGCATAGTGTAATTGGGAGGGCATTGGGTCGCATGGACACCCCCCATGCTACGATGGTGCATGGGCTGCATGCATACCCGCGACGAACAAAAGCTGTCTTGGCTTTAGCGAGTACGGCACCCCGCTCGTGAAGCATACTTTGCCGGTGCTCCGTTCCGCTCTCCATCCCAGCTTTCTCTCTCCCCTTCGCCCTCACTGCCCTTCTCTGCCCCCCCATCCTCTCCCTGCCCCATGCATACATTCCCCGTCCCTACAACCCCTCGCCACTCTCGGCACGTGACGCTCCCCTGAACCCTGGCCCCGTGGTGTCCCGCGTCTCCGGCAATGAAGCACGCCGTTTTAATCCCGTGATTCCAACTTCTCGTGCCTGTATGCTTATCAGATTGTGTGGACTTCTGTGGCAACGAATGGGCAGTCACTGCCACATCTATCCACTGGAACGGGCCGTTGACGGATATCCATAAATCTTGCGGCTTCACTCGATATTAGATTGGCGGATGTGAGAGGAAGGTCAATTTCGTTCGGGATCAACTGTCGAGAGGGATGATCGTATGAGGCTGCTTCTTGTGGGCGTACTCCTCTCGTCATCATGGAGTACCACGCGGGGCTATGCCGACCGACGGGTCAGCTACTCTTACAGAGACATTACTCGTAATGACTTGAAGGCATATGTAGACCGAGTACTCGAGTATTGTGTGAAGCAAGAAGCCAGATCGATACTATATCGGCCCGGGCCGCAAAGCTAATCAGAATGTGTATTTGAAGAGACAATATTGGTTCATCCTAGAGGGAAGAAGTATGAAGTAAGCTTCCGAAAGACCTCCTCATATATCTGCGAGATCGGGTTCTATGGACTAGCCGGAGGAGGAGCCAGCTCTCGGCGAGTCCGTAATGAGTCATCAGCGACGAGTTCGCATTTGAGTCATCCGTGAGGAATCCGTAAGAGCCTGACCAGTCCGGGCTTGACATTCAAGAGGAATGATAAGAACTGTGAAGACGAGGGGATAAAAACCGAGGGGCTTGTTCAAGACATATCGGGACGAAAGACCTGATACTGTGTTTGGAGTCGCCAGAGAGGAGTAAGAGTACTCGTATCGTACATGATGCGAATCATGCAACATTATTGAAACTTCCCATGTCTCCCAATGCAAATGATAAAGTCCCCGCGAAATTAAGTTGCGAGTTGACCCTATGGGGCTCTGCTGTAGTCTCACCCTACTTTGAGATACCATGACACTTACACCGAGTACACTGACGTCCCTCTGATCTCAGCAACGTACTTGTACATGACAACGTTCTGCTACACACCCCTCGCATCCCCGCACCCTCGCACCCCGTTACGTCGAGTTCCGGAATAGCATGGCGACCAACCTCCTCCGACCTCGGTGCAGACAGTACAGTATGTAGGACAGCGACACAGGTGGTACAGGGGTACTAGAACCCTACGAGCTTAGAAAGAGGCCTCGGTCATGCGAGAATGATGTCCGATCTGAAAGTGATGCCCGAGAAGTCTGTCCTCTTGCGAACTTGGATACACGAGGAGTCCACAGTACATACATACTACTACCCATCGCGATACTACGGCCTGCGGATGATGCCTAAGCTGGTTTATGTGTAGTAGATCACATGCCATACCTTGCCCATCAGCTGTCACGCTCAATGAGCACATGTACACCACCGATGTCTCCTGGGGACAATGAATAACGAAGAGGTAGATGCAGACACAGATGTGTTAGAGGACCTGCTTCCATAAGCCCGACATGATCTGAGCCCGATCATCCGACATGCGATGCGTCCCCTTGCCCTTGCAATCAGCCTCAACTCATCGGGTCAGTCTTGCAATACACCCAAAGGGCCTCGACCAGCCTGGAAGTTTGCCAAGCTTGTTGTCAATGCTCGATCGTGATCGGACATTATTCATCCCCGGGGGGCGTGCTTGATCGTACCTATCACGTGTCAGTGTTACGTGTAGCAGTAAGCAGGACTCTATGTACGTAGTAGCTCTGGAGAGGAACAGGAAAAGATCGCTGATTGCCGCTTCGATTGCCGCTTCTATCGATACCAGCCGCCACAATACACCAGCAGGAGAGGAGAGGCAAATAGGCCAACGTTGTTCATCTGGCCCCTAGGTATAGCAATGCTCGAGTACCTCGATGACCTGTTTCCAGGGTGATTGTTGAAACACTCTCCTTGACTTCATGCCCACACGATATGGGGGCGAGATCTGGGCCACGCTGCAGGGGAGACCTAAATCTCTTATACTGGTATAGTATCGTTCAACATACGATACGCGCGTCACCTCCATTATATTGGACCTGCTCTTGTTCGGATATACTCTAATACTGCCAGATAAGTGTATCGCTTTGAATGTCCACAAACAAGCTTCTAGCTGAGATCTCGGGGTGTGGTTGGTAGTCGAAACGGAGCAGAAGGGATGCGACTCCTCGAAGCTACGTCCACCTCCGACACCGCTCGCTCCATGCACTCCACGCCCCGTGCTTTTCCGACGTCCCCCAACACATGTGTCTCTCTGATCCCATGCTATACAAGTAAAAATCAAGGCCTGGACTGATCCATCCAGCCACAACGCTGCAGCCTAGAAGGTAGCGACGCCAGCGCTGGTGCGAAACGTTGAATGATCACAAGGGCGACTCAACTCAATCTAGAGTCGAGGCCAATGGAAACTCTTGGAGTCTCGGTGTAGCACATGGACAGAGAGAAGATATGCTTGGGGTATAGCATGTGAGTATGCGTATCCAAGTAGATACTTGCTTGAGGGCGCAGCGATAGCTTAGTAGCAAAACCCGGCCTCGTCGCGTCTGACGTTGTGGGTCGCGAAGAAGGAGATCACATTACTAGTCTATGTATCAACGGTCCAGTCAAGTACTGTATGTCTACATACCTCCTCCTCGGGGATACAATGCACAATACAACAGGAAACAAACTGCCCCTTTGAAACGACACGGCCCAAAGCCCATCGAGGCACCATGCACCGGGCCACATCAGCATCACGCTTGATCGGAATATTCCAAGGGGCACTGCACTGCAACGTACGTCTGCGAAAATGAGAGATTGGGGTGCCTTTGGCTCTGCCTTACCCTATGCGTGGTCTGGACTCTGGAACGAGGAGCAGCATCAGCACAAATTTTGACTTTGGACTTGACGGCGTTTCGGACGACCGATGGGAAATAGAAGTTGGGGAAACTCTGGGGAAATGGGCAATGTTGGGCGGGAAATATGGTATTCTAAGAGGGGTAGCGGGTGGGTGGGATGGGCTGGGCAAGGGCGAAGGCTAAGAACGCAAGGTAGCTTGCTCGGACGACTGCCTCGGGCGGGTGAGAAATTTTCAGTTCTTGAGATGAGATATGTACTTAAGCTGGACATTCATTCGCCTCTTCGCTCATCAAAACCATCTTCTTAGCAACTCTCAGAGCCACCTCTAGCCACCCCAAACTCCCACCCATACCTCGCAAAATGTCTACCGCCTTTCGCTCCCTCTCCCCAATCTTCCTCATCCTCATCCTCCTCCTGGTCCTCGTCTTCATGACCGCTCCAGCAGATGCTAGCATGGCGCCAGTCTACATGCACTACTACTGCCGCCAGCAATGTGATTCAACTTTCAGGATGTGTGCTATGGGTGCCAGTGAGTCTTGGTCTTGCTTCTTCTTACCTTGTTTTTGTTTGGCTTTGGCCGCTTCTTCTTCGGCGATCTCGTTGTCCTCAGCGTTGGAAGAGGATATGTGGGTCGTGGGTGGTGTGATGTGGAGACCTTGCTTCTGTTGAGTGCTCTCACTCTCATGTGCGCTTGGCCGGGTCCTTGCTGTTTCTTCTGCTAGTATCTCGTCCAGGGTCCGGCGGTCTCTGCTTCTTTCGCGACTCGCCACTGAACGTGGCAACCTCACCTTTCGCCACCCACCCCTCATCTCCCTCTCACCGCCTTATTTCTCTCCCTTCTCATTCCTGAGTATATGAATGCTGACTCTTACTCTCCTAGACTCTGGCCCCAGGCTGGCATCATGCTTCTCTATCCGCGGCGTCTGCTACATGCGCTGCTGACAGCCCTTCTCCCCTCCCCTTCCAACTTGTCACATCACCACCACGATTCAAAAGACACATTTTCAGCACACTACATCTCTATCCCCCGCCCCATCCTCCATTCTTTCCATTCTTCCCTTCTTGGCGTTGCTCGGTTTGCATATAGATATACATAGACACTTCCCGCTGCTCTTTCTCATCAGCATTCAATTCTACCTCACGGACATACTTGTAATTATCAAACTCATAGAACGTACCTCTCTTCTTTAATCACAACAACAGACAACCATAGACATACGCACTCAGCTTGCCCCCTTTTTGAATTGTATAGAACCTCTCAAACTATAAATGGGTGAACATGCATTTAGACAGATATAGATGGGCATCGTCGTCTTGTGCTTATATATGTCCAGTCGGAGAAAGAGGCACCGGTCGGATGCAAAGATTTCTGACAGGGGGTCGGGATGAAGATGGTGCGGGATTGAAGGGTCGAAGGAAGGGTGATGGATCATTCGGGTGGTTTGTACTATACAACTACATACACGCCGCACGCATGCAACAGCAGGTTTCATCGGCCTCATCGGGAGGTGGCTAAAACGTGTCGTAAACGATAGAGCAGAGGAAACGCAGAACCAGACAAGGGATTCAGCTTTCCAGAACCAATATAGATATTGGGAAAGGCGGGGTTTTGCTGAAAGTGGGAAAGCTAAGAGAGGCCATGCAGGGCGGAGAACGCACAGCGCTCGGGACACCTTGCGGAAATGCACCTTCCATGCGCTATCGGGAAACGCGGAATTGCTGAAGTGGAAAAGTGGATTTACCGGATTTGGAAAACTCTTCGGTCTGCTGGAATTGGAAAGCGGCATGAAGGGCGCATTTCCGCAAGGTGTCCCGAGCGCTGTGCGTTCTCCGCCTTGCATTGTCGGTAACCTTCTTGCCTGATGCGGTAATAAGGAAAGACGTCCAAGCGATCATGCAGAGCGCATATGAAGCTTGCGTGAAGGTATGCTTTCTTCGGACCTGTTGCTTGCTGAACTGTTCGTCGAAAACACTGCTCATATTGTGAATCAAAGCGGCGGGCACTTCTACCTTCTTGTGTGAAGCACGAATACATACACGAGTACCGATGATATCAGGGTTGTCGTTGATTGTGTTGACGATATACGCGTGATTCCACATCACATGAAAAGGGCCATAAGCATGTACGTATGCATGTCATTCCAGACTGTCGACTACATCAAGTATGTGCTCAAGTACACATCATGAGCCGGTGTCCGGTGAAGCCGTGGACGCCGCTCCTGTCAAGCTGGTGCGTGTTTGGTTATCATGTAACCCCTCGATCTAAATATACAGCGCACCATAAACGTCAGTATACCATATATTACTCCCCTCGATATCATCGCAAACACGCGGCAGACAGTGCACCGGGGGCGGACTATACATCCGCAAAGGCCAGGCGACTTCATTCAACGATCTTTACGTCCAGCGCTTGGCGATGATGCTCAGTCGCCTGTCGTCTGCAAAGAGCAGCAGTCACGCACATGTTATTTCCAATGGAAGACCAGATACAAACGTCACATGGGAGGCATGTTGACACACAGTATGTAGGATCCGGTGCCAGGCCCATGTATTCATGATGAAAGATTTGCGACAAGATTTGCATCCACTCTAGAGGCACGTATGACTTGCTTCGCGGGAGGGAGAGCTTCTTCTTCTTGGGCTTCGATTCCAGTAATTTGGGGAACTGCTTCGCTGTGCTGTGCAAAGTGAAGAATGGTGCGAGAGTAGCGCAGTATTGGCAGAATTGAAGCGACAAGAGCGGTGGAAGAAGTTGGATGAAAAAAGATGGCACGGTCGTTCACGCAGCTTTTGTGGCTTGAACAAGGTTGAGCGACGTAGGGTAGATCATCACCTAGCCTGTGTATTTCCCATTCATCCACTCAGATGCGCACGAGCGACCATGCCATCCCAGCCACTGCCCCCCCTCAGCTCTCAGCCAAACGGTAACATGCCGCATGTCCCAACAGCCCGCGCTAGCCCCTACCGCAACCGGGTACCTCAAAACCGACAATCTTTCCTCCTCTGTTCCTCTTGCTTGAGGCTGGGTGATATCGTGGCGAATCGTGGATCGGTTGATAGATAGGCTGGGTGGGGGGGGGGAGGGGATTGGCGGTAAACGAGACGTATGATGACATTGGCTAGAGACGGATAAGGACGGGGGGCAAGGGGATATAAGGGTGGCTGGGGGATGTTGGAATTCCCCACTTTTGAAGCGCAAGCTTTTCGTGCCACTCACTATCTGCCTTTACGCTGCCATGCTTCATTCAACTACTCGCACCTCATCCCTCTCATATCGCTCTCTCATTCTGGTACTACTCGTCGCCATGTTCCTCCTGCTACCGACGGCATCCGCTTGGGGTCCTGTTGGGGTATGTCGCGCACGGTGCAATGGCGCGTTCATGAGCTGCATGGGTGTTTATGGTGAGTGGGCTTTCGAAGTGTGTTGGTATTCGGTTGACAAGTCGCAGGCAATATCCAGATTTGCAATGTGGCGGTCAGAGCGTGTTTTGCGCGGTGTGTCTAGAGGTCTTGTCCAAGGTGGAAGCGACCTGTTGTATGCATTGTAGTCGACACCGCATGGTTTTGTGAGATGGTTCATACTTGCCTACTTTGGTATCGATATGTTTCGATGTCTAATTACGCCACGCCCACCAGCCCCCCAAGAGAGGGGCAGAGCTAGGCGTACTCAAGACCCGCTGCTTTTGCAGTCTTTTCGCTCTCCAACAACCATTACCCGCGCGAACCGAAAGAGCCCCAGCCGAAACTGGGACAGTCCGATCAGACGGGGAGAGACAGCGCGGCTATAGGGTAGAGCGTGGCGTCGTCGTCGGGTGTTGATGAAGAGAAAAAAAATATGGAATTGGAGAGGCCTGGAAAATTCCGGGAGGGGCGGCGATGTCCGTGCTGTTCCGGTGGAGGCAGTTCGAGTGAGCGGCAATCACTGCAGATGTCAATTGTTTCCATCGTTTGCTTTCATTTCTGCCACCTATTCCCCTATACCATGAGACTCACCATCATCGCCCCAGAGACTATCCACGAGCACGAGGTCTCCCCGGAACTCTTGGTCGAAGACCTCATAGCCCTTGTCGAAGCAACCGTGAGTCATCTTCGTCATGGTGTCGATGGGACATCCCGTTAGCTACCCACATGGCTATATGGGACTCAGGCTGCGTTTTCTGTATGCTGATAACGTATAGGCCGAACTTCCTCCATCTGTGATTGTTTTGACAAGCGATTCCGGAACACCTCTTACCGACCCATCGCGCACGCTCGACAGCTATGGCCTCAACGGCGAACATGCTACCATCTTTCTCACACCAACGTGAGTATCTTGTTTTGGCGATAATGATATCAATGCTTACATATGGATACGTACAGCGAGCAACCCGTTGCTTCTTCTTCCTCTTCCGGGCCCTTGGCCGGTTCCGATGCCGATATCGAGCGGATGCGATTGCAAGCTCTCGGAAACCCTGAACTGATGGAAAGTCTCCAAGAAGTAAGACGATTGATTCCATGATATTTTTTCTGTACGATGCTGATACAAACGTTCCCCCGTAGCGTGATGCAGAATTGTACGCCGCTGTTCGGAAGGGTACCCAAGAATTCAAGACTGCGCTTCAAGCCTCACAACTGAGGCAGCGGAGTAGAGAGTACGAGAAGGAGCAACAAATCGCTGTTAGTCGCTATATCCTGTCAAAGACGACACATCCTGACATACTCGAAGGCCCTAAATGCGGACCCCTACGACATTGAGGCGCAGAAGAAGATTGAAGAGGCCATCAAGCAGGCGGCTATCATGGAGAACATGGAGCATGCGATCGAGTACTCTGTAAGACTGAACCTGTCCTATCGATCCTTAGCTGACAACGATCCAGCCCGAGTCTTTCGGCAATGTCACCATGCTCTACATTGACGTCGAGGTCAACGGCTTCCCCCGGAAAGCTTTCGTCGATTCCGGCGCCCAAAGTACCCTCAGTAAGCCATCACATGGCCACCTTCTCCACCCTGCTAACACCCCTCCCAGTCTCCCCCCGACTCGCTGAAGAGTGCAACCTCATGCGCCTCGCCGACACCCGCTTCTCCGGCATGGCCGAAGGCGTCGGCAGCGCCAAAATCCTCGGTCGCGTCCATTCCGCCCAGCTCAAAGTCGGCCCCCTCCACCTCCCCTGCTCCTTCTCCATCCTCGAAGGCATCAAAGTCGACCTCCTCTTCGGTCTCGACATGCTCAAACGCCATCAGTGCTGTATCGACCTCCCGAAGAATTGTTTGAGGGTTGGAGATGTGGAGGTACCGTTCTTGGCGGAGCACGAGTTGCCGAGTGAGAAGAAGAGGGAGGAGGATCGGAAGGTGGCGGAGGATATGAGGGATGCCGCGGCGATGGGGAAAAAGGTCGAGGCGACGAGTTCTGCAGCGGCGGGGAGCTCGTTCCCTGGAGCGGGACAGTCTGTCGGCTCTTCAACGGGGGCTGGTCCGAGTACAAGCTCCAAGATGAACGAAGAGGATATCAAAACTGCAAGTTGATGCTTCTGTGATGGTTCCTTCTGACTGACGTTATTCAGCTTATCGGACTGGGAGCCCCTCGGGACCAGGCCATCCAACTGCTCGAGGCTTCTGGGGGCAACGTCGATGTCGCTGCTTCTATGCTCTTTGGTTAGCCGTCATGATATACACGTACTAGCTCATGCAGAAAGCCTTCGGCCCTTATTAACGACTCGCGGGTAGACCTTCTCAATCTTGTTCTCATACTATACAAATTCATACCCATCTCTCAAAACCCAAGCAACCCGTACTGCGTCGTATAGCAAGGACTACCCGCGGCTTCAGTCTTCCCTGGCCCGGGTAGTCGAACGTCGGATGATAAAGAAATCGGATTGAAATTCCCGAGAAAAGATGAGCCGTTCATTATAAACAATACGAGTATAGTCTTCGTTACGATAGATTGACAGATATATAATTGTCCTTCATATGAGCAGAAGGAAAAAGATGGCTTCGAGCAAAGCAAAGCAATGGATGAAAGACGATGAAATGGGGAAGTAAATCTATGATCTGAACGGCAAAAATCTATATCACAAAGCACCCCTTCCTTCCTTCCAAACCAAAGCAATCCCCAACCCTACTTTTTAAGCCGTCCATCAAACTGCTCATGCAACTCGCCCAACCTCACCCTCTCCTCATCCTCCAAATCATTCTCATCCCTCCCCGCCAACGCTTCATACGTCGTCCAATCGTGGTGCTGGTGCGTCGCCACCCTGCTCAGGGGTGCGCCCGTAGAAGGTGCCCCGGTAGCGCCAGTGGCGGTGGCAGAGGTGGATCCGACGATGGTGGAAGTGGGGTTTTCAGGGTTGGGTACCGAAACAGGTCTGGTCCCACTAAAGCTCGCCCTGGGCGCATACTCGCCCGCCCTAGACGAAATCCTCCCAAGACCGCCTTCCTGCTCGGTCGGCTGCGTATCCACCCCATCACCCTGCGCCGGTTGGTAAACGACCTCCTTACCCTCCGCCCGGGCTTCTTCGTCTTCCTGCTTGGCCTGGGCCATACGCGCAGCCATGATCATGGCCATTTGCTTTTCGGCGTCGGCAGAGTACTTGCACTTGGCGCGGATTTGGGCGCCGTACTTGTAAAAGACGTATGTGGCGGGGATACACGCGAGGGACAAGAACCCGGGGAGGGCGACACCCCAGTGCACACCCATCTTGTCAAACATCTGGACCGTAAAGAGGGGGAAGGCGGCACCAAACAGAGATCGAAGGACAGAGTTGGCAGCGAGGACGGAGGCGGCGTAGATGGTGTAAGAGTCGACGAGGTAGCCGAGGATGGAGAGGAAGACGACAATGATACCGCAGCCGAAAGGCACACCAAAGATGATGGGTGCGACCCAGTGGACGTTGGGACCGTCGGTGGCGGCGGTACCGGCAAGACCGATGACGATCAGAGCACCACCCCACATGGCAGGAGGCAATCGGTCCTCGGGGTCGGCCCTACCGCCCTTCTTCTTGGCAATCCTGACGTATTGCGGGTTGGACACGTAGATGGAGAGGAGGACAGAGAGGATGGTACCAATAAGGACACCGACGAAGGCAAGACCGCCGATACCCGTGTTCCACCCGTGGCCGGATTGGAAGATGATGGGGTAGGCGGCAAAGAAGAGGTAGAGGATACCGTAGATGAGGGCAGTGTAGATAGAGAGGATGGTGACGATGGGCTCGAGGAACAAGAATTTCCAAGGACGGATCAAGCTCATCTTGAACATGCTTCCAATCTCGAGCGGCTTCTTGGCATCGCCCCTGAACCTGTAGACCTTGCCGGTGACCTTGCTGAGGAGCTGGGCGCGCCTACGGAGGAGCATGGGCGCATAGGTCTCGGAGCAGAAGAGGATGCCGACGATGAAGAGGACACCACAGAAGATACAGAGGAATCCTTCGATCCATCGCCAGCCCTGGGTCAAGCCGAGGAAACCACCAGTGATGGGACCGAGGGAAGGACCGAGGAAGGGGGCGGCAGAGAAGAAGGCCATACCGAGACCTCGCTGGTTGGCGTTCAGGACGTCGGTGATGGTACCCCCGGCGTTGGCAAGAGGGGAAGAGCCAAAGAGACCGGCGAGGAATCGGAATACGAGGAGCTGACCAATGTTCTTGGCGCCGGCAGCGGCACCAGTCCAGAGGGTGAGGAAGGCGTAAGAGATGATGTAGACGATTCGACGACCAAATATTTCGGAAAGGGGCGCCCAGAAGCTGACGAGAGTGAGTTTTGATACGAGCTGGAAGGGGATAGGACGTACAGAGGACCGAAAGCGAAACCGACGACGAATAGGGCGATACCGGCAATGACGAGCTCACGACTGGCTCCAAAGTCCATCATGATATCGGCGATACCACCAGAGTAGGCTGAGGAACTGCAGGGCGTCAGCTTGGGCCAATATACAGATGTCACTGCATGGAAACGATGAGGGCGGCATGCTTGGAAGATGTCTCGCAATGCCCACGAGCGACTGTCGAGTGACTGAAGAAGCCAGGCGCAAGCTCGGAAGGTCAAAGAGGCAAGAAGCGGCAGTGCGCTCCCGTGGTGACTGCCCGGAGATAAGAGTCCGAACGGATGAGGAAGGAGCTCGCAATCATCCAGGCGAATATAGAAACCGTCGCAGAGCCCTTCCAGAAGGCATGCCGCAACGCCCAATGAGGCAACGAACATGGCAACAGAACGGAGGGATGGGGTCCAAGCGCAAACATGTCAACGCCAAGTACTCACCTGAGGGCAACGGCTAGGGTCATCCAGCTAACAACAAAGATCTGCCTTTGGTCAGCCTCATTCTTTCTCGCATCGCCCAGGATCTCCTCAGACACTCTCTGTCGATGCATCAACTCACAGTGGTCCACTTGTACGCGCTCGGCCAGTTCTGCGGGTCTTCCTTATCGTTCGGGAGCCAGTCGACGATATAAGGGTCTTCCGCTGTGCCCTGCCCCTGGCACTTTTTGGCAATGATTTCCTCAAAGGGGGTGACATAGGGTCGCCATAACCGCTTCTTGAGGGTGTAGGAAGAGAGGGGCTTGGATTCGAGGGTGGATGTGGATTTTTCCGGCTGCCCTACGCGGGTGCTGGTGGTGTCGATGGACATGTGGGCGGGTGGAGTGGGGTGGCGGGGGGGAGAAGGGGAGGCAGGGGAGGCAGGGGGTGGATGGGGAGGATGAGATTGTAGAGATGCAGATTCAAGATGGTTGGGTGACGAGATTGCCTTTGGAGCTGTATAAATACATAAATACTCCGCTTGTTTGCACGGCCGCCTTGAAATTTCGTACGGCCACTCGCCGAATTTCCATCCGCGCCTTCCGGAGCTGGGGCTTCTTCTGTGCCCCCTCTGTCCAAGTGTCCATGCATGCATGCTCCACCCTATGCATCCCCCTCCCCCCTCCCCCTCCACAGTCCATACCTCCTCTGCCTCTGCGCCCACATCACCCCCGTTATCGCTCCCGCTGCATGCGGCAAGACGCACTAACAAAGCTCTAAACCCGGGCGCCGTCTGGCTCAGCCCTGACCCTGAATGCAGATCCAGACAATCCCCGATGTGTTGTTTGGCTCGCCACTCTGCATTCCAGTGCATTCGACAGCTTCTGCTTGCTTTCTCTTTCATCTCTGGCCATCAAGCAAGCGAACAACAGGATATGGCATGTACCCACCCAAGATCTCCTCTAGCAGCTACTGCAAAAACATCGACGATCTCTCTGCCGTCTCATTTACTTGCTAGTCTCTTGCTGATCTCTCCATCGCATCAGCCCGACAGCCAGCTTTTAGGCTGTATGTAGCACATGCCCGGATGAAGCGGATCCTGTGTTAATCCTGTTCACTATCCTAAGAAGGCGAGTGCCCCACTTCCACTTCACTCCCCACCTTCTCTCGCTACCACATCTACGCAGCATATGTATACCTCAACATCACCTGCCCGAAGCATCCGAAGCATCCGAAGCATCCGGGGCGGGTGTGCCTTTCCCAATGATCTCCATCATCGGGTATCGCTCCATCTCTCTTGGCACTTCTTTTGCTTGACGACACCCGCCCATTACCGCATACTCTAGAATCAGCTGTTCTTGGGTACCATCAAACACACACTCAAAGGGGGTTACGCCCCCTCCCACCCTCGTGCCCTCGTGCAAAGGGAGGCGTATGCTCTCGTGCAAAGGGAAGTGTAACACGTGCAACATGAAACAGACGGGATCAATCAGGTGGATCCTGTTCAGTTGTCTGCAGATGTTGCATTTCTGCTCCTGCTGACAAAGACGACTACTAGAGTGTTCCTGTATAACCGGAAAAGGCGTCAAAAGTAGAAGCGATGTAAATGATGGAAGCTTGAATAGAGAGTTGTTGAACATAATATAGAGTACGGCTCAATGAAATAAGAATGTGGAGAGAGATTTGGATAGATGCTAGAGAGTAACACAACAAGTTGAAGAAAGGTGAGAAAAGTCGTCAATCCGTAACACGTCAAATAAGAAAAGGGGACATCTATAACAACTTTGCCTAGCTCCGTCCTCTCCGGGCTGCTTTCAGACATTCTTCTTCCAAGCCCACAACACGCACGACCTGGACGCCGCCAGATTGCAAGATCCGTGCGCCTTCGCACTCTACAAAGTCTGGTGGTTCTTCCACCCCCTATACCTTTTCGTCAGCTTCCCATCCCCATCAATGGGAAGACGAGTACTTACAAGGTAGACAGCCCTAACACCCGCTTTGACAAGTTCTAGCGCACAGCTCGGGCCCCCCGACGTTCGATATGAACAAGGTTCCATCGTCGCCACGCACTCTGCATCCTTCAACACCTCTTCCACCCTCGGCATCTTCTCCCCCTTCCCTTTCTCCTCCTTCTTCCCCTCTTCCCCATCACTCGCAATCTCTAAAGACAAGGTCGACAGGGTCACAACAGACTTGTCATCCTCTTCCCCTTCTTCCCCGGAAATCTCGGCAAAGCGGGCTTGCAAGTTTGTCAGAGCATTCGCCTCGGCGTGCGTATTCCCCGGGATCTGCCTCGACCACCCGTCCGCCAAGATCAGCCCCTTGGCCTCTCCCAGCACCGACTGCGGGAACGCCTCGAAATACGGTTTCAGCACCCCATAATACTGCGACGCCGCCGGTAAAAACAGCGTCGATCCTACACAAAATGCCGTCGGCGACACTTCACAGTTCAACGTCAATTTCAAGCAATGCCGGATTAACGCTAAATGCACCGGGTCGAAGGAGGTTTGGGACGCCGTTTCAGGGGAAGAAGGCTCGTCTTCGTTGCCGCCGCTGCCTGAGGCTTCTATCGACCGGCTGCCGAGGGGTTTTCCTGTACGAGCAGCCATGACGCTCACACTGACCGTCTCATCCGTATTCTTCCGATCATGCACCGTGATGCACGCTTGCACATCCGCCAGCGTTTCTCCCTCTTCCCCGCCGCCTTCTGCAGGAGGCAGCGCAGTACGCGGGATGAGGTCGACGAGGATTTTCGTCTTTTGGTTTGGCAAGAGGTTGAGGTTGAGCGAGGTGATGCACTCTGAGGGGATGTTGATTTTCTCCTCTTTGGCGGGTACGAGGACGCTCGTAGCCAGCTCGGCAAGCTTCTTCGCCGGCGACTTGGCCCCATCCACTTCCTTCTCTTCCCCCTCACCGTCCATACCCGCACCAAGCTGGTCTTTGGGTACACCAAGCTCCAAAAGTCTCGTCTCGTACTTGACAATCTTTTCCGCTTTACCCTTCCGGCGCGCAATCTTGAGTTTCTGCATCATCGCTTCCAGCTCTTCTTCCTCCGACTTACTCAGCGCTGTACCGGCGTCGTGCTCATCGCGCGTCAGGTGGATACGCGCAAAGGAGGACGGGTCGAGTTGTTGGACAGACACCAGAAAGGTGCGCTCGTGTCTCAAAATGTTGGTGATGACGAAACTCTGCGTCTCGAGCTTCTTCTTCTTCTTCTTCTTCTCCTCCCCTTCCTTTCCCTTCTTATCCTTCTTGACCTTGTCCTGATCCTTCTCCTTTTCGGCAACACCAAAGTCCAAACTGACGGGTTCCACCCTAAACGCCGGCACTTTCCTCACAATCCCCTTGACAGCTAGCGCTTGGTCGTTCCAGCTGTCCAACACATTCTCCACCGTGATCGTCTCTTGGTAATTACCGACGAGAGACGGGGTGAAGGAAAAGTTGTCGAACTGCTTGCGGCCAAAGGCAGAGATGACACCGTACCGGCCGAGACCGAGTTTGAGGTCGCCAGAGGCGATGGAGCCGGATGTGCGGAGACGGAAGAGGCCGATGGTGTCGCTCTTGTTCTGTATACCCGTCAGCTTGTGTCTGGAACAGATGGAAAGCGACTTACATGGATGACAATCGTCTTGCTCTTCACTTCACCCTTGTCACACGCACCAAAGTTGATAGAACTCTGCTGCACTTCCAAGACACTCCTCACACACGAGCTCCGAATGATCAGATCCCGAATAGGCAGCTCTGCGCCTTCCGGCATACCCAGATCACCCCCAGGCGTCCCTGGCCGGCTGCCAGCAGCGTTGATCCGGGCAGCGTTCAACAATGACTTGTCAAACTCGACGAGCTTGATAAAGATCCTCGAGTCGGCCCTCTTGGCGCGCGTAGAGATGTGCGGGCGGATAGAAGGGTTGGGCGTCATGATCACCACTACTGCCCTGCTCTGCCCTGGACCCACACTCAGTGTTCGAGCGGGCACAAGCTTGCCTGACCCGACGAGCCCTTGGAGTTCTTTTCGCAGCGAGATGGTCCGTTTCACAAACGCCTCTTCCTCTTCCAGGGTGGTATGCGTCATGGACGTCTTTTTCGCATCGTGCGCTTCGACAGCTGCGAGCAGCTGGTCGATCGACATCTTGCCCACGTCTGCCGTATCGGCCGGTGGAAGCTCGAGAAGAGGTTCGACACGCTTAGCAGTGAGGGCTGGGGATTTGAGAGAGGGGGATGTTTGGGGGAGGAGTTTGTTGAGAAGAGCGAGGGAGCCGAGATGGGGTCTCTTTGTGGGAGTGGTCGGGGTGTGTTCGCCAGTGGTAGGTGCAGTCTTGGCAACTTGGTGCTGGTGCTCCTTCCCACCCCCACTAATCGCCGTACCATTGGCCTTCTTCTTCTTCCCTTCCTTACCCACTGAGCCCGTCGCTTTCGCCCCCGCCGCAAAGTCCAACTTTGGTACTTTTGGGTGTTGGCCTGAAAGCTTGGACTTGTCTTCCCATTCGATAGATTCCAGCAACTGGGCGCGCTTGGATCGCGGGGAGAAGCGGTGCGAGGCAATAGGAGGGCCAGAGGCAAGGTCGAGATACTCGTGCGGTTGGAGAAGGGAGCGGTCTTTGAAGACTACCGAATTGCCATACAGCTAATTTTGATTAGCCATGTTCATCATAATAACAAAGTGACTTACCTGTACAGGCTTTCCTCGGCTTCCCTTCTTCAACGCCGCCCCAACACTAACGCCAACAGGCCTCTCTCCCTCCTCCTTCTTCGGCCCTCCCGTCTCACTCTTCTCCCTGCCTTTCTTGCCCTTGCCCTTGGACTCGGCAGCTTTGCCGTTGACACTCTTCTCATTGAGCTCTTCCATGAAGCGCTCTTTCAACTCTCCACCCTTCCCCTCCTTCCCCTTGCCCCCGCCATTCCCACCATTACCGCTCCCGTCCGCAGACGTTTGCTCGTAATCCTGCGCTTCCACAGCATACCGCCCCATCAATCCCGGGCGGACCTTGGCAATACTATCTTCCTCCCTCACAAACAGGCCAATATCTTCCGGCTGCGAAGCCGACAGATCGAGGACAAGAGGTGCTTGGGAGAGATTCTCAATGTGGATCGTGCGCACGGTGGGATAGTTGATGACGACCGAGGAGAAGTCGAGAAAATTGGAGCCGGACGGCGTGAGGATGCGGTAGAGATGAGAGTGAAGGGTGAGGTTGTAGACGTCCACATTGCGGGACTTTATCTCTACCAACTGGTCTACGTATCGTCAGCCTCGCGCTTTCATGCCACAAAAGATACTCACCATTGGCTCGATTGAGACGGTTCCGCACAAATATCTGCTTCTCATACTTTTCATTGATCCTCCTCGGGAAAAACTCCATCTTTTCCTCCACTGTCCCTTTCGCAGGAATCATGATCAGCCCCTTCTCAGCACTCAACACTTTACTCATCGCCGCAATCTCCACCCTCGCCTCCAGCTCACTCAGATTCTCAATCTTGATCGTTGTTGTCTTGGAGGCACCGACAGTGACTTGACCAAAGTCAATGACGTTGCCCGACGAAAGACGGATGAGAGAGGTGCAAGACATGATGGAGCAAGAGATCGTCCGTCGAGATTTACCGGGCGGATTCGACCCATGATGAGCATGGTTCGACCTGACCGAACTCGGCACAGCGTCCAAAAACACTTTAAAGCTCGACTTGCGCAATTTCCCGGCATTTTCCTCCCAATTTTCGCCATCAGAGCTAAACGACGCAGCAGAGGGAGGCCGCGGTCGGTGGAGAACTGCTATCCGGTATTCTGTCCCGGGTCGCATGGTCACTTCTTCGATCTGGTTCGGGATGATCTCTTCTTCAGTAGTCGGCGCGGGTGTTGGCTTTGGGACGGTGGGTGTATACTCCCTCTCCGCCGAGTTCCCATCACCATCTTCCACAGAACCTCCCACCACAAAAGGCAAATCCGAACCCCCAAAGAACGGCGGCTCAACCTCCTCCCCTTCCGACTCGTGCCCAAACCCATCATACCCTACCGCCTGCTGGCTACTCGATCCCCTCGACGTAGTCCTCGACAAAGAACGCGAGCTCGGCTGCGATCTCTGTACAGGCCTAGGAGGCTGGTGCGGGGTACGCCAACGTTCGATAACGTCCGTCTCGCTCTGTCCCTGCACGTGTCCTGATACAGAACCAGAAGCGAGCGACTCGGGATCTTCCTCCGTCGTCGGCTGGAGGGAGCTCGAGTATGCTGTTTCGGAGATGGTGGCGCCTGAAGCGTTCGAGGGATGGTCGCGCGACGAAGCCCTGGTAGAGCTGTACTTGTCTCGGCTCGTCCCTCTGGCCAGTACTGGCTTTGGGACCCTTCCCAGGCCGGAACCATCGGCTCCGCTCGAGTCGATCGGTACCAGACCCTCTTCCTCAACGTCTTCCCCAGCCACCCCCGCCAGCCGAAAGACGACTTCATACCCCTCCTCTTTCCCAAACCTCACATCCACCGCCCGATCACCCGTATTACGCACAGCAATAACCTGCCTCGACCAAACCTTGTCTGTCGCTTTTCCAAAATCCAGAGTAGGACCCGTAAGGATCTGCAGAGACTCGTCTGGCGGCGAGGGGAGGATGGAACCTAGGGCGAGGCAGGTGAGGGTGTTGCCTGGTTGATGAGGGTTGGTGAGGAGGAAGGAGAATGAAAAGTCTTGTACCGGCAACTTGGAGTGTAAAGACAATCTCAAGTGCCGAGAGGACAAGGCAGGGAGAGGGACGGGTCCTGCAGAGTGGTCGACCCCAAAGACATTCTCCGAATCTAGATCACGCAGCTCAAACCAGACCTTCTCCTTGTCCGGTGCGTTCACCACCATAGTCCCCCAGACAAGTTCAATCTCTGACCGGTTCACGAGCAAGACATCACGGTGATACCGTTTGCCCACGACGTTCTCCCCACCAAAATCCAAGACGAGCTCGCCAGAGGACTGTTGGGGGCCGGATACGAGCCCGGAAGTGGGCGAGATGGCGCCGGCTGTGAAGAATGACCGGCATACAGTCGCGTAGAATGGGAGCGCTATCATCTGATGTGAGAGCTCGGACGGGGGCGCAGGGGGGGGGAGGGCAGAGACGGCACGGATAGAGATGGAGCCGTGCACCGAGAATGCTCGGTGGATTGGTTCGCCCCGCTTGGTAGATTCGGGGATGATCTGGCTGTTGAGACTCCCGGCGATACTCTGGCTGCTCCCTGCGCTGACGCTGACTCCGTCGCTGCCGTTGCCGCTCGCAGCATCGTCCAAGCCGACAGGCGAGAGTCGGCCAGAGTCGCCGCTGTCGGTCAGGTCGAGGACGGGTTTGACACGGGGGGTGAAACCGCCGTCGTTGTCGGAGAAGGATGGGGAAGAAGGGACAGGAGATCGGTTGGAGAGGAGTGGTTGGAATGCGAGGTGGATCATGGTGGTTGAAGAGGGAGGCATGTGGAGGATAAGGGAAGGGGAGCCGGTGGTTGTTGATAGCGACGAAGTCGACGACGATGAAGACGGGATGCCTGTAGGATGTCAGATTGAAGGTGGGACGTTTATGATCACTCACTCTTTTCGTCATCCCCCACCCAAAACACCAGCTGCCCCTTGAGATCACTCTCCACCTCAACCTCTACATCCCTACCTTCGCCCCCGACATTTCTCAGCCCAAACGACCTGACCTGCCGCTGCCCCACATCTCCCCCACCGTCGCCAAAGAGGTATGTTGCTGGCAGATGTATCCACCCGGAAGGGACGTCGAAAGTCTGAATGAGGGAAGCATGTCGGGGGAGGGAGAATTTGGAAGTGGATAGCTGGGTCGTGGTCGATGATGTTGTAGCAGCAGAAACGGTAGAGGCTGTTGGGATAGACAAGGGTTGGGCGGGAGAAGGTCTTCGAGAGGGGACACTGCCCTCCGAAGCACTCTCGTCCGCATCAGGAGGGCTGAGGTAGCCCTCGGCGAGAGTGACCAGTTCCCTGACGCCCCCCACCACGTTTTCAATGATATTCGACATTCCGGCTCGCACTCCTATGCTTCAGCTCGGGCTAGATACAGTGTTTGTCGGGGATGGAATAGGAAGCCAGAGACCGGGGAGGTCTTGCTGGGTTTATTCCTTATTCATCGTTGGAGGGGCGGAGTAGGGGAAGCGAGTTACTGGGTGCTCTTCTGGGGAGAAGAGATGGGATGATGGGCTGTGATCCTTTGTCACAGGGCGAGGGAGGGAGGGAGGGTGATGTTGCTGACGATGATATAGCTGACGGGGTATGAGTAATGAAGGATATAGGAAATGATAGAGAAGACACTTACAGCCTGCAGTATAAGACTGGGTCGTGTGGAGGGTCCTTTGGTGTGTCACGCGAGTTGCAGGTGGCCAGCTTCCGTGGGCTGCTGATACCAGACGGATTTTCAGGCGAGGACTCGATGGCAGAGGCCGGGGGGCGATGTGCGATGTGGCCGAGGGGTGATGTGGACGCCTCGTAATCCTGGCGCTCGAGGCGGAGGGTAGCGAGTGGCGGGCTGCTGCTGGGGTGTGTAGGGGCGGGCAGGGGTTGTACCGTGTGGGGGGAGAGGAGACCCCTGTATGGAGCAGCGTGACAGGAAGAAGAGAGGATGCCCGTCAGCAAATGAGCCCAACCCGCACAGTTTCTCCTCCACCGCCACGGTCCCACGGATCTTTCCGCAAATCGCCATGCATTCGCTTTTTCACTGGCTACCGCCTATCTGGGGCACATCTGTGCACTGGGTGCACTGGGTACGAGCTGTGTACGTGCGAGGTCTGCTCATGGATATGTGCAAGGCTGCTGCCCATGGCCATGATGCTCTTTATTATGCCGGCACGACGCGCTGCTCATGTTGAAGTTTCATTCCACTCTATCTGGGGTTCCATACCCCCGTCTCTCTACCTAACCCTCAAAGGGCTTGATCTCAAGCATAGTACCAGGATTCTCAACAAGCCACTCCAATAAATATTAGTTTGCTGATGCATATGAAAAAAGCGGGACCAAAGTACTCAAATTGATCCCGCGCCGTTGTTCACTCTCCGCCGCCAACGCCTCATTGTTTGTCCCCGCGTTCATCCGACTTCCCCTTTCCCGTCGTCTCACCGCCCATACGCAGGACCGTCAACTCGGAAACATCAAGGGATCCATCCCCCCCGGCATACTTTACGCCAACTCTGGGCATCAAACACTCCCATACACCGCTCCCCTCAGACGTCAATCACTTTACCTTCTCCCAACCTCTTCCTCCGAACCGCGACATACATCCACCTTCTCGTCATCAACCCTTACCCACAAAAAACATCGGGAACCAAAAATGCCGCGCAGAGCTCCGCCTGCCATCGCGGTCGCCCCAGTAAACACCCTCCTACCCCCACCTCTTCCTTCACCCATCATTCAATCTCTACGTAAAGATTGGCGATGGGCAGCCATCTCTCAATTTGTATACACCTTCTCCGACGCTTTCGGATTGCTCGACTGGGAAATTGAGGTGCGTATCCTACACTTTTGCATGTGGATGTGCGGAATGACTGACTGCATGCGTTGTAGGCGCTGGAAAACGATATCGACGGAGATGAGACGGTTCTGGTACCGACGCTGATCGCAAAGCTCCTCTTCGCGTTGACCTACAACCGCCAAATCAAGTAAGCTCTCTCCTCCTTCTTTTACAACCTTCTCCCGCGTGGATTACGCGTAGCCTCATGGTTCCGGCGCGTCCTTTCTTCTATCGCAATGTTCTCTGTGCTTTCACTGGAGCGCGACTGACTTTTTGACTCTTTAGCCGTGACAATGCGTTTGAACATTTGCGGAAACAGTACCTGAAACGTTTGCCTGATAACAACCCGTTTGGAACGCTGGAAGAGCCAATAGAGTGGGCTACTCTCGGTTTGGGCAAGAAGGTTCGTCTTGTGTGTTTGTTGGACGGACGTGGACTGAGCTAATGGGATATGGTAGGTTGAAGTCTTGCATCAGTTGTGCGAGTGGCAGATGGAAGATCCCGCGAGGTTCAGAGGACTCCTCAAAAGTGAAGACGACGCTGTCTCCTGGGTACGTCTCCCCATCTTCCATCTTCCATCGACATCACACTGACACTGATGGTGGAACAGAGGATCGACCCCATAGGCTGGGACAAACCAGGCAACACATACTGGCTATTCGACGATAACCGAATCTGGATCCAACGGCCCCTTCCCCTCCCTCCTACCCAGGCTAAAAAGTCTTCTCTGAAAGCTAAACGTGCTCTCAAACGCGCTAGGGCTCAGCCACCGATGAAGAAGAGCAAGACGAAACCAATCCCGAAGAAGCAAGCTCCCCCTGCCCGAAAGCCAAAGCCCAAGACGCCTGGGGAGAAGAAGGCGAAAAAGGAGAGGACGCCCACACCGCCTCCGGTGGAATTGACAGGGTCGAGAAGACGGACGGCAGTAGCGTTCTACGGGAATCCGACGCCTACTGCTCTTGCCCTCAAACGCGCGTCTGGGGGGCCTGCTGCGACGCCTTCGAGAGTCGGAGGGAGGGCTACGAGGAGTAGTGGGCGGTTCTCTGCTGTGGGGTTGGATGTGGATGGAAAGGAGGAGGAGGAGGATGTGGAGATGGATTATGGGGAGGACGAAGAAGAGGAGTATGAGGAAGAGGAGGAGAAGCCTGCGTCTAGGGCAATACGGTCGAGGGCGGCTGCGCCAGCGAAAGCTGCTCCTAGAGCGGGCGTCCGCTCATCTCGCCGTCATCGTGCTCCCACAGAAGAAGAAGAAGATGAACAAGAACCACTACCCGAAAAACCCAGCCGATTCACAAGAGCTACCAGGTCCAACAAGGAAGTCGTGGAAGATCAGGCAGCGGACGAAGACTCGGAGCTCAGCGAGTTGACAGACGAGGATGAGCCTCTCGGGCCGTCTTCTGCTGCTGCCGTTGCGGAAGAAGTCGAGCCGGAGCCGACGGATGTCGACTCGCCGCTTTCGTCTATCCCTCCCGACCTTGATGCGGAGCTGCCAAAGGAAGATGAGGAAGAAGATTATGAGCCGGATGATGCTTCTTCGGGTGAGAGTGAGAATGGTGAAGATGAGGCGCAGGAGGAGGACGGAGAGGAGGAAGATAATGGGGATGATGAAGAGGAAGAGGATATCGTGAAGGCTGCCGTCCGAGAGGCCAATGCGGTCCCAGAAGGCTTCGTCGAGTGGGAAGCTGTACGCCCTTGCCTCCCCTGTCTTCAGACTCAAGACTGACACGCAGCAGATCTGTATCACTCTCTACGACTACCGCACCTTTCCCCTCCAATTCGCCTCCTCCAAACACCCCGACGAAAAGGCTCTCTACTCTCTACTCCAAAAATCTATTTGCCCGCCCATCATCGAGCTTCTCACAGCTCAAGAAGTGGAAAAGCAAAAGGCAGCCAACTTTATCGCCAGAAAGCGATCTTCGAGAATCGCAGAGAAAGAGTCTGAGAGGGAAGAGATTGAGAGGCGGCAGAATGCGGAGAAGGAGATGGTAGAACGTATGGAGCGTACTCGTCGGGAGGAAGGACGGGCAAAGAGGGAGGCGGACGCTGCTGAGTATGCTGAACGTTCTAGGGAGGAACGTCTGCGTGAACGAGAGGAGCGTGCGCAAGCTAGGGAGGAGGCAGCGTTGAAGAAGGCGGAGGAAGAGCTGAATGCGAAAGAAAAGGCGGAGAAGAGCAGGGAGGAGAGGAAGAGGCGCCGGAAGGCTGGAGAGGAGGGGAGTGAGACGCCCGAGGTTGAGAATCAGCCTCAGCCCCAGGAAGCGCAGCAGTATGGTCGGGGCCATAGAAGAAGGGCGGATAGGTGGGAGGTTGCTTGTGAGGTCTGCCGCACACACGGCTGGAACATTGTACGTCTTTTCAATTTCCGTGTCAGGTCACAAAGCTGACATCTGGGCAGGATGGGGACAGGGATATGGTCTCGTGTGACCAGTGCGGTCGGTGGCAACATGTCGAATGCCATGACAGGCTGGATGGAAGTGTCGGGAAAGTGAGGCGCAATTGGGATCAAGTGGAATTCAAGGTATGCCCGCAACCTCTTTTACCAGCTGAAGCTGACTGGCCTACTAGTGCCAAGACTGTGCGCATCGAGCGGCTAAACGGCCAAGAATCGACACCCACTCCAATGGCCACAGCCATTCGCATTCTCACCACTCCCAATCATCCGCCCAGCCTCTCTCTCCATACCCTATCCTCCCCGGCTCCGCTCCGGGCCCTCCTCCACCTATCGACCCCGCCCATCCTCCCCCGCCCCCTCTACAGCCTGGGCAGTTCTACCTGCCCTACCAAGGACACCAGGGCCATGCTGGAAAGGAAGAGAGGCCGGTAGGGTATGCGGTGTACTACCCGCCAGGGCACCCCAATGCTGGAGAGAGAAGAATCAGCGGAGGTATGGACGGGAGGAGGGTCAGTGACGGTTATGGTAGTTCAGGGCAGCAACCTCCCGAGGGGTATAGACGGACGTCGCAAGGCTATGCGCCTCATCAACAATCGCCCCTCGCCCAACCCGACTATCTTCCCAGCCACGGCCATCCGCAAGCGTATCCCCTGGGGCATAGCCAGCCTCACTCACACCAGCCTCCTTCCCACCATTACCCTCCTCCCGGTCAAGGTTATGCGTCTCAGGGGCAATCGCCCCAAGCGCCTGCTCCTCGCCTGACATTGCCTCCCTTGCATCAACAGCTGCCTGGGCAGAACCTTCCATCTTCGAGGTACCCGCCCGCTCTCTCTGCCCATCCTCATTCGCAACCTCAGCACCATGGCGCGCCTCATCTCCGGCAGCACCCTGGGCAGGTCTACGCCGGCGAGGGCTATCCGCCGCATGGCGCTTATGGTCATGGCCCGGGCCACAATGGGCATGTGGTGGCTTATGCGCAGGGACAGCCGAGAGACCCGAGACTACAACAGAGTCCTCCTCAGGCTTCAGTCCATGCGCAACGGCCTTATCCTTGATGGGCGACTTTGTCCGGCGGCAGCCCTATCGTGTGACATCTTGTTGATGTTGAAATCCATCTCAGCTTTACCATTTTTCCCATTTAGATTTTCTTTTCCAATGGGTATGTACGAGATTAAATGTAGGGCGTCTCAACATGAAAGATGCATGATGCATGATGGCATAGAATTACATGATGATACAGGGTCTAAATCAAACGGCCAAGAACCCATCTACAGCGCCACCTCACTTGCTCAGCTTTCCAACTCCTCCAGCCTTCTTGATCATTCTCTTGATCTCGCCCTCGGTCTTTTGCCACACATTCAGCTTCTTGTCCCTCGTCATTCGTGCAGTGTCGTCGCCGTACTTGTCGACGAGCTGCTGTAGCCAAGTTCGCTCGGAGGTGGAGGTGTGGCGGACGACAGGAGCAGAGGTAGCAGCGAGGAGTTCAAGTTCTGGAGGAGGATTAGCACAGGCTAGCAATGCAGAGAGAGAGGGACATACGCCTGACGACTTCTGTCTTTGCCTCCACCTTCTTCGACTTCTCATCAACCTCCATCTCTTCCTCTGCCTTCTTCTGCGCTTCCTCCTCCTCCTCGCCCTCAATGATGATATCGATCACATTTCCTTCTTCATCCCTGATGATCTTACCGAAGCCGACCTTGACAGGTCCCGCCTCTTCTTCGTCTTGGGCAGATTCGGGCACTTCGGGGAGCTGTACGCGATGGGATCGGGAGGATGCTTGCTGGGGAATGGGGATGGAAGGGAGAAGACCGAGAGCAGCATAACTATCAACAGTCAGCCAAAGTCCTTAGTCCCAAGCGAGATACGTACTTTTGGAACACGGTCTTCTTCTTGTCCCACTTGTCCTGGAGCACCTCTGGTCCCTTGAGTGGCGGCGCCTTCCTCAGTTTCTGGTGCATCCTCCGCTTGGCGGCCAAGCTGGGCTTGTGAGACCTGGAGGACTTGGCCTTGTTTCGCTGTCTGGGGTTGGCCATTGTATCTTGCTTTCCGTGGTGTTGATTTTGAGAAAAGTTCAAAACAGCCAAGGTCTAGTAGTAGAAAAAGCTTTCGGTGGTGTTTACGTAATCCAAACATGTGTTTCCCTTCGACCGCCGCCGCCGCATTTGGCTGTTTTCCGCGCATTTCCTCTATCATCTCTCCTCTTTCTGCTTTATCTCCCCCAGACTCGCTTTACTTCTCCCCTACCCCAACTCAACTCAACAGAAAACATTCAAAATGGGTGGCGAAGGTCAGTCTTGTCTCTGGATGCGGTCGGACGAGAAGCTGACATCGTCCACTCCATCTTCTCCTGCCGGCCATCTCCTCCACCCGCGCTATCCATTCTCCGCCTGCATACTTCTTCATACCACACAGGCTGGCTCTTTCTTTTCGCGGTCCTGATGGCCGCTGTCCTCTTGTTCACCATGGTGTTCTTCGTAAGTCTCAAGCATCGCTATAGGTTGTTTTTGGAACAACTTCATGATGTCATGCGAAACGTAGTGCTGACCGGTCGTGTGCCCTCGTAGATCATCATGTTCTCCGACCTCGAGTGCGGTAAGTCCACAGCCTGTTTGTTGGCTATTAGGGAGCCGGTGGAAGATGTCCGAGGTGCATAGGATGGTGACTGACGGCTTCTAGACTACATCAACCCCATTGACCTTTGCAACAAGCTCAACAACGTAGGTCTCTAGTGATAAGCCTCAGACAAGTACTCACGCACTGCTTGCAGTTTGTTTTGCCTGAAATGCTTGCGCACGCTTTCCTTACCCTTTGCTTCCTCCTTTCTGGTCAATGGCTCGCGTTCCTTTTGAACGCTCCTTTAGTCGCGTTCAACGTCAACAAGTCAGTCCCATTCGATGAATGTCCCTGCAGCGGAGATGCTGACGGAACCTTCAGGGTTCTGGGCAAGAACCACATGTACGATGCGACAGAAATCTTCAGGACCCTTTCCGGGCACAAGAAGGAGAGCTTTATCAAGCTCGGTTTCTACTTGATCTCCTTCTTCTACTACCTCTACCGGCAAGTCTCCTCCGACGTCTCCTCCTTGAATAAGCAAGCTAACGGTGTGTAGCATGATCCTCGCCTTGATCTCCGAGTCCGACTAGACCATTCCTACCCCGGACGACACACGAGTTTCGCACGAGATGTTGGAAGGAGTTTGGTGAGGTGCGGGATCTAGACGGAGCGGTGTGGTAGACGAAAGACGGAGGCAGAGGAGGATGTTTGTGTTGGAGTTGCAGGCTGGAGTTTTCGAGTCTGGGCGTTAAAGGCGGAGGATGTAAAGGGGCAGGGGTGTTGGCTTTTCTCTTGTCAGCGAGTGTTAGTGGGCCTCTTGTTCTTATGAATTCCCTAATGTGCAACCCTATCTGGGCGAATTTGTCGAGCATACAAGAATGAGTCTTTGACAGACCCTGTTATTCAACGGTCGATACATTGAGTGCAATGTAGTACTGATTTCATCGATAAGACTATTGTACAACACAATCAGAGGAGAGGGGTGTAGTGCTATCATCGCAAACTCCATCATTCGTCTCCTTCCTCCAAAACATCATGCAATCCCTCACCAGCACCATCCCACATGAAACTCGACCTATCCGCCTGCGACTCTTCATCCCTCCGCTCTTCCTTTGCTTCCTCTGCAGAATCACCATCGTACAAAAGACAAAACTGTGCGCGATCTTGAATGACGAGGGCGGTACCATCCGGTGACCACTGGAGGTCTAAGGCGGAGAACTCTGTGCCTACACATCTGTTAGAGGGGTGTTGTTGGGGTGTTATGATAGACGTACGGGTGGGAATGCCGACACCTTCCATGTTGCCTCCTCTCCCAGCTTCAACGCTAGCATCACCCACCCCCGAGTCTTCCTCCACCCACCCACTCTCCTCATCCCAAACATACACCCCCCCTCCACCCGTCGCAACAGCCAGCTTATTACCCCTCGGATTCCACCTCGCCCTCCTAACCTCTCTCGCAAAGATTCCACTCGCCAAATGTGTGACTGTAGGCTGCTCTGACGTTGATGAGGGGAGGAAAGTATGGAGGTGGATGATGTTGGGTTGAGAGTCGAGACGGATGAGGAGGAGGGTGGAGGAGGGGTTGAATGTGAGTTGGGAGATACCGGTGCGGGGCGTGGGTTTGGTGTTGTCGGGGCGGATGGTTGGGAATGTACATGGGTGGGGTTGGCGGTCGACTAGGAAGGGTTGTGAGCTTCGGACCTATCAGGCTTTGACTATGTAGACGTACATTGGACGATACCACGCCCTCTCGTATCTCTCAGCCAATCACCAGGTTCCCTCCATATCGTCTAAACAAGCATCAGCATTCCCAAAATCAACAAAACCCAAAAGACGACGCACCGAACTCCTCTCAACAGCTCTCGTTCCCCGAGCAACCACACAAACACACCGCCACCCCTCATTCTCCAAAACCCTCACTTTTCCATCCCACCCCCCCACCGCAATCCACCGTCCACTAGGAGCCCATGTGACGAGCTTGATACCCAGACCGGAGATTTCGTTGGGGGTTGAAGAGAATGTGGGGGATGATGGGGTGAAGTGGGCGAGGATTGGGCCTAGGGCGGAGTGGATGTGGAGAGAGTACTGCGGGAGAGAGTCAGCGGTTATGTAAGAAGTCTGTGGTTGGCGTACTGATAGGGGCGAGTCCCAGACGGCGATATAGCGTCCGCATGGACTCCATTCGATACCTTGGACGTCTGTCGTATGAAGTGGGTAATGCTAAAGTACGTGAGCATGGTCGAAGGTCATGGGTAATAATGCGCACCCGTATGAGAGCATACTGATCCAGTACGTCATACACCCCGATATATTCTTTGCCGTGGTGCTTTTCGGCAACCGCTATGTAACGAGAATCGTGAGAATAAGTATGGCCTGTTCCACGATGTTAGCTCGCTATCGGGAGTAGTGGAGAGGTGTGTCTTACAGCTGGAAGACTTGGCATTCTGAATGACACTGGTGCTCCCCGTTGAGAGGTCATAGATGTTGATCTTTGTCTGAGCCACACTGTCAGTTCCCGTTATGCCAGCACTAAAAGAACACTCACATCAAACTCTTGCCAAGACAGTACATCCCTCGCCCCCCTCCCCCACTCCACCCTCAAAAGCCCCTCCACCCCCAACCCACCTATCCTCGCCGACTCGCCCTCCTGCGCTATCCCATACACCCACGCCATCTTCACCTGGCTGGAGTAGACCAGCAAATACATGCTGTCTCTTGACCATTGCAGTGAATCTATCGGAAACTCGTCTAGTGATGGATCTTGGACGGTTGATGAAGTGGGTTTTATCTTGTTGGAAGGGGCCAAGGGGGCGGGGGGGCGGGTGCAAGCCCATGTGCGGACGACTTGGAGGGTGGCGGTGGACCGGACGACGATCCGGTTGTGGTGCGCTGTGGCTAGAAAGGTCGTTCCCGGGGAGAAGGCGATAGTGCTCGCGCTAAAGAGGTGTGAGAATTCGTACCCCCCCGACATGTTGAAAGCCTGTGATCGAGATTGTTGATTTCTCGAGATTGTTGACAGCTTTGTGAAATAAGTCGCGTCGCGTCCCCAGTGCCACATCACCCCAAACCCCGAAATGCCGCTCCTCCTCAATCGCATGCACTCCCCACCAAACTGCATCTCATTCTCTCTTTCTCTTCTTCTTCTGCACATGGGTGGACTTTATAGAACCACCCTATGAATACCTGGTAAGTCTCCTGTCCTTCGCTCGCTGGTGTATGCGCTAACGGCTTGTAGTATCCTTTTCTGATTCAAGGACATTTCACGTTACCTCCAGTCTTTTCACTCATCTGCCATGGCTCATCACCGCTCCCTTAACCAGAGCATGTTCAGCGATCTAGTGGAAGGCGCCCAAGTCGACAAACAGTAAGTCTTTTCTTCACTTACTTTTTTTTCTCCCATCTCTCTTTCAAAGATGAGACTCTATCAAACGCAAAGTGGGAATCTCTCCTAAACCATTTGAGGAAACTTTATATACTTAGCACCTCTGAACCTTGTCCTCCTCTTCAATCTTGACCATTATGGTACGGTGGCTGACCAAGTAACAGTGATCTGAACGCTCTCGTGTTGGACTATCTCTTGATAGAAGGCTTCTCTGACGCAGCAGTCGAGTTTGCCCGCGAGACGGGTCTGCCTGTCGATGTCGATCATGACCTTGTCAATGAACGGCTTCGTATACGGCAAGCCGTGGAAGACGGGCGGGTACAGGAAGCTGTGCTGCGTACCAACGAGCTAGATCCAGAGGTGAGCCGTCTTTCCTCATTCTTTCTATTCCTATTCCTTTTCATTTTTTTGGGATCCCAATGATTCAACAAATCATGCACCACGCTTAGCCAGGCAATTGTCGCGGCCATGCTGAAACAACCGATTCACAGACCTGATATGAGGGATCCCTTTTTTTCATTTATTTTATTTGTCTGATTGTGACTAGTGAGCTCTTGCTGACTCGTATAATCAGATTCTAGACAACAATGCGCCTCTTCTTTTCCACCTTCAGCTTTTACGTTTGGTCGAGCTCATACGGTTTGACAATCTCGATGCCGCCCTCGAGTTTGCCACGCACGAGCTCGCCCCCCGCGGTGCCCAAAACCCCGAGTTTCTCTCCGACCTCGAGCGTGCTATGGCCCTCCTCGCTTTCCCCGACCTCGCTCGATACGCCGACGACTCGTCCCCCTCTGACAAGAAGCCCGCTCTAGCCCCAGACACTGCCACCCTATTCGAAGAAGCAGCCTTTGACCCCATCAAGGGTCTGATGAAGAAGGCGCACAGAGTCCACGTCGCCCGAGAGCTCAACATGGCCATCTTGGAGAATCAGGGGTATGGGACGGATACCAAGTTGAGTGGGCTTATTAGGCTTATGGCATGGGGCGAGCAAAAACTGGTGGAAAGTTCGGGTGTGCCTATACCTGAGGCTGAGCAGCATAAGGGTCGGGCGTGGGCTGATGCGGTGTTGGGTGATGGCTTGGAGTGTTGATGTACTTGCTCTTTTGACGACTAACGGGGTTGTATCTTTGCGTTGTAGAAATAGATATGTTTGGACCATGCACTTTTGTATCGTATGCCTGAATGATTCGTTTAGAGGTCTTGACTGTTCATCTACGTGTCCAAGGTGGTTCATCCGGTTCATGGGATGTCTGGCGTCTATGTACATGACAACATGGGTATATATATGTACAACAAGTATCTTGCGCGGTCTGACTTTGTATGGATCCATGTAGAAGGGGCTCTGGTGTGTCTGCGAGGTACGGGGGTAATGGCATGATAGCACGAGCAGCGGGCACGTGCTAAAGGAGTCTCTCTAGTCACGAGTGCAGTGCTCAAGACGTGCGATGGTATCAGATACCCCACCCCCCCCTTGACCACCCCACCCCCCTCGTCGAGATCACCCAACATGCCGTCGACGACCGCCGGCGATGTCCGCCCCCCTCCACCAGCCAGTGATTTGCAACCTCTTTATCGCGTCATGAATCAGCCAACCACCATATTTCTATCCTCTTTCTCTTCTTCTTCTCTTCTTCTCCCCCAAGCAAGTAATCATGCCGCCCCCCTCCCTCCTCCTCTTCACCACCTCCCAAACCCCCCTCCCCCTCCGCTACCCCCACCCCCAAAAACCAACCCTCGCCCTCCCTCCCCTCCTCCACCGCTCCCTCCACACCGCCCTCGACAGAGACGACCCTTCTCTCCGCTGGCAAGACGGCGCTATCTGCATCCTAGATCCCCAATCTCTCGGCCGTTCAGAGCCGCTGCCAGTCGAGAACGGCCATGCGGCGCCAGAAAGTGTACACGATGAGAGGGAGGTGACTGTGAAAGTGCATCTTGTCGCCGCGGGGCCGGAGGATGGGCCGGGGAGCGCGAGTACGCGAGCGGGGTACGTACCCGAAGCTTTGGCTTTGCTGCAAACTACAAAAGGGCTCGGTCTGCCGGATAATCTGCTGGTGGGGTTCAAAGGGATTGATTATAAAGGTACAAAAACCGGCACGAAAGACGTCGCCGGACCAGAGAAACCCTCCAGCCCCAGTCTGCCTCTTCCGGCAGCACCCTCCACAACAGTCATCCCCCCCGAGCTCGAAGCCCAAGTCTTGGCAGTCTGGTCCCACCTCTTCACTTCCAAATCGTCTCTCCTCCAACCAGGCGGCAAGCTCGGCTCCATGTATGCGCCTTTGAACCTCTTGAAAAAGTTGGTGGAGAGGGGAGAAGGAGGGGAAGGGGAAGGGGAAGGGGTGGAGGCGAATGTGTTGGATACGCCGGATTGTCATCATTTGCCGGGAGAGTATGCGGGGTATGCGAGGGAGAAGGGGGTGCAGCTTTGGGCGGGCGGTGGACGGGAGGGGTCTGGTATGTTCCTTCTTCTCTTCCCCTCTTCCTCTTCCTCTTCTCCTCTTCCCCTTCTCCTTCTTCGTTTGCTCGCAGCATAGCTAACGTGAACGTCAGACCCAATCCCATCACCCCACCTCCAAAACTCCCTCCACGAGTTCCTCCCCCTCCTCCGCTCATCTCCCCTCCTGCCCATCGAAGCTCGTCAACTCCTCAGCAACAAGAAATTGGATAAGCAAGTGGCGGTGACGGAGGATGGGCTTGGTTTTGTTGAAAGTGGGGAAGGTGGGGTGGAGGTGCGGTGGGCTTTGAGTGTACGTCTTCTTTTGTCTTGCTTTGTTGAGGGCGGGGGTTTGTTGCGGGGGGGTGGGTGCTGATGATAGATCAGTATACGGTCATATCGAAAACCAGAAACGTCGTCGAAGACAAGGGGTATATCATCGCCGCCGACTTCTTACCATGAACATCATCTCAACATTACTGCTCTTATTCTTCAGTTGAATTCAACGGCAGGTTTGGGGGTGAGAAGCATTGGGGGGGCGTAGGGCGTGGGGCGTAGACTGTAGGGTATGGGGTGTAGTGATGCAGGGGAGTGAGGTGCATGAGGGTTGTCATTATACTGATGGAGATTCGTGTGAGGGAGAATGGGAAGGGATGTCATTATCAGCATTTGAGAGTTGTTCAAACGTTTCGTGATAGAATGCATGGGCTTGTGAGTGTTACATTTCTACCAACAGTACCGTCAATCGTCAAGAGACAGTTCCAAGTTTTTCTATCAACTCACCATACCCAAGTATACAATACGAGCATTCAAGGCGGTGTCGTAAGCTACATATCAAACAGGTATTTCTCAAGATGACTATGAAACCCTGCTCCTGTTCCCAGGTTCAACAAGACCAAGACCTCGCCAAGGTAGCCAGCCCACCTAGGCTCAACAACGCCCCTCAGCTAGGGCCCACCACGCTTTCGCCGACAAGTGACTGGCAGCCTTTGCCCACAACATCTCCAGGTGCTTGACCTTCCATGTCGCACCCTTGATTACCGCCCTCCAAGATCTGCAGACACAATCAGCTGCTTGTTCCGAGAACGCAACACTATTCAGAGAGAGTACTCTGTTCAAGAAGAGTACTGGGCTCAGATAGGGACGTACGCCACAGATGGATCTCCAAATCATCTCCATCCTCCAAATCCAAGTCTTCAGCAGTGTGGTCCGAGGTAACGACTGCACCCTGCTGGGTCAACAGTCTGTTCGAAGCACAGCGCACGATTTGTCAAATTGTCAAATGAGGTTCAAAATAGGCCGATAGGGGCATCCGGAGAGGGCGTATGCGGCATAGAGTGGAGCAGAGTTGATCGGATATCATAGGCAAATTGCAATGGGAATTAGGAGCAGAGGATAGCATGCAATCAGCATGTGTGACCGGTTGCCGAGCACAGTTACGACGTACCGAAAATGGCTAGGTTTCAGATCGTAATCCTCGCAGAATGCGTTCTATTACAGGTCAATGTCAGAATTACGCTCTCAATCGGGAAGCTATCCAATCCAATTTTTGACCGGGGTGATACATCCTGCCCGGTGCAAGGTATTACTAAAGAGGCTGATGATACGCACATGAACCTTGATCAACTTTGATCTCTTATTGATCCTGAAGTCTGTCTTCATTCCTTCATTGTCGTACATCACAACTCTGACTGTGATTTTGTCGCTGGCTGATAGTGCAGTCACGGGAGTCAGACTCGATTAATTATCTCAACTCCGGCCTCTCTCAGGTAGAGAGACTGACTAGGTTCTGACATGCTGACCGGCTGAATCTGCCCGTAAGTAATACTACGCGCTGCCGTCAGTATCTGCCAGGAGGTCTAGAGCTCTGGGAGTACTTACGATTCGAGGACAATGGAGGCAAGTCAAGGAAAGACGTCAAGAGAAGGTGACTCTGGTTACCGGCAAGACGAAAAAGAGCGGGAAGAACTGGGGAAGAATGAGAAAACGCGTCTAAAGGAGGAAAAGACTTCCTGCGACCTAAATCAAGTTTTCCGGACACAATGTGACTATATCTTTTCCGCCCTGGCCACAATGTGACTATGATGTACTTTAATATGCACTTTTCCCAAGCCACAATGTGATTTTTCAATCTTTTCCAGTCATAACAACACGACAACAACACGACCATCCATTTTTCTAATTTGAGTCGGCAATGTCCGCCCCCCCTAAATACGTTGCCTGCAGCATGGGCCCCCCCTCTTGACTATCGCCTCCGACAACTTGTCAATAAAAACCAAGGAGAAAGAGATCGGACCGGCCTTGCGTTCCTTCATCACCCAGGAGTTGACCTGTTCAACAATGTTGGACGTGGTCGTTCCAAATCGAGGAAGGTGAGTGAACGCTCGAGACCAGTGCCGGGGGTGGATGGATGAGGCTTGTGTCTGGTCCTCGCTCCACAGGTATCCGAAGAAGCTATCGGGTAATCGGCGTTCGAAAGCAGCATCCTTCGCGCTATTCCACACGAAGCGCTTGGGAGGAGTTGTACCAGTCACTCGCCTATGCCACCAACGAAGATGACTTCATGAAGCTTTGGAACAGCGCGAAGGATGCTGCTTTCAAACAGACAACAGCTTCTTCGAATACCTGTGGAGCGAGGACCAGACACAAGCCTCATCCATCCACCCCCGGCACTGGTCTCGAGCGTTCACTCACCTTCCTCGATTTGGAACGAACACGATCGCCGACTCAAAATAGAAAAATGGATAGCCGTCTTATGACTGGAAAAGATTGAAAAAGTCACATTGTTGTGTCCGTGAGAAAATTTCGTGGTCGCATTGTGGCTTGGGAAAAGTGCATATGACGTCAAGGTCGCATTATGGCCAGGGCGGAAAAGATATGGTTGCATTGTGTCCGGAAAACTTGATTTAGGTCGCAGGAAGTCTTTTCCTCTTTTCCTCGTCGGTAAGTGGAGGATCGTTTAAACAGTCTACTGTTTGGTTCAGGTTTGGTTCTTGTCAGGCCCGGTCTCAGAAGGTTACCTCTCGTGTATCGCTTCAGACCGAGCAAGCATGACTTGTCAATTGGCTTTACATCGTTTACAGAAATCAGGGGGAATTTTTAATGCCTACTACGCAGTCGCAAAGGTCATCGTTGTAAGGACTGGACCCCATCCACCACACCCACCACCCATCCCCTGACCCCACCGATCTTCTCCCCAGGCGTGATATATGGCGGCGCCTTGTTTCCTCTCTCAAGTCTCTCTTGCGTGATGATGAAAGAGCTCGGAAGACCGTCATTCCATTGACCGGTGGTGATGTATTCCGCGAGGTATTTGGTGGAGAGAACTATGCGGGCCATGCCGTGTCCTGTCGTTCTTTATGAGCATCGTGTGATGTGAGGAGTGAGTGGGGATGAAGCTCACCTTGGAACCCGGCAGCGATATAAAGCCCTTCATTGCCCTGTTTCTCGTCCTGCAGCTGCTGGAGAGGAACGCTTCCGATGAGAGGAAGCGTATCTTGGGTAGCACATTGAATGCCTGTCCAAGCACGTATACGCCCCTCTCCTACAGCTTCTTCGTCCCATCCTTCAAAGTTCTTCTTGCAAAAATCTCCAAGCCCTTCTCATCATCAGCGCCTCGTACCACTTGCCAGATTCTCCACCAACAACCCACATTTCTCGGCCGCAGGCTGCACATAACTATCATTCCAGTTCCCATAGATCTCCTTCTTGTCCATGATCCCCTGCTTAATCGCATTGTTCGATGTGAGACCGAGCACAATCCCGGCGTGAGGGGTGGAAATGAGATAAGTTCGTTCTCAGAAGTGTATGTGTATGCGAGGGAGGATGAGCCCGAGTAGGTAGGGGGAGGGGTGATGTTGGCGGCTTAGCCTTGGAATGGGGTCAAACTAGCTTGAGTCAGTGACGACGACGGGTGGAGTGGAAGAGGGCGTACAATCGTTCAATGTCGGTCCCCTTCAACAGCCCTGGTGTATAGGCATTGGTGCAGATCACCACATTCCTCGCCCTCAACTTCCCTCTTTTCCCCAGATTCACCTCCCACAATCCATTCTCACTCTGTTTTTCGACTGTCGCTGCGCCGTCGACCTTCTGTATTCCTTGTACCGGGACCCATGAGTAGAGCTCGGCCTGGCCGGATTTGAGCGCAGAGCGCAAGAAGGCGCTTGCGAGTTTGTGGGGATGGATGGAGCCGGCAGGACCTTTGGAGTATGCTACAGCGCCCTTGAACCTTGTATCCTAGCTAGGCTTCAGCTCAACAAGCTTTGATACAGATCATTCAAAGAAGGACTCACTGCTTGGGCTTTCTTTTCGTCCCATGTCCAAGACCATTCGAGAGGGATATCCTTGTACTTTTCGCTCTTGTTCCTTGCTTCCGCCCACTTCTTGTACAGGCCATCCATCCTCTGTGCCTGGCTTTTAGTCAGTCTCACTACACACGACTGTTAGTGATCTGAGCAAACAATGGCAAGGAGGGAACCGGGCGCACCTTCGACCTTTTCACCTTTCCAGAGATCGATCTCCCATCCTTCCCTATGCACCGTCTCTTCGACCCACAACAACACCCTTCTCTCTAGATCAAGCACATCCAGCGCATCGTCGATGCTGAGACCGGCGCCTCCTTCGGATAGTGGCTTGGTCAATTCGGGGAGGGCGGAGAAAGAGTAAGGAGCACAGTGACCGCCGTTTCGGCCCGCTGGGGAGGAGAAAGTGTCAGTGAGAACGTGTTGATCTTGATCGATCATGAGCACGCACTGGCTCCGGAGGCGACATCTTTGGCTTCTAGCACAACAATAGTCTTGCCAGGAGTGACACCTTCACGAGTGAGATGATAAGCCGTAGATGCCCCTATCAGCCACTCATCAGCTTCAAGCTCGTTTTGCAGTACCCGTACATGAGCGTGACCTGAGCAGAGAACAGACATACCAGCCATACCAGCCCCCACCACGACATAGTCTATCACCTCACTAGGAAGGGCCTTATCTTTGTTATGTCCGAAGAAAGAGTCTGGGCCGCGATTCTGTTCGAAGCGGGTGTATCAGCATAGAACACTGGCGACATATTGAACGCACGGTAGCTTGCCAGTGAGAGACTGTGGATGTGAAGGGCTGTGGAAATGTCGACATATCTGTGAACTGGAATTGTAATGTTGAAGAGGAAGATTATGTCGAAAAGGAGAATGCAGAGCGATTGATGATAATGAATGGTCGTCGTCGGACTTGACCGATTTCACGTGGAATGTCGACACTTCGGATGGCCGGGGCTAGGCGCTCGCTGAATGGAGATTTGCCGGCCTCGTCGAACTTGCTGAGGTTTTCTATGATAGAGAGATGCATTTGACACGATACGTGGTCAACAAGGAAATAAGCCCGCAAAGAGGAAAAGATTTGTGTATGTAATTACTTGGATTCACCGCTCTCCCTCACCTCCACATCTCCTCCACGTCTCTAAGCTTCTTCTCCGCCGGCAACATCCTCATCCGCAACTTTGACACCCTCGACACCAGTCTGACTCTTCTCCTTGCCCGCCTCCGTAGCAGCCTCCGACGCAGGGACGACCTTGGCGGCTTGGGGATGGGGGTCAACGTAGTTCTTCTCGTTGTTGGCAATGTGTTCTTCGAGAACGTTGAGGCCGCAAGCGGCGGCGACGAGACCGAGGAAGGGGGGAGAGGGGTTGAGAGGACGAGAGCAGAATTCAGGGTGGGCTTGGAGACCGACAAAGTAGGGGTGCTCTGTTGGGCACGTCAGTGACTGTCATTCTTGCAGAGACGTGATACTCACCTGCCAGCTCGAGCATCTGCATTCGCTCTCCTCTTTCATCTTTACCGATAAACCTCATGTTTCCAGGCGCCTCCAGCTGCTCCACATACTTGGGCTCCACCTCGTACCTATGCCTGTGCCTCTCCCAAGCAACGTCCTTGCTACCATACAGCTTCCTGAGCTTGGCGTTCTCCGTGTTGGGCTCAAAGACGGTGGGTCGCAGACCGAGACGCATTGTGCCACCCATGTGGGTCTTGGAGATTTCGGGCATGAAGCAGATGACGGAGTGAGGACCATCGGGGACGAGTTCGGAGGAGTTGGCATCTACCAATATCCATTAGCTTCTCCCTTGGAACCCACGCAAACTGTCAGACTCACCCTTCAAACCACAAACGTTCCTAGCCCACTCAATCACAGCCACTTGGAAACCAAGACAAATACCCAAGTACGGCACATTCTGCTCTCGCGCCCACTTGGCAGCAGCAATCATACCCTCAGTACCACGCAAACCGAAACCGCCGGGGACAATGATACCCTTGGCGGAGCAGACGGCCTTCCAGGCGTTGTGGAACTTGACGGGGTTCTCGGTTTGGGCAGCGGGTTCAAGGTCGGAAGAGTCGACCCACTGCATGTTCTGTTAGCACATGCTGGGAGGAGACGGGGGATGGACTTACGTGGAGCTCGAGGCGTCGGCCACATCGCATAGCAGCGTGTTCAAGAGACTTGACGACACTCATATAAGAGTCCTCCAAAGTGGTGTACTTGCCGACAAGGACAATCTCGACAGACTCGAAAGTCTTGTCGACACTAACGACCCATCAGCACCACATATTGCAGACAATCTCGAGTACCCACCCGCTAGTCAAAGACTCCCACTTGTTTGCGATCTCCTCACCCTTGGCCTTCAAAGCCGTAGGGATCTCAACGGTCGACAAGGCAAGACGTTCCCAGAAGTACTTGAGCATGCCTTGGTCTTGGAGGAGGAGGGGGACGTGGTAGGTAGAGCTGACGTTGTGGACACCGAGCACTTGTCGGGGGGAGACGTGGCAGAACATGGAGACCTTCTCCATGGTGGCGGTAAGGAGGGGCTCGGTACATCGACAGGCGATCTGAGGAGTATCAGCACCATTCACTTCTTGCAGAGATATGGACTTACGAGGTCAGGAAGAAGGCCCAAACCACGTAGATCCCTGACACCAGCCTGAGTAGGCTTTGTCTTTTGCTCACCACCAACAACAGGGATGAGGGAGACGTAGATCAAAGCAAAGTTCTCGTGGCCGACTCGGAACTGGAACTGACGCATGGCCTCGACGAAAGGCATAGACTCAATGTCACCGACGGTACCACCAAGCTACAACATGTTCAGCAAAGTCGTCAAGTTGTTGAATAAAAGCAACATACCTCAATGATACAGACATCAGGCTCATCTCCAGTCTCGTCAACAGGAACCTTGGACACTCGCTCAACCCAGTCCTGAATGGCGTTGGTCAAGTGGGGAACGATCTGGACAGTCTTTCCGAGGTAATCTCCTTTTCGCTGTACAAAGATCAGCCTGGTCCATCACATGAGGTAGACATGACCCACCTCGCGGTCGATGACGTGCTGGTAGACCTTTCCGGTGGTAATGTTGTTGTCCTTGTTGAGAGAGACATCAAGGTATCGCTCGTAGTTACCGAGATCCAGATCGGTCTCACCACCATCGTTGAGAACGTACACCTCACCTGCAAACGTGTCAGCTTCTCCCCCAAACTCCATATACATTCATCTCCGAAATCCTTCCGCCCTCTTTCCATCCTTTCATTTCTTGCACGTTCATCGCCACCCAAAGTATGCTTCCACAAAACTAACCGTGTTCAGTGGGAGCCATGGTACCAGCATCAATGTTCATGTAAGGGTCGATCTTGATGGAGGTGACCTTCAAACCAGCAGTCTTGAGCATGAGACCAGTACTGGAGGCTTAATACCCCTTCGTTAGCCTCCCACAGATCCCTCTGCACGTCCCGAGTCATGAAAGCGTACCGATCACACCCTTGCCGATACCACTGCAGAAAAGCCATGTATCAGATCCCAAACATACATGTACATTTCTCCATTCAATCACTCACGAGATAACACCACCACAGACGAGAATGTATTTGACCATCTTGTTCTAGCTGAAGCACCGGGCTTTGATAGCGATAAAAGGTAAAGTCGCGACGGGTGTTGAATAGTACGCGCTGGTTCGAGTTGGAGGCTGCTTGTCGCGCTCTGGCAGGGCGGGGATGTAGATTGGGATAGATGGAACGTTCCCGAAGAAACGAGGGGACGAAGAATGGAAAGTGTGGTTGTTTGTGAGAGTGAGCGTAAGAGCAGGAGCAGTCGGCGGCTCAACCGCGTTCAAAATTATTCTATGTAGTGCGGAACCCGCCGCCCAGTTGCGCGGAAGCAGATCTCACGCGTCTGTCTTTCTGGATCAACAATTGATCAACAAACCAACAACAAACAGTCAACAAACGCGAGATGTTGCCCTCTATACACAGTGAGGCCAAGGTCAGAACTGCCTACATTTGAACTGCTATATTTAGTCACTTGTGTACAGATTCTTCTGCTACGGAACGATGTATCACGAGTGGATGCTGACAGAGTTTGTGAGTGTTTGCTCCTGACTGCCATTCAAGCTGCATTCAAGTCATCTGCTCTCGTCCAAATTTTGTCATTTCTATAAAGTGCATGCAGACAATTGTTTGGATTCAAGAAGAAGGCGCGAAAGCAACACCCCTCAACCTGACATACATAACCTCCCATCCCTCCTCCTGGGCCTCCTGCCCCTCTTGCCCTTTCACGCCCATCCCCGGGTTCTTCGCACTCCAATAATTGTCGATCCTAGAAATCTCGGCGGCCTCTTGCATGATAGTAGCGGCATCAGTGTCGGAGAATGAAGAGAGGAAGGAAGATCGAGCAAAGGTGGTGAGCCAGCCTTGGAGGGAAGTTGGGAGCGGGGTGGGACGGGGGGCGAGGTGGACGTTGGAGGGGGTGAAGTCTGCTGCTTTGAGAACCTGTGGGCTTGTCAGTATGTGCAGTAATGAGGTGACTGATACTCACAGATTCGTATTGTCTGGGAGTGGGGAAGTACCAAGGGTCGAGCGGGATGGGATCAATACCTCTGGCCCTGACGGCATGATGAAGCGCTGCCCTGATACCACATCTGCAAGCCCATCAGCTTCAATCACGCTTTCGACAGAGAAACGTACACGTTCCCAAACCCTCCAAACTCGAATGCAAACTTTCCTCTGGGCTTCAGAAGCCACCCCACAAGCTCAATCACGCCCTCGGGAGAGTCTTTGCACCAGTGCAGAGTAGCGGACGTGAAGACGGCGTCGAAGGCGTGGTGGTATTCTGGGTGGGCAGCGGCAAAGGCGGATGCGCTTTGGATATCTGCTTGGATGTAAGGAATGGAAGAAGGGGACTGGGAAGCAGCTTTGTCGAGCTATGTACTGTCAGTACGCCGGACTTGACGGCGCCGACGACACAGAACATACCATATCCTGAGAAGAATCAACGCCCACTACTACCCCTTTCTCCCCTACCACCTCTTTCAGACCCTTTGTAAGCTCACCAGTGCCACACCCAAGGTCGATGATCTTCTCGCCCTCTTTCGCCTGGAGGAGGCCCAAGACAGGGGCAGTGTTGGCAGCAGAGAAGACGAAGGAGGCGTTGGTGTGGTAGTTGTCCGCGTTGTGGTTTGTGAGATTGGCGGCGTGGGACATCGTGTGTACGGTCTCTTGTTTGCAAATGTAAGAGTATAAGAAGGGGGGATGGGATGTCGAGTCGAGGGGGATGATGGTGCAAGCTGGGTGCAAGATAAGCCGGACGGTGGTCTACCTCCACCGCCATTTCGGCCGAAGCTCATTTGGTGCATAGGGGGTAGCCGACGTCCTCCACCCCGACCATCACCTCTGACATCTGACTTCCGTTTCACAGCTGACACATGTGCGACAGCCGCCATAAAATACTCGCGGACATCGGATTTGTGGCCCCAAAGGGTCAAATACGACTGCTCTGATGAGGTCTCTGGTGCGAGTCTCTCTGATCTCCACAGACGGAATGGTGGGAGTTGAGACGTCACATTCTAGATGCATCTCTTGAACGGAATCTGAGGGTCAACCTCGATGAGTGATCTATTCAGTCTGGATGTGCTCGTTATTATGCCAGGGAATCCCAAAGGTGTCGTCAAAGCTGCAAGGATCGTCATGAGAGGGGACCCCAAAGTCCACGTGCAGGAGGGTGTATTGTCAGCTAACAGCAAAGTGAAATCCTCCGCATTTGTCGTACGCCCGCTGGGCTCTGTCACCATGGTAGTCAAGATCATCGACGATGAAGGGATCTGTGGTGAAGTCGACAACTCCTTCTTGGAACAGGTTGTAGCGCCAATCGGGGGGCGGGTGATGCCAGAAGTCCGACACCAGTGCTCGCTCGGAAGGGAGAAAGTCGTTTTCGGACTTGCGGTAGGCCGCGCGAGTAGGGTCGTTGACGTACAGGAACTTGTACGCCTAGTAATTCTTGGAATCCCAAAGGACGTCGGTGAGCGCAATGGACCACTGGTAGACGAGGCGACCGCGAGAGCGATAGAAATCGGGGAAGAATTACTGGGCGTACAAGTTCCTGCACGTCAACGACCCTACTCGCGCGGCCTACAGAGTGTGGCGTTGGTGGACGCTATGTGGCGGTCACGCTACATTCTTCATCTATTCACCACCACCAGGTTGATAGAGAGCGGCGACTGCCGCCCTTCTCCTCCACCGCGAATCGCGATCATCCAGCGATCATCCGTCATCTCGATATCTTTGCTCGCTGGAGCACCGCTGGAACGAATTACACCTTTGACCTACAACAAACTTGGACTGCCTACAGTCACATATTGGACAAAGAAATGCTCAGCCGCAAGAACATGGCCCTCTTGGGGCTGCTACTACTCGCTGTGGTGCTCGTCTCGGCCGAGGTACGCTCCCCCTCTACCCTTATCTTCTAGTACTACAGCTGACATCAATTGGGTTGTAGAAACAGGAAGTGTCAGATATTCCCGAAGAAATCGCCAAGGCCATGCATGGAGGACACCATGGGGCTCACGAAGGGACGTCGATGAAGAAGGTCTTTGCGACGCTGTTCCCTTTTGAGAGTCCTGCTTGGAATTCAAGTAGGTCTTATACGATCTGACCATGAGAATATGGTGGTAGAAGACGACACTGACGATGCGACTGTCTCATAGTCCTCGCTACATTCTACATCTCCTCGTACGTCCCCTCCCCACCCTCCTTCCCATCAAAGCCCACTCACTAACGCCCCCCTCCCTTTCAGCGTCCCAAACTTTATCCTCCTCGCCGTTCCCGCCACCCTCGACCCCACCTCCCTCAACACCATGATCTCCTTCGCCACCGGTGGTCTGCTCGGGGACGTGTTTCTGCACTTGGTGCCCCATGCGTTCTTTGGGGAAGGGCATGGGGTTGGGGAAGATGGGGTGAAGAGTGTTGTGGTGGAGGAGAAGCGGAATATAGTCATTGGGTGCGTTCTGGGTCTTGACTAGCTTGGAGACGGTAGAGAAAAAGGGCAAGGGCTGATTTGGGTTTTAGAGGGGCGATCTTCCTGGGCTTTGCGGCATTCTTTGTGCTGGATAAGACTATGCGCGTGCTCAGCTCTTCTGCAGGGGGTGGCGGTCACTCCCACTCTCACTCTCATAACCACGGGCACACGCACGCCCAACCTGAAGAATCGACCGCCACCTCCTCCGCCATCGCTCCCTCTGCCGAGCTGCGTTCCCGCAACACCTCCACCTCTAAAGAGCCAGCCCAGCCCGAGACCGCGGAGGACGATAAGGAAAAGGTTAACCCTTCGCTCAAGCTGTCTGCGTACCTCAACTTGTTTGGCGACTTTACGCACAATATCACGGATGGCCTGGCGATGGCTGCTAGTTTCTACTCGAGCCCGGCTTTGGGAGCTGTCACCACCATAGCGACATTCTGCCACGAGATCCCTCACGAAGTGCGTCCTTGTCCCAAAGCACACGGTCATATACTGACAATATTCAAGATTGCAGACTATTCGATTTTGATCAAATCGGGCTTTACCAAATCCCAAGCTATGGGCTCCCAATTCTTCACCGCCGTCGGGGCGTTCGTCGGGACCTTTTTGGGTATCTGGATCGCCGAGACGTCGGGGGTAGCGGCGGCGACTGCTGGAGGGGCTGTATCGGAGGGTCAAGGGTTCTTTGGCACGACGGTGGGAGGGGCAGAGTTGGTCATTCCTATGACTGCTGGAGGTGCGTTCTTGCGCCTGTATTCGTCTTTAGGCCCGCAGAGAAGCCTGGACAACATAGCTGACTATATTGTCAGGGTTCTTGTACATTGCAAGTGTCAGCGTCATCCCCGAGTTGCTGGAAGAATCCCGAAGCGGCAAGCAGGCGCTCAAAGAGTATGCTGCCATGGCGTTCGGCGTCTTTTGCATGGTACATCTTTCCTTTGTCCCAAAAATCCGTCCACTAACAATGCTGTGCGATCCCCTAGGCTGTGATTGCATGGAACGAGTAGAATTAGTAGCAGGAAATGTACATTTGTTTACGAGAACGGAAGGGCCGGCTTTGGTTGTTGTTTGTTGGCCGGATGCGGCGATTTGTGATTACGTCATTTAGCGTCCCCCACCAAACGGCCCGCCGCTTGTACTTTAGCAACAGATGGTTCCCATTTCCTTTCTCTTCCATCCATCCATCTCCCCATCACCATGTCTGATTCCTACAAAGTCACATTCCAGTGGGGCGCAGGGGCCCAAACCGTGAGTCTTCTTCCGAGCTGCAGGGGGGAGGGGCGGGACGGGAGGCAAGACCGAGGGCCGCAAGTGTAAACATCCACCCCGCCTCCGCTGCTCCTATGTCCTTTTGTGCATATGCTAACCACTTTGTTCTCCCATCGCGTTTCTCCTCCACTGTCTTCCCTATCCTCACAACGAACCAACACCAAATCAACAGGTCTGCGTCGCCGGCAATTTCAACGACTGGTCCGCTACTGCCACTCCCCTCCATAAACAAGCCGACGGATCCTTCTCGGCCAGCGTGCCCGTACCTTGGGGAGAGAAGGGAGCGTTCAAGTATGTGGTGGATGGGGAATGGAAAGTCAGGGAGGATGAGGGGAAGGAGTGGGGTGAGTTTTTTTTCTTTGATGATTCTCGGTGATGCCGTGTCGTTGAGCCGTGAGGGCTGTCAGCCGTGCTTGGGTTTGTCGAAACAGCGAAGTGGTGAAGCTGGTAAAGAAGAGGACTTGATGATAGAGACGGGAGATGTACAGATGGAAAGGATGGCTGACAGTCGGCTTTTACAGATGCCGCCGGCAACATGAACAACATCTACCAGGCTCCTGAATCCGAAGCTGCCTCCTCTACTGCTGCCCCCACCTCTACCGCCACCACCGGTGCCTCTCCCACCGACTCTAAACACTCACACTCTGGCGCCGGAACTGCCGTCGCTGCGGGAGCTGCCGGCGGGACGGCCTTGGGTGGTGCCGCCCTTCACTCCCGTGGCAAGGACTCTACCACCAAGGATTCTACTCCCCTCGCCTCTTCCGAAAAGAGCGTACCTTCCAAGAGCGTAGACACCACTTCCCCCGTGACTACCACCAGCGAAAAGAGTGCCGTGCCAGTTCAAGAGACGAAGACCGAACCGTCAAACTTGCTCGCGGCCAATGTCCCCGGGTCTGCTGTCGGCGCGCCCCTCTTGGGCAAGCCTCTTACTGGTTCTGAGACTAGCACTACTGGAGGGGCCTTGCCTGTGGCATCTCACACTGCCTCGGAGAATGACAAGGTCGTTCCTATTGCTACTACCGGCACCGTTCCCTCTCCTTCCACTCCTTCCAAAGCTCAGGACATCCCTCCCTCTCGATTGGTAGCGGACGCCACACCCTCCAAATCTACTCCTACCAAGGACGCCTCTACCTCCTCTGCTGTTCCTGCTGCTGCTGCCGCTACTGGCGCTTCTGCTGCTACCGCCGCCTCTACCAAGGACGTTCCTTCCGCCAAATCCACTTCCACCGACCCTGCCGTCCACACTGGCGCCGGCGTCTCTCCCGAAGCCGGCAAGATCGACGCCGTAAATCCCAGGACCGCCGCCGCCTCTGACGCTCCTGTCGACAGCAAGGCCGCCACCGACAAGGCCGGCGCCACTGCAGACGGCGAGCCCAAGACCCTTTCTCCCGGTCCTGTCCCTGTCGTCGTGCCAGCGCCTACTGCGGCTGCTGCAATCTCTGGTCCGGACGCTACTGTCGTCAAGACTACGGACCCTGCTGGCGGTGTAGTTGGTACTGCGCCCGAAGCGACCCCGAAGGAGATTGAGCAGGTTGCCAAGCACGCCAATATCGGAGAAGCGCCTCTCGCAGCGCCTGTTGCTGTTGCCGAGGGTGAAGAGCAGCATGGTATTACGGAGAGGGCTGCCGAGTACGGTGCTGCTGCTATCGGCGCGATTGGAGGCGCTTTGGGAGGTGCTGTTGTGGCGGTGGAGAAAGCTACTGGTGTCGACATTGTCCACTCTTCTCCTGTAAGTCCCTTCGCAGATTTCGGTTCCAAAGCTAATGATGGACAAAAGACTGACGGCAAGCAGCTGAGTGTGGAAGAAGCCAAGGCCAAGGGTATCGATGTGTCTACGCTCAACAAGGTCGATGGAGCTTCGGACTCTACTGTCCCCACTGGCCAGGCGCCTCCTGCGTCTGCTATTGCCGCGCTTGATGAAAAGGTGGATGAGCTCAAGGCTGAGCAGGGTCCTTCTACCACTTCTACAGTGGGACAGGGCAGTGCTGGTGTTGCTGCCGTACCTTTGCCCGGTGGTGAGCCTCCCAAGAGTATGCCCGCCCCGAGTATAGGGTGACCAAGCTGACCATCTATGCAGGGTCCGTCGCCCCCAACACTGGCGAAAGCTCCCTCTCCGCCAACGCCGCCGCTTTCCAACCCCGAAAGCAACACTCCATCCCCGCCCAGCCCGAGACCATCCCCGACAACCACCAATCCATCCCCGCCCCCGTCTTCACCACCGTCTCCCCCAAAGACCCGCACAAGGACCGTTCGCTCAATGCGTCCGAGGGCAACAAGCTGCAAGATACAGCGGGGCAGAAGCAGGTCGGGGACGACCCTGCTGTGGACGCGCACGAGGTTAAGCGGGAGGCGGAGGCGCACCCTGGGGGGGCGTCGTCGTATGGCCAGACGGGACAGGCGGATGTGGTTGGGGAGGGCAAGCCGGAGGTGCAAGCTGCCAAGAAGAGCGCTGCGCCCGATACGCCCGCCAACAACCTCGGCGTGGGCAGGGAAGGCGATGCGTCCAAGCTTGCGCCTCAGAGTGAAGGGGCTGGTAATGCTACAGTGTCGAAAGCTGGTGAGGGCGCTGTTGCGCCTGGGTCGGACACGGAGGCTAGTGGGAAGAAGGGTGTGACGGAGGCTGCTACGGGTGCGCCCACGACTTCTACTGCGCCGTCGACCCCGGCCAAGAAGACCAATGGGGCTAGCACGCCGTCTACGCCTGCTGCTGTTGGGGTTGCTACCGGGACGAGCACGGCCGCGAGCACGCCTGCAAAGGCTGCCAAGACTGAGGATGGGCAAGTCAACAAGAAGAAGTCTAGCTTCTTCTCCAAGGTGCGTCTCTTCACCCACAAGTTTATAAATCTAAGGCTGACGTTGTTGTCTAGATCAAGCATGCGCTCAAGAAAGACAAGAAGTAAATTAAAGTGTTTTCGCCTTCCATTCCCGTGTAGCTATAATCAGGCCTCGAGATTCAAAATACTTTCGGTTCTCTCACTCTCTAATACATCTCATGTCTGCCCGTCTCTTCTTCTTTTACAACCAGTGGACCGACTCTTGTCGTAATCTTGTTTTTTTCTCTCTTACGTAGTATCTTTCGATATTTCTGATATACACGAACGCGTTTTTGAGCGTGGTATACAAAAGTGGATAGCAAGTAGGATGGAGATATGTCTAAAGCTTCCTTAGAAGTTGGATATGCAACTGCCCACGCTACCGGGACTACATCGTACTATTTTACAACAAATGACTTTCTGCCCGACTCATCTCACATCCCATCCTCCGTCTCCTCCCCACTCGCCGTCTCCCCCCTCCCCTCCCTCTCCTCCCTCTCCCTTCCCTCCCTCCTCCCCGCAATCCCCCGCCCCACCCGACTCTCCCCCTCCACCCCCAATACCCCACACAACCACCGCCCAACTTGCACCAACCTGTCCAAATCTACCCCCGTCTCATACCCCGCCTTGTGGAGTGCGTAGACGACGTCTTCTGTTGGGATGTTGCCTGTCGCGCCCGGAGAGTAGGGGCACCCGCCGAGGCCGGAGAGGGAGGCGTCTATTGTTTGAAGGCCGGCGGGGAGGAGGGAGAGGAGGGAGGGGAGGGCGAGGGCGAATGTATCGTGACACTAAGACTCATCAGTCTTTGTTTCTTTGGACGGAAGAGAGGAGGGGGCTTACGTGAGCTGCGACTTTGGACATATCCAGTCCTCGCCTCTTCATAACCTTCCACAACCTCCCCAACCCTCCACATCCCCCTCCCCTGTCGTATCCCCCATCGACACCTCATAACACCCCATATTCAGTAACCTCTCCGCGACATCAATCACCTGCTCCACATCCGTCGGGCCGGAGAAGGGACAGGTGATGACACATGAAACGTACCCCCTCACGCGGAGGTTGTTTTCTTTGGCTTTAGCTATGAGAGGGGGTAAGGAGGAGAGGACGGAGGAGATGGAAGAGTGGTTGTTGGCTTGGGAGAATGGTTCGGAGGCGGAGACGAAGACTGCTATCTCATCTGTGAGTGAGCCCCCGCCGGACGCTTGGGAGGAAGTCTGGAGGTTGAGGAGGTTGTCGAGGCCTTTCATGTTGGGTACGAGGACGGGGTAGTGGATCGATTGGGCGGAGGGGGGGATGGGGATGTGCTGCGTGAGGGAGGTTGAGGAGGGATCGGGAGGAGGAGGGGGGCTGGTGTATGCGGGGAGAAGGGGAAGGAGCTTGGGCGTATCTGCCATCTACACCACATCAGCTCTTTTGCCTCAACAGGGAAAGAAGGACATACCTGCGGCACCCAATCGCCCCGAACAAAACTCCCAACTTCCACAGACCTCACCCCCGCCCAAAGCAGTTTCTCCACAAGCTCCTTCTTTACCTCTGTCGGCACGACTTTGCCCTTGAAGTTTTGCAGTCCGTCCCGCGGGGATACTTCGACGATACGGATGAACCGGCCGTCGGGGTTGATGTGGGGAGACGTCTTGAGTTCGCGGGATAGCGGCCGGGTGGGCGGGGGGGAGGGCATGGTGGGTGGGCAGGAGTGGGCGAGTCTGCGGGTGGATAGCCTGGAAAGCAGCGAGCGAGGGATAGAAGGCATAGCGGCTGTAGAGTATGGGGGTATAGATGTAATAGCAGAGGTTGTTTGGTTCGGACTCGGGCAGTGTATAGCCGGGTGCAAGAGAGGCAAGTGCGCGGTGACCGCCGCCAGGAACCCCAGCGGCAAAACAGATTTTATAAATAACCCCTGGCCTCGCCATCCTTCCCCTGTTAGCCAGTCAAACCACGTCGCTTCGAAATCGTAATCAACAAATTTGTCCATGTCTTCCTTATCTATTCCTGATGTCCCTTGAAGCGAGGGGAGGACGAATCGCTGCAAATCTCTTCATCTACCCCACAACTGCCCCAGCCTGCCCCTCAATCAGTCAGCCAGGCCCACCAATTCGGAAGACTCAATTGTACCCCAGCGCGACAACAAAAGTTTCCTTCTTCTTTTCACACTTTTGACGGCAAGACGATGTCTGAAAAACACGAAAAGCCCCAGCCAAAGCCTGAAGCGGCCCAAGACGTGCAGCACTCGGAAGCGTCCCTCGACAATGACACAGAGGTCGACCCCGAGCACTTTATGCTCTCCAAAGAGAACAAGCAGCTCCTCGCCGACAACCACGCGTACGTGTGGCGCAAAGACGAGCAAGGCAATCTCTTGGTAAAGTCTTCGAAGGGCGACCCGAGCGACCCGAGGAGCTGGCCGAATTGGAAGAGGTATGCCATCGTCGGGCTCGCGAGTTTGTTGAACAACTTGGTAAGCCTCCCGCTCATCCGCTGCGAAAACATCCTGACTTGTTTTCATAGGTCTGTCTTTGTGTATCAGGCTACAGTACCGGCGTCAGGCAGATGGAAGAAGAGTTCGGCTTCAGTGCCGAAGTCGGTACAGTCGGCTTGTCTCTCTACGTCGTGAGTCTAGCAAGATTTGGCCGCTCTACCCTCTTTTACGGCTTAGCACGAGACTGACGCGAGGGATAGCTTGGTTTTGCGTTGGGTCCTATGTGTCTCGCGCCGTTGAGTGAATTTTTCGGGCGTCGGCCAGTATATCTCGTCAGTTGGACGATCTTTACCCTGTTCCAGCTTCCTGTAAGTGCATATCCACCCCGTGAAAAGGTTGAGTGGCAGGCTGATGGTGGGTGAAGCTCGCGCTTGCTAAGAATGTGGCGACGATCTTGGTATGCCGTTTCATCCAAGGTTTCGCTGGATCGTGAGTCTTTCTCCATACCTTCAGCATTCTCAAGCTGAATTTTTTTGACAGAACGCCCCTTGCCAACACGGGTGGTGTCGTGCACGACGTCTTTGCCGTCAAAGAAGCTGGCTATGCCGTCGCCATCTATGCGCTCTCCAGTGCCGACGGTCCTGCTTTGGGCAATGTCATCTCTGGATACCTGGCCCAAGAAGCCGGGTGGAGATGGCTTTTCTGGACTTATGTGCGTTCCCCTCATCACCTACACCACACTCAATCCACTCACACCTTACACAGTTGATCATCTTTGGCACCTTCCTCGTCATCATCTTCTTCTTCCTTCCCGAAACCCGCTCCACTATCATCCTCGCCCGCAAAACCAAGTCCCTCCGCGCAGCTACCGGTCTCCCCTTCTGGGCCGAACACGAGCTCGTCAAGAAAGATCCCGGCCATCTGTGGAAAGTAACGATCGTCAGGCCCTTTTCATTCTTGTGGAATGAGCCGATTACTTATTTGTGTGCGGGGATTAATGGGTATATTTTTGGGATTGTGTTTTTGAGTAATGAGGCGTTTCCGTTGATCTTTGGGTCGGGTAATGGTGGACACGGATGGACTCAGTACGTCCCCTCCCTTTCCCCCTTCCTCATTCTGATATAGCTGACGATGTCAAAAGCTCGGGTACAGTCAACGCCACATTCGGCGCCTACGCCGTCGGCGCCATCCTCGCCTTCCTCCTCACCCCCCTCCAAGAATCCCAATACCGCGCCGCCTCCGCCCGCCGCGGCACCTCCGACCCCGAAGCACGATGGTGGTCTTCCCTCTGGGCAACGCCGTTCATGCCTTTGGGCCTGATGATTGCGGCGTGGACGTCGTATCCGCATTTGCCGTGGATCGCGCCGTTAATTGGGATGACGATGTTTGGATTTGGGTTGTGAGTTCAACTTGTGCTCTGAAGGGGGAGAGGGAGAAGGCTGATGGGGGTTGGTAGTTATATTATCATTGCGGCGATCCTCAACTATGTCGTCGATGGATACGGCCATTACTCTGCTAGTGCCCTCGGCGGCGTCGTATTCGTCCGAAACATTGTCGGCGCCATCTTCCCTCTCTGTACGTCCCCCTCCAACCCTTCATTTCTTTGCGGCAGAGCTAAATGTCGATCTAACAGTCAGTACACAAATGTTCAAAGGGATGGGCAACCAATGGGCCCTCTTCCTGCTGTCAATGGTATCATTCTTGATGGTACCCATTCCCATCTATTTCTTCTTTAGGGGCAAGGGGGCGAGGGATAGGTCGCCTTACTGTGCTGAGCACGCGAATGAGGATTAGGTGGGGGTTATAGGAGATGAAGAAGAAGAAGGGTAAGAAGAAGGAAATGGGAAAGGAGGTGATTGATTGATCAAGGGAATCAGAAGGATTGAGTTATAGAACATAGATAATTTAATATAGGACGTAACGTTTGGCATGGCATGTATCATTTTTCAGAAGCCTCACACGTATAGCCACGAGATCAGTAGGCAGTATGCGCAAGCTCTACTCGTATGATCTTGCCACTTGCAAAGCCTTGCGCATCTCCTCAGAGTTGATTGGTAAGATCGACTGTACTCAGACATGCCATCCATCCAAGTAGTGCGTTTGAAAAAGAAAACATTTTTTTCATCAAGCAGCGTCCTGAAGAGTACCCAATGCAACAAACAAAAAAACCAATACTATCTCCTCCCCGCTCTCCTCCCATCCTTATTCGCACTCCTCCAAATCCTCCGCGCATCCTTCATCCTCGCCTCATCCCTCTTAACCATCTCCTCCGTCGTCATCTCCACCAAAACCGGCCCATACTCTTCCCTCTCCCACCAATCCCTCCACACCCCCACCAACCTCTTTGCCCCCGACCGCCAATTAACCCTAGTCCCTTGAGCGCCCTTGAGGGGCTCCCATTTAGCTTGTTCGGAGGGGTGGGTGTGAGCAAACAGTTCGAGGTCGAGGGCGTCTTTTTTGTGTTTGAGGACTTCGGCGTAGAGGGCGTGCGCGACGACGGGGATGGCTTCGCCAGAGAGGCCGAGGTCGGTGCAGTATTGTTTGGCGAAGAGGGAGGGGGGGAGGGGAGATGAGAGGTCCCATTCGATACGGTCGCGGAGGACGTGGGTGGTGATTTGCACCTCGAGCTGGAACAGTGTCAGTAGGAACACAGATAGCAAGATGCGCCACTTACATTCAAGATGACTCGACAATCAGCCTCTGGCCATACGCGATCGTCTTTTTCTTCCACCACGCGTCTCCTCTTTCGAGCCCGAGCTCTAGACTTTTTATCTATTGACTCTTCAGGCTCTTCCTCCTCCTGCTCCTCCTGCTCTTCCTCGTCTCCTTCCACGCCATCTTGCTTTTCTTCCGCAATCTTGTCTTTCGCAACCTGTTCTTCCGCGGCCTTTTCCTCTTCCGCCTTCTCCTCCTCCCACACCACATCATCCTCCCCAACATCCTTATCCCCCACATCAATCCCCGCCACATTCTGCGACTCTTCAATCGTCGACTTGATCAAATCGCTGATCGTGTTGGCATATGGCGTCACGGGGATGGACAGATCTTCACAAAAGATGACCGCGAATTGATGCGGTGTGATGAAGGGCTCGTTCACGTTCCAGAGGAATCGGTCATGCACCCTAAAGCCAGGGGTGTCACCAGCGGCATTGACGTCAAAGTCGATAGTGATGGGTAAAAGATGTTCGGGGCGTTCGGCCTCTTGGGCGAGCTGCTCTTCCGTGCTATGGCACACGTCAGCTCTGATTTCTTTTGGTACTCGATGGACATACTGGTAGATGTGTTTAGTAAGCGCAGCAGTCTGGCTCCGAACCCTATCTCCAGGCGTCCTATCTCCAAGCCACGTCCACCCATTCTCCATCTCCTCCGCCCTCCTCCTCAGCTTGTACACTTTCTGGCTCTGCATCGCTTCCTGCCCACCCATCGTCGACTGATTATCCCTCGCGTAATCCCTCCTGCCCGTCGTCCGCCTCCTGCGCGACCTATACTCTACATCCTCATCCGAACCCTCACCGTCCGAGGGCGACTCGAAATCATCATCGTCAGAGATATTCTCTGCGTAATTGACAGTACGCGCTCGACGCGAAGAACCGCCGTAAGAGGCTGCGCCCCGGCGCGACGAAAAGGGCGCAGGGGAGTCGTATCTCGGCGTCGACGCCCCCGAGCCTTTCCCGTCCGCTACATCCGAGCTGATCTGGCGCTCGATATCAGCCAAAAAGGCTTCGCGGTCTTTGGATGAGCCGGTGGTGTGCTCTGGCTGGACGAGGTTTGTGACACCTGTCCGCAGACGCGACGAATATGTCGTATAGAGCGCTTGGGATGTGGGGGCTGTAGACAAGGATGGATCAGTCGTTTTCTGGCCCGGGGGAGGGGTGAAGAAGGGCAGAGGGCCAGGGGCGTGGGTGAAGGGGTGGTTGTATACTGCTACCGGCGCTGGACGCTGGCTCGGTGCGGCGTGCGCATAGGGCGTCGGGGAAGCAGCAGCACGGGGTGGCTGGGTATAGTTGTACGACGTGCGAGGCGGGCCGGCCGGGCGTTGGAGGGGCTGGACTTGCTGCTGGGGGCGATAGGCGGGGGACTGGGCGTATTGCTGGTAGCCCGGGAGTGCAGGGATGGCGGGGGACGGCTGGGGCATGCTGTAGCGGGTGCCGCCGCGGGTGGGATATGCCATGGCAGGTATAGGATGGATGGATGGGGAATGTTGACGTGAGACGGCGAAAGAGGACATGGGCGCTAAAGTGGGGGGAGGAGTGAAGTTACGTAACACCTGAAGATTTCTGCCCTTCGGCCATGTTTTTGAACTTTTGTCTGGTATATACACCACCGCCATGTCCCGTCTCATCATCCTCAACCTCCCCAACTCGGCGTCCCCAGCCTCCCTCCGTCAGGTGCTCGCTGCTCCCGCCTCCCTCTCAGGGTGCACTATCACAGACCTCAAGTTCGTGCCCAAACGTCACTTTGCGTTCGTCGGCTACTCGAGCGACGACGATGCGCGCAAGGTCAAAGAGTGGTTTGACGGTACCTATGCTTTTGGAGGAGGCGGAAAGGTCAAGGTGGACTTTGTGAAAGATGAAAACCTCGTCATCGGGGAGAAGAAGGACAGACAGGACAGGAAGGGCAAAGACAATAAGGAAGTCAAGCAGCCTGAACAGGCCGAGGAAGAGGCGGCGCCGAGGGAGAACAAGAGGCTGGCAGAGTTTATGAACGTGATGAAGGGTGTGGACCCTACCATCAACCCTGAGGCTTCCTCGTCAAAGCCAGAGAAGAAGGAGAAGAGCAAGAAGGGCAAGGAAAAGTCTGAAGAGCCTGAAGAGCCCGAGGCGGACGATGATGCCGAGTGGCTCAGAAGGAGGCAGAATGCTGCTCTAGAGACTGCCGTACGTCCCCTCACTCATCAGATAACTCAAAGCTGACTCGAAACAGGCGCCCCAGCTGTCAGCAGACGAACAACTGATACTATCCACCGGTCGTCTCTTTATCCGTAATCTCGCCTTCATCGCCACCTCATCTTCCCTCTCCTCCCATTTTGCCGCATTCGGCAAAATCGACGAATGTCATCTCCCCGTATCCACCACCACCGGCGAACCACTAGGCACAGCCTTTATCCAATTCCATTCCCCTGAAGAAGCGCTCGAAGCGTACAAAAAGCTCGACAAGACGACTTTCCAGGGCCGTTTGCTGCATGTGCTTCCGGGCAGAGCTAGGTATGGTCAGGAGCAGGGAGCGAGTGCGGTGGAAGGGAAGGTGTTGGGGAAGAAGGACGAGGCTAGGGGGGAGGTGAAGCAGAAGGTTGATGCGAGGAGGAAGGAGGAAGGGTCTAGGGGCGTCAACTGGGCTTCCCTCTACATGAACGTAAGTATTTATCATCTTACCAAAGAAGCCCGCTGACAATGACCCAGAGCGACGCTGTAGCAGCATCAGTAGCCGACCGAATGGGCATCTCCAAATCCGAGCTCCTCAACGGCGACTCTGGCAACGCCGCCGTCAAACTCGCCCTCGCCGAAACGTCCGTCATCGAAGAGACCAAATCATATTTCGAAAACGCCGGCATCGTACTCGAGGCCCTCCAGCCTCGGGTGCCCCGGTCGCAGACGACAATTTTGGTGAAAAACATTCCTTATGGGACTACTGCTCAAAGCTTGACGGACCTGTTTGCGCCTCATGGTGTGCTGAAGCGAGTACTCTTACCGCCGTCAGGTACCCTCGGTGTGGTGGAGTTTGAGAACCACATGGACGCTGGACGGGCATTCAAAGCGCTCGCATACAGACGTCTCGGCAACGCCGTCCTCTACCTCGAAAAAGGCCCCGTGGGCATGTTCAAAGACTCTGCCTCTACCACCACCCCCATGTCGACCCAGCAGAGGATCGAGTCAGAAGGCAAGATGCTCGCTGAAAAAGTCACTGCCCTCCGCGAAGTGCCCGACCCGTCAGACGAAGCTGGCTCGACGCTGTTCCTCAAGAATCTCAACTTTAGCACCACCACCCCGCATCTCCAGGCCGTCCTCTCTTCCCTCCCTGGATTCTCCCATGCCCGGGTGCAGACCAAGCCTGACCCGAAAAGGCCGGGAGAGCGGTTATCGATGGGTTATGGGTTTGTCGGGTTCAAGACGAGGGATGAGGCGAATAAGGCTATGAGCGGGTTGGAAGGGTTTGAGATTGATGGAAAGTTGCTTGAAGTCAAGTTTGCACAGAGAGGGGTGGAGGAAGAGAAGGAGAAGGGGAAAGGCGGGGAGATGGAAGGCAAGACGAAATCTACCAAGCTTCTCGTCAAGAATTTGCCGTTCGAAGCTACCAAGAAAGACCTCCGCGAGCTCTTTTCAGCGTACGGTGCTCTCAAATCCCTCCGTCTCCCGCGCAAAGCCATCCCCACATCCACCGGATCCCAGTCCACCCGCGGTTTCGCCTTTCTCGAGTTTACGACGCACACTGAAGCTGCGCGCGCGATGGAGGCGTTGAAGCATACGCATTTGTTGGGGAGGCATTTGGTGTTGGAGTGGGCCAAGGAGGGGGATGAGGTGGATGTGAGGGGTTTGAGGGAGAAGGTTAAGGGGGAGGTTCGGGGGATGGAAGATGGGGGGAGGGAGGGGAAGAGGAGAAAGTTGGACTTCAGTGGCAAGGGGGCTGAGGAGAATGACGGCTTGGAGGATTGATTGTATTATATCTTGCTAGGCGATTGGATCGCGTATGGTATTTCAATGCATTATGATATTGATACAGCAGCGCGTCGCTATGATTGATACTACAGATACGTGATCGAAGAGCTATTAACGCTTCTCGGGATGACGCGAGGTGCCCATCGAGTGCTCTCCGTCCTTCTCACCCTTCTTTCCGAGCGGAAGTGACTCGTCGGCGTTGGCAGGTGATTCTTTGGTAAAGTCTTTGCCGGTCTGCATGGGGGATCAGCTCATACATCCTGTGGGGGAGGGTGGCGTGATACGTACCTCTTGCTCCACTCCCTTGGCAGCTGTTTCAGGGTTGGCGTCTTTGTTGAAAGCAGCATCGGAATGCGAAATCTCATCGGTCTACAACTCCCGTCAGCACGCTCCACCACCATTCCGAGCCGACTTACAGAAGCACTGCTCTTCCCAGCTTCATCCGCATAAAGCTCCTCCCTACTCCCCTTCTCTGTACTGACCCCCCTCCTCTGTCCGCCCATACGGCTCATACCCATAGTGCCCGTCGCAGGGTCATACCCCCTCACACTCAGGCTGGACAGTGTCCTCACCCTGAGCCGGGCGGGGCTGGAAGCAGAAGAGATGGTGGCGAGCTCTATGGGCTGGGTGGCGGTGGTGGGTAGGGGCACGAGGGGGGTGTGGAGGAGGAGGTTGAAGGTGCGTTTGGCGGTGAGGAACATGGTGGGTGGGGTGTTGTTTGGGTGGGACGTGGTTGGGTGGAGAGATAAATGGAGAAATCTGAAAGTGGTCATACTTTGTGGAGAGATCGAGCGACGTCATTGCGGCGAGATCCGCATCAGGCCTTCGCATTGTTTGGTTCTCATGCACTCCTCTGTCCATCAATGGTTTGTCTCTCACATGAGCGTAGATGTCACTTGTCAGCATTTTCTCGCTGTTTATAAGCCCAGCCTTCGAAAGGAGATCATTGCTTGTCAGGCCGCCATCGAAGATTCTCCGCACGTCTTTGATGGTTGAGACCTACGCAGCTGCGGTGCTGGCAGCAGCTCAGATGCAAGCTACATATGATAGATTGATACACGATGAAGTCATCCCAATGCCTGCACCTGTTCATTTTCCCTAATGAATAGACGTCTCGTTCGAGTAATCTAATGTAGTTGACTCTGTTAAGCTGCCTGTGTGCCATCCGATGGAGTTTCGTGCGAGGCCTCAGAGGATATGCCTTCATGACTTGAATGGGTGCGCATCCATGCATGGTGACCCTCTACATGCAGCTGGAACCATACAGTATTGGCTTTTGTACGCCTCATGGATCCGAGGAACAGCCCGCCGCGTCGAATTCGGCGATAAGTCTTGATCCCGCGCGTGGCGTGATTTTGATTCCGGTGTGCCACTCTCGGGCACAATGGATATGGCCGTGGGTGGCGGCGTTTACCGCCTGTGGGTGCTGGCGGGGGCTGGGTGTTGATTTTTGGTGATTGGTGCACCTCGCTCTCTTCTATCCATCAATAACTCAAAATGCCGGGTGTTCGTGACATCAGGTGAGTCAGCCGCCAACTGCAACAGCACAGGAGAGAGGAAGAGGCCGCGAGGGAGGCATACGGAAGAGTGGGGAGGAAGGGTTGGCGTCAGGGATGTCAAAAGGTGTCGAGTGGGACGGATGCTGGGACATGTTGGAGATGAGGAGGTGCTGGGAATACGCCGTCGGTGTATACAAGGACGTCTGCTGATCATTGTCGTCTCGCTCTTCCACCAATCTCAAACCTCAAATCACCCATTCGCCCTTATCCCACCCTCTATATCCCACTTAAAACCAACCCCACCCAACAGCGCCGATGCCTTCATCACCGCTTACTCTTCGCACTTGAAGCGATCCGGTAAACTCGAGATCCCTACCTGGGTCGACATTGTCAAGACCGGTCCCCAGAAGGAGTTGGCCCCTTACGACCCCGACTGGTTCTACGTGAGGGCTGGTGAGTCGCTTTCTGCTGGAAAGGGCTGTTGCTGCATAGAAGGGAGATAGGATTGGTAAAGTGTCGAAGGAAGTGATGAGACGTAGCAGCAGCCCGGACGTCTTTTCCCTGCAACGCAAGTACTAACGATCTTCCAGCTGCCGTCGCCCGACACATCTACCTCCGAAAGTCCGTCGGTGTCGGAGCCCTCGCCAAGCTCCACGGTTCCAAGAACCGACGAGGAGTCCGACCTTCTCACCACCGAGACTCTGCTACCGGTGTTGAGAGGACCGTCGTCCAGTCCCTCGAGAAGATTGGTGTGCTCGAGGCCGCCCCTGCTGGTGGCAGGAAGATCTCTCAGGATGGCATGTGCGTACCTCCTCTACTTTTTCTTGTGGAAAGGCTGACTTTTTTCTGACAGGCGAGACCTTGACCGAATCGCCACCGCCGTCCTTGAGGCCGAGCGAGAGGAGGAGGAGGAGGAGGAGGAGGAGGAAGAGGAAGACGAGGAGGAGGAGGCTGATGAGGAGTAAGGGAGAAGCCTGCCTCTAGGTTTTCTTTCTGGCGCTTTCGATCTATTCTTTTGTAGGCCGGCGTGCATGATTACAGGATACATCCGCATTTACAACACCCGTGGACACTGGAGGTTTCGATTTCGAGCAAGCGCTGAGAGCATTGACGGGGCCTTTCTGGACAGGAAGCGTTTACGGCGGGGGCGACTGGCTTTTCTATACTGACAGCTGACAGCTGACACAAACTCACCTACCCCTCAATGGCTCTTCTCACCGTGTCCACAGACGCTTGCCTGCCGCACGCTGTACTCGCGTCAGGGCACATGGTCTATTGTACCATCGCATTTCATTATCTTGATCCCACGCCACCTTCCTATCATCTTGACGCTTGTTGTCAACGGTCGAAGTATCTTGTATCACTTTCTCGATGCTTGCTGATGACGACACTAGGGCATACGATATACAATGCTACGATTTGCATTACACCGTTACATACAACCTGATACACTACTAGCATACTTCTCGACGTTACAACAACAAGCGCCACATCAACCTTCCTGGCAATACAATCCCAACGGGAAACACAGCACTGTCACTAGGGCTGACTAGTAGTGGCGAGCTCTCATCAGAGTTGCGAAATACCGCGCTTCACCTATTCCAGCGTCACCCAAATCCTCCCATTCTCCCTCACTCAACCCACCACAAAAGCAAGAGAAATATCACTCACAAGCATCACAAAGTCCATCCGCCTGATACACCATAATCCCCCCAGGGGGATACCTCCCCCACTGTCTCCTCACCCTCCACACCGCACAAACCGACTCAAACATCTTTCGCAACAGTTCTTTCTGGGCATAGTTGGGGATGCGGGAGACGTCGGGGCCGGAGCAGGAGAGACCGTTGGAGATCATGAATTGGACGAATTGGGGGTTTGGGATGCGGGATTTCTCCATGAGGGACATTATTGTGCTTCTGCGCTTCTGGGCGTGGGTGGTGGTTGTTAAAGTATCTGTCGCTGGTGGGGTGGCTGGTGTTGAAGGGGTGATGAGTGGTGGCAATGAAGGTTTACACCCCCTCGCACAAGACCCATTTTATATGGCGCACCACGTTATCCACGTTTGCTTGCCCTCCTGCCTCCTCACCATCAACAATTATGCAAACGTCAGCGTCTCGTATAGACTTTAAACGCAAGCGTCTTGCTCCGTCGACTCGACGTGAGTGTCCTCCCCCCCTCGAGGCCCTCAAAGCACGCCGTTTCCATACATTCCTACATCCCAGAAACGGGCTGGTGGGCAGCCGTAGTACAATGTCTTTCTGTACTTCTAGCCCCGTTGTTTGGGCACTTGGGTATAGGTCCGTGAGCGGTGAGCGGTAAGGTTGCAGGGCTGACGCGTTCCAGAAGAACGCGAGGGGACAGCCCTCTTGCTAACTGGCTGCGATGCCCTGCTGCTTGCTGTTTGTATGACGTATCTATGGTTCCATCAAATTACCTGACGGGTCCAGCAGGCCTGAGATGGGCTGTATTGGAACCCTGCTGGGATGGAGAATGTGAATGTGGAGTCTATACGTGGAAGTGGAACGGATATTCGACGAGGACGAGTCACGATATCAGGCTTATGTTGCACCCGGTGAAAACAAGACGATGATCTGTCTGTTGTGTGGCCCTCGCTCTTCCGCCGGGATCATGATTGTCCATAGTGGGCTAGTCCCCTACTTCTCCCTTCCCTTCCCTGATCGTATGCTATATTGAGTGTATATACATCTTTCGGGATCCTCTGGCCATCTGGCCGCAGCTGAAGACATCAGCAGCCACTCCGTCGGTCTCGGAATGCCGACTCTTGCTTGTTCCTGCCCGAAGAACGAAAGGGGAAGCGATGCGCATCGCCGCCCGCCATATCGGCCTTCTCCTGTGCTCCGCCGTCCCGCTTTTCTATCAAAGGAAGACAGACGAGAATGTGAATGGCCAAAGTCTCAAGCTTATATAAAGCGCTATGAGAATGAACGTCTCTGGCGGGCATAAGCTGACCTGGCGAGGGACTTCTTGCAAGCCGACGTTCGATTGACGAAGCACCTTGTTGCCGATAAGCAACCAGTACGCACCCGTCTTGCCACCTACTTCCAGAAATCACTACAGGAGCTTACCCAGGCATAGATTAATGCTCAATATACATGCTTTCACCCTACTATCAGTCCCCCCAATACCTCTCCCTTGACCGCTTCCTCCACATCCTCAATTCTCGAGAGGCCAACTACCGTCGCTGTCGCTCTTGGGGCTTTGGCGTAGAGAGGACTCCTCGCGTCGTATATGTTGCTCAGCTGTTTGGTACGAACGCTCAAACTTCGCATGATGCTTGTGAAGAGTGTGAGATACGATAGAGCTCAAGGTTTGAGACCGAGCTGATTGCTTTTGAACAGGTGTGTTGATTAAGGATGTGGCGCTGAGAAGGAACCCTGCTCTGTTGTATGAACCTATCGCATATGCATATAACAAACGATGATCCAGCGTAAAATTGTATATACCCCTGTTGTATGCCCATGCAGCCGTGTGGAAAGACTACCGAGGAAGAGCATACAAAACGCCGGCGTGAACCCCCACCAATAACCAAGACCAATACTTCCCCTCGCCAACCAGATCACCCAGAGCAAGCACCAACAACAGTATAGCTGCCCAGGCAGGCACATTCGCTCCAAATATGGCTGGCTGTATCGAGATCATCTTGAGGGAAAACAGGGCGAGAGGCAGTATTGGCTGATGAGGTCTGAGGTATCCCCGTCGAGTAGCTACGCGTAGTGATCGAGATACGCGGCTTTTGATTCGGGTGAGGATGGTCCTGGGAGGTATGAATGGTTGGACATTGACATCGGACTATAGTGCCAGCCAAGGTGTTAGCAGACTGCAGACCGCACAACACGGCCTCGAGACTTACAGGTATATCGACGATACTCCTCCGCAAGGCGACCTCTCCCATGCCCGTCTCGCTTTTCAAAGCAGAATCCACGTCTTGAAGGCCCATCTGACTCGTGTACTCCTGCAGACAAGTCAGACTGCACACACACATCATGAAAATAGAGAGAGGGGAAGGCACCTGTATATCCGACAACAGCCGTTTGACCCTATACGCCATCGGTCTCTTCTCTGGCGTTAGAGAGAGTAACCGATAGAGGAGATCGACGACACCTGGAGGCATGTGTCGTCGTTCCAGGCTCCACAGCACGTCCTCACTCGGGATAAACCTGAAAATTGGTCAGTACTGAATGATCCAACCTTTTCGATCGCAGCAACGTACCCAGGGTAAGCAAGGATCTCTTCCCTCAACGCATCATAGTCTTCTGTATCTCCATAAGGCAGTCTCAAGAAGAGAAGTTTGTGGAATATCATGCCTGGGCAATCAGGATCAGTATACGGATGTAGATCTCTTACCAGGGAGAGACTGACCGCAAGACCATATGTCGGCGTAAGAATCGGATGGCCGATAATGTCCCACGGCATCGTGGACGAGTGTCTCTGGCGCCTATGCCGCTTGTCAGTTGATTTATCCATACTCTCGGTACAAGGAAAGGAGAGCTGACCATATACCTGCAAGAGCGAGTATCAGTTGAGACTCTTTGCTCTGATATCGAACAAGACTTACTCCATGGTACCAGTATGCCCGCTTCGTTCTCTGTTTCCTTTCAGCATCTCTTCGGAGGTCCCGAAATCTGATAACAATGCCCTAGGTCTGAAAGCCAACCATCAGCCTTGTCGGTCTTTCAATCCTGTCTCTACACTCTTACACGAGTTGTCCTTCTTCCCAATGCAATAGGACGTTCGAGCACTTCAAGTCCAGATGCAGTATACATTGCGAATGCTGATCACTCGTCAGTACTCAGACTTCAAAGACACTCACGACATACCAAGAAAGACAAGCCGTCCATGATATCCGAAAACAAATGCAGAATCTCCTCCCAGCCCAACAACATAATCGCTCGATTCTCTCTCCTCCTCGACCAGTTCCCGCTCGCCTGCCCGCCCTCCGAGGGCCGCCTCAGAGACTGCCGCCTCCTTTTGAACTCTTTGATCCTTTCTTCCTTGGGCAGGTTGTCGAAACTCTCATTGTCGGCGACCCCTTCAGAGTGGTTTGTTGGGAGGTGGGAGTATGAGCGGGTGGATAGGTAGCTATCGAGGTTGCCTGCTGAGGCGTACATCATGAGAACATAGAGTGCTGGTACATCTGGTCCGTAGCTGAGATGAAGTGTAAGCACATCGTGGACACGTGGTAGGGAGAAGCGGCTTGCTTTGAGAACCGGGTGGTGTCGATCCAAGCGTGATGATACGCAATGATATTGGGATGCCGCAAAGCCCCAAGAAGCCTCACTTCTCGAAGCATCTTGTGCAAATACGACTTGGACCGTCCGATAGCAATCTTTTTGACCGCGTACTGCCCTATGTCGCGGGTCAGCATTCGGCCACCAGGAGTGGTCTACACACAATGACTTACCTAGAACATCGCCGTCAATGTGGTGGGTTGCCAAGAACACGCTACCCGCCGCACCCATTCCAAGCCTCTTCTCTTCATGGAAGAACCTCGCATAGTAGCCTCTTGAAGGCAGGTCTTGGCTCGTATCCGGATCGTCGTCGTAGGCGTTTTGGAATGGCGGTGGCGTGGTCTCGTCTGCGAAAGCGCCCGTCGAACCGTGTACTTGCTCGAGCACCCGAAAGTAGTTGGTCGGAGCTGGATGGCGCGACCCTCCCGCCAGACCTTCGGGTACATTCCCAGCTCCAGTAGGCAACGGTCGAGCACACGAAGGGCACAGCAGGATAGGTGTGACTTGTTCATCCTCCGCCTCCAAGTTCTCCCCGGCCGAGATGGTCGAGCCCGTGATATTGTCGCTGAGAAAATGGTCGTGGTGGGGCTGGTTGCGGACTTGGAGAGCGTGGGAAGCGGGGTGGTAGAGGATGAGCTGGTACTCGGTGTGTCTTGAGGCAAAGTGAGCCAGGGTCCGGAGAGGACTTGCATGTGTTTCGGTGGGAGCTTACCCGATAGCCTCCCAGGCATGCTCCGGGATGAGCGACATTGCGGGATGTGGGTCACTGTCCGGGTAGGTACAGCAGGGGGTGGTGATGTAGAGAGCCTGTTGGTGATGGGTCACAAGGACATGGCATGATCTCGACCTATTGCAGCAATAGGCAGCTCAAAATAACTGCGCCTATCTCGGAGAGCCGAAACAGCATTTCAACCATGTCAAGAATGATGTCCAGGTGGTCATATAGACTCTCCCCTGTACTGCAGCACCTCAAAGCTGTCCGAGTCAGCTTAACACCCTCATTCGCGAGACAAGAGGCGGGGGCGTCAGTTGCTGGAGGTCTTTCTCGCACGGCCCGGAGCCTCCGCCTTTCTGTCTGCCTCCTGTTCCATTGCTGTGGTTTGCTGTGGTGGTGGCAGACGGTTGATATAAAGAAGTGGACGACATTGCAGTGACTGCTATTTTGTAGTCTACACTACATTGGCCACCCGATGCTGAAGTCGAATACCCAAACACATCTCTGCTGTTCATTGATGAGTCTCTACTACAGAAGTCATGATTGGCATTTCAAGAGCGAAGCAAGATACATAGCACGATCAGCTCTGGGGTACTGGCGCCTATAGACTCTGCCCAAAGACCAGGACCAAGGCTGTCCAGATCAAGCGCAGACACGACTTTACCATTCTCTCGATGTTGTGAGATGATGATATTATGATTGCAGAATTGGAGTTGAGACTTTGGAAATTCAAGGGTCGCTGGTGTAAGCTCAATATGTGTCTGGCAGCCTCACAGTACACTATTTATATGTTTCCCTTGAATGAAGTACCCCAATATGGTACCCCTTGACCGATTCTCGCTCGCTCATGTTGATTGAAGATATTTTCCTTCACCTACTAGTGATCATCTATGACTTACCACCTCAAAGGTCTCTGTAGTCAGAAGAGCCACCCTGTACTTGACATATCCCAAGATTCGCCATAGGGAGCTGACTTGAGATGCTGACAGGAAACCCCAGTGACTCTGGCGCATGCAGGAAACGGGCGCGGGGGACTTTTGGCGGCCACATGCGCGTTGTTGTCGTTCGTTGTTTGGTGCGTCGACGGCTCTCGCTCCTCTTACTCCCTGCCTGCCCCTATATCCTATATCCAAATATACCCAGCCGTCACCATGACAACAGGAAAGACCCTGCCCGAGTCCGACGTCGAGGCAACCCTTGTAAAGCTCAGAAGCGCTGGTAAGCAAAACCCCTCTCCCACAACACCTTCGCTCAGCTCATGCCTCCCTCCAGACCCCGACCGCAAAGTCGACATCATCCAGTACTTCACCGTCCAGCTTGACGGCGTCACATCCCTTCCCGAATCCACTATCGACCCCTTCCTCCTACTCTTACCCCCCCTCCTACGCACGCCCCATTCGCTCTTACTCAATACCGTCCTTTCAACATTCATCCCCGAATTCCTACCTCTTATCCCGCATCAGCCGACGTCGCATTTGAGGATTGCTCTGCTGCAGGTTTTTCCGGCCCTGGCGGAGAAGCTGAACGATGCGAAAGAAAGAGTACATGCTGCTGCTGGCAACGACATCTTCGTTCTCGGCGAGATCAGCTGGAAAGCCGACCCTCCCCTACCGACCTCTAGTTTCGGACCCAATTCTGGGAAATCAGCCCTCTCGCACGGCACGACCTCCAAACTCGGATCTTCTGGCCCTAAAGACAAAGAGACACTGTCGGCATTGTGGGAGAGGCAGATGAAGGATGTCTTGCAGGGCCGAGCAAAGATTGCGAAAGTGGAGGCAATGAAAGTCCTCGTAAAGCTGAGGGAAGCGGTGGGCGGCAAGATGGGGCTGAAAGGGTGGCTGAGCGTGCTGGTGGACTTGCTGGAGGACGGAGATGGGACTGTTCGAGACCAGGCTCGAGAGGTACATTTGTGTCCCATGTGTGGCTCGATGCCAGAGCTGACTGAGACATATAGACTGTCGTCGCCTTACTGGCTCCGCCCACAACTCCTCCTGCCGCCCGGTCGGAACTCAAAAAGCTAATCGTTGCCAAGAATGTCCGTAAAAACATTGCCGATAACATCATTGCTCGTATCCTGGGCGGCGAGGTCACTTCGGGCCGCTCTACCCCTGCTGCCAAGTCGGAGGTGCTGAAAGATGATGCTGTTCGGTCAGGCGCCGGGACGCCTGCTTCAGCGCAGGGTGATGATGTTGACATTGTCTATGTAAGTCTGAGCTTTCAAGTTCTCTTCCTGGGCTGACATGTTGCTAGATCGCATCATCCCATGACCTTGCGAACGAATTTGCTTCCATTCTTCCTCACTTTGAAGGCAAAGAAACAGAACACAACTGGGGTCCTCGAGAAGCTGCTGTCAAGAGGGTGAGAGGGATGATCAAGGGCCAGGCGCATGTCAAGTATCAAGATACTTTTGTTGCTGGTCTCAAAAATGGATTGCTCGAGGGTGTGGCCAAGACTGTGAGTCGTGCTTGACCGGCTTACGAGCGATGCTGATCAGGACAGATCCTGAGTTTGAGAACGACTGTGGCTCAGGCGTCTTGTGTCTTACTGCGAGAGCTGGTGGAGGGTTTACGGACTGCATTCGACAACTTTGTTGAGTACCTTCTCCCCGTCCTCGGCAAGATGGCGTACGTCCCGTCCTATCTCACGTTTGACGTTACTGACGGGACACTTGCAGTGGTCTCACCAAACGAATCATTGCCGACCGTTCCCAACAGATCGTCACTGCCATCATAACCCATACCAACGTCCACCCCCGTATCTTCATCGCCCATATCTTCTCTGGCATCTCGGAGAAGAACGTCCAAATCCGCGCTTACTGCACCAACCACCTCCGCACGTTCCTCAAGATCCACGCGGCACATGCAAAGCACCAGATCGAGTCTACTGCCGGTTTGGGGGAACAGCTAGACCAGACAGTGAGGAAGACGTTGGCGGATGTGAATCCTGGTGTGAGGGAGGCTGGAAGACTGGCGTTTTGGGGGTATCATGCGGTCTGGCCTGCGAAAGGGCAAGTAATCATCGGGACGCTGGACAACCAGGCGAAAAAAAGTCTCGACAAGGTCAATCCGCGCGACAGTAATCTTGAAACGCTGTCGGCCACTTCGTCGACCTCCGCTTCTTCGTCCGCTGCTACAGCTGCTACGACCACGTCAGCAGGATCGGGAAGGCCAGCCGGCAGGTCGTCGGGCTTGGCGGCGATGATGGCTGAACGCCGAAAAGCCGTCAAAGCAGCAGCCGACAAGAAGGCGCAGCTGGGTGAAAGTGATGGGTTTGGGATCTCGCCTCGCATCGTTTCGAACCCTATCCAAGGATCACCGAATGTCCAAGCGGGGCTGCCGAGGTCAAACTCGAGTATGTTGTTAGCCAGTCCTGTCCCCCAGAAACCGACCCAGCTGGTACGGTCGGTAACTTCGCCGGAAGGGTCCCCGTTAACCGCGAAAGCCAACCCCGGTTTGCTTGCTTCTCCCACGCCGGACACGAGCACCAGCAGACGTCTCTCCAAATCACCTTCTGCTTCACCATCTCCCTTGGACCGACAACAAAACCCTAGAACAAGAGCCACCAGCCTTGGTCCTTCTAGCAGCCCGGGCGGAGGTGTCAAGAGTCCACCGCCGAGAGAATCGCCCCTAAGACAAAGCTCGACGGTGCCGATCGGCAGGAGTGTGGAGAGTGGTAGGAAAGGTCTGCCAGAGTTTGATGGGGATGGCGGACTGGGTTTGGGGTTGGGGACGCCTGTGAGGGGTGGACCTTCGCCGAGCTCGACGCCAGCGCACACGCCAGGGATGCCGGGCACGCCTGCTCGAGCGCCTTCTGCCACTCCTCGAAACGGTAGCTTGGCTCACACTCCCGCCCCATCCAACGGCCATACCGCCCAAACTCACCTCTTCAGAACACCGATCAACGCTGCTAGTAGCCGGAAGGCATGGGAAGACTCGCCCAGACCGGAGGCGGTGACCCCTCTGATGATGGAAAAGCTGAAGGAGAGAAAACATGAGAGGAGTTGGTGGATCAAGAGGCAGGAATGTGAGTAAGACTGTCTATGTCTGGGACTGCGGGCTGATGATCGTCCAGTGATGGACAAGGCCTCGCCTCTGAAACCCACTACCCCTTCTCCGGCTTCTGCGATCGTCCCAGACCTGGAATCTCTTTCTTCCGGTAATATCGAATTACGCAACCTCCAGAAACTTGCCCTCTTTTCAAGCTCCCACCCCGTCCGTGCCGACCCTGAAGAAGAGGAGGACCTCTCCGAATCCGAACGCGATGTCATCACTTCAGAACGCAAGCTCTGGGAAGACGACTCGCTGTTCGAGAGACTGCTCGATAGTCTGCTGATGTACCTGCGGCCGGAGAAGGACAAGGAGCTGCTGGAGCAAGGACTGGTGATCCTCTGGGAAGTGGTGCAACATCAATGGTGTTTGGTGGACGATGTGGGCAAGCTTTGTCAGACTTTGTTTAGACTGAGGGCGAGCCAGGATGCCGTTGTGAGTGTCTACTGTATACCATTCGAGTGATATGCTGATGGTCTGGTAGATTTTAGAGTCAACGAACGCGTTGGTATCACTCCTCGTTCAAATCTCTGACCCCATGCTGCTGCTTCTCAGCCTCTGCTCATCTCTCGACAAGTTCCTCGCCGGACATCCTCCGGCATCCCCATCAGCTCCTCGATTGTCTGAGGGACAAGACCCTCTCACCGCTGCCTTGTCACAGCTCTCCCTCGGGCCTGAGAAGGAAACGCCAGAGGAGAGGATCAGGAACTCGGGATACTTGTTTGGGCTGACGAGTGTGGGTATGTGTGTACTGAGGCTGTCGGCGCCGGTGGTCGTCTCGGAAGGGCCAAAGTTGGGGCGCATCGTCATGGCTGTACGTCTATCCCGGACCCTTCATGTTGGCTTAATCTCATCTTGACTTACAGGCCGCCTCGAATCCATCATCAATCATTCGCCAAGCCTCTCAGTCCCTCCTCCTCTCAATCCAATGTATCCTCCGCAACTCCAACAAGACCCTCTCCCTTGTCCCCAGCCTTAGCAAGGGTCAGAAGGACCTGGCGATCTATTATATGGCGCAGAACGGCATTCTGGAGGAAAATGCGTTGCACAAGCAATTGGACAATGCGGAAGGGAAGGAAGACATTGAAAGTGAGGATGGCGAAAAGAAGGAGGAGAGAGAGAGGGAGATGATGAATGGGGAATTGGCAGGGTTGATGGCGAGGGGTGTAGCCAGGGAATGAGTCTGATCTTTTCACCGGCACGCAGGCATGTGTCGATCCTTGTAACATATAAGTGTACATAGAAACGGTATATTGTGACTCATACATCTATCAAAGACACTCATTTAATCAGCGTGCATGACCATTCTGGCCCGCAGAACTATCCACAGGTAGAACGAGAGTGGAATCCTTGGGCAGAGTATGAGTCGATGACTCCGAATGGCTCCACGATATGACTGCACAATTGTTTCATTGCAGTTATATAAACGTTTTCAAGTGGTTTCCAATATACGTTTCACTTTTGGCTATCTCTCGAGTCAACACTCATGCTCCTAGTCCTAGTCCTACTCCTTCCGCCTCCTCTCCTCACGGGACTCCTGCTCCTACTGAGACTTCTCGAGTAGCTCCTTCCTCTGCCACCCCTGGGCCTCGGACTCAAGCTTCTTGAATAGCTGCGCGATCTGCTGAGACTCCTGCTTCTGGGCCTTCCTCCGCCTCGGCCTCCGTATTCAGGCGACGCTCGACGAGGAGCACCACGCTCGCCCCATTTGCGCATAGGAACCACGGGACTCCGGTCAGATCGACCCCATCCTTGATCTCGTCCGCCTCCCGGTCCGCCGTAGCCTCCTCGATCACCGCTTCCATACCCTCCCCGACCTCCTCGTCCACCGCCTCGTCCGCCAAAACCTGGACCACCACCATTCCTTCCAGGTCCACCGAACGAGTCTCGTCCACCCCGGTTGAACCTCGGGGGAGAACGGGAACGGGATCGAGAGTATGACCGGCGGCGGTTGTAAGAGCCCTTGGATGGACCGGCACCGCTGGCGCGTCGAGAGACTGGCGAACGAGAGCGAGAGATTGAGCGGGGTCGGCGGACGGGAGAACGGGAGCGGGAGTAGGAAGGGGATCGTCGGCGAGCGGAAGAAGCGGCCTTGGGTGGGGGAAGAGGGTGCTCCGAAATCTACATAGCGGTCAGCTTTGGGCAATCCGGTTGAGAGGCTGGACGCACGTCGACTTTGAGGACTGAACCGTCCAACTGGCCGCCATCCATGTGCTTTTTGGCCTTTTCAGCAGCCGATGAGTTTTCGAATTCGAGTGCAGCCTTGCCTCTGTTCAATCCAGCTTAGAAAACACAGCGTGAGCTATACCGTCCCTCCCAGATTGACGCTGATGCTACTTACAAACTTCAAACAACGGCATGTCCACTCTGACAACCCTCCCATATTCTCCAAAGATCTCTTCCAGATGCCCAACTTGCACATTCTTGCTCAGTCCGGACACTACCACCACTTTGAATCCACCATCGCTCCTGGGACCTCGGGGAGGGGGCGAGCGGGATCGCGAGGCTGACGGAGAGCGAGAAGGGTAAGAGGGAGAACGGGCTCGGCCAGCTGGGGGAGGGCGGTCCCTGTTGCGAGGGGGAGAGGGAGAGAGGGACTTGGGGGTGCGCGATCGTCCTCTGGGGGGCATTCTGTGGGTTTTGTTGTTGGTTTGAGGAAGGATGCAATTGAGAGAACAGAATACGAGGATGAAAGGGTCCGACGCGCTTAAAGTCGGGGTCGATTTAATTTACGTGTTACTTGTAAATATGTTGAATGATTGATCTCGCAACAACTCTTGCATCAGCAATCAGCATGGCCATGCACGTATAAAGTACATCATTGGGCATATTTAACCATTTTTTATTCACGCAGCGCATATGCTTTACAATATTCCTTGCTTTGGTCTCAAACAACACATTCCTATTCGTAATACTCCCTCTCCAGCGAGCCCTGTTGTACTTGGCTGACAGGCTGATCATCATTCCAGAATTGCTAGGTCAGGGACATGTAGCCAACGGGCTCCGGAGTCAGTAGAGGTTGCGTTTGTAGGAGAAAGAGCCAGAGGACATTCTGTTTGTCTTGTAGAGCCTCTCAAGCCATCCAATCTATACCAAGCTATGGCCTGGGAGGAGATAGGATTACAACATGACGCTGGGCCGCCTTTCATTGAATCATTGAACAAATGGCATTGTCATAGCTGTACCATCCCCGTCCTCCCCGACACCCTCAATCTCACTACGTCCCTCCCCGTCGTTCACCATTCTCGCCGACCATCTTGCACGCAAGATGTGCTCAATAATAGCATACCCCGCTCCCTGCTCAGCTGGCTGTGAAATGCCACACCTTGTCGTACACGGAGTGGAAGCCAGGCTCGACACTTTGTTCACTGATTCAATCTCTAGAAGATAACGGTGACTCGCATCCGCATAGGAATGATGGTAGAGATGGACCTGTTACTCCAGCCCCTCGGGGTGGGGCGGGCCAGGTAAGCAGCAGCACCCCCCTGAATTAAGGATCTGGACGCGTGGGATGTGGCAGAGTTTGAGCAATGTTGACTGTCCGGCAGATGGGGGTGTTGAGCGAAGGGAGCGAGAGAAGGCGAGATGATTATCGGCAGCCCAGGCATCATAGCACTCGGATGCACATCATGAGGCCGCATGACTGGCGCCGCGGCGTACATAGCAGCCGAGAAGATGTGTGTGAGGGAATCGAACAGCGGATTGGTGATGTGATGACGACGGATAGACGATATAGTGTTGAGCCGGTCCGGTACTATGCTGCTTTTCTGTGTTCTCGTCAAAGATGTTTGGCATTGAATGATGATCGGATGCTGCCGCTTGTCGCGCAGGGCCCAGGATATCGGTGAACCAAGCACTGTGTCGACACACAAAGCCTAACCCAATCCCCCTCATGCAGCGCCTGCCAAATCGGAGATCGATACGTATAATCAATCTTGCTCGGGTACCCGGGCCAGGGAAGACTGAAGCCGCCATACCCTGGGTGCAGCTTTGAGCCAAATGGCATGTCTGGTATGTACGCGCGGTATGTAGCATGGTAACGCGACCAAGCTCATCAGAACAACCGTCTCATCGTACAGTATCCTCCATATCTCCTGGTAACTCGTACCTTAGCTCGCCTTCAACCACAACAACAACCTCAAAAATTGCAAACCGGTTGTTCTGTTCTCTTGCATCTGGCCCTTCTCCCTCTTCGATGCACGGGGGTACAGCAATCGTCGCTTCTCGGTTCCGGCATGCGGCGCGGACGTGGACTCGAGGTGACACGGTTTCAAGGAGGCGGGGCATAGGGGCATATGTCATCGGCTCCATCAAAAGGGCACCAGGGAGACCCCATAAGAACAATAAGGATTTGTCGTTTCGAGAGCACAAACCGCATCCCCTTCTATTCCCCTTTTTCTTCTCTTCAGGCCGGTCCTCGAAGATTTTTCAGTTACCCATCAAAGCTTCAGCCCTCAGCCCTCAGGACAAAAAGCACCGAGCTCGAAGCTTGAATCATTGTGTTTGTGAGCGCTATAAGCCAGCTGGGGGAGCTTTTTCCCACTTTCCCATAATCCACCAACTCGTGATACCATCGACTTGACGTCGTTTCTCCTGCCTTACTATAATTCATTCAAGCGCTCGTCATGCCCTCTATTACCCAGGGAAGCAACCCCTCACGACAATCCTCTTCCTCCTCTTCCCCGTCTCATGACTCTCACGACTCTGAGCAAACGCTCTACGACCCCCGCACCCTCGCTCACCTGCCCACCCAATCACAAGGTCCCCCAACAAGCGAGCAAGGCAGCAGGGCCATACTCGAATACCCCGCACCAGCCCACTCGCCTTCCCGCCTAGCCCATTCCACCTCCCGCACGACCACCCATCTACCGAGCCCCACCTCCCCACAGCCCTCTCAGCGCGGCCCTCCGCCCGCGCTTGAGGAAAGGGAAGCATGGTCCAAACCACCCGTCATGCCCACTTTGCGAGCCCACGCAAGACTGTGCGCTGTGCTGCTCGCTCTGTTCATCGCGTTGTCGGGGTTGATAGCGGGCTGGACGGTGTTTATGATCCACCAGCTGAAGACGGGCTCTTCGAGTGATAGCCAGGGATCGGACGATGATTCTGCGAGCAACGGGCAACAAGAGGGGAATGATGACGACGATGAGGGCAAATGGAGTGGGGGTGTGAGTCCTGTGACTATGGTCATTGACGGTATCTTTATCATTGCGTGAGTATTTCAAGCTTGAACGTTGACCCGACCGGAAGCTGACGGCATTATCAGCATCGTCCTCTTCCTCGCACTCCTCATCCGTCAAACGTCACTCGTCTCCTCCCTCTTCCGCCCGCCCCCTCCTCCCCACGGTCCCAACCCCCTCTCCAACCCCTCTGCCCACTCCTTTCTACCCCCCTGGCTTCTGCCAAGGTTACCGTCATACGTCGAGACCATCGGCGGACGAGGCGCCGGCACAGGCGACGTCGAAGACAGATACATCGTGGGCGAAAGCCTGCCCGTCTACGGCCACAACAGAGGCAGCAAGCTCCTCCTCCGCTCCGAGTCCCGCGGCGGGGCCTTGCGCCAAGGGGAGAATACTTACTCGCCTACTGATAGTGTGGGCAGCAATCACTCGAGGGGGGAGCCGTTGAGTTATGATGTTTCAGAGGCGATGACGCCGAGGCCGGGGATGATGGGGCTCAGCGATCAGCAGAGGTTGGAGTTGGCGAGGGACCAGGAGAGGATGGTTGAGGAGGAGCGGAGGGCGGGGGTGAGGGATATCGTCGAAAAGTCGCACTATGTCAGATAGCAGTAATCATTTCGGTAGAGAGAAAGTGTTAGCATGAAGATGGTGCGTGCATGTAAGTTATATGTTTTGCTATATATACAAGTATCTGCAGGATATGTCAGCTGTGCGATTCACAACAAGAGAGTCCAGCGTACATTTGATTTTTGATGACAACGATGAATCATACGGAGAACATTTTCCCCTTTTTCATTTTGATAATCAGACCACAGTCAGAATCTCGCGAACACCTTGCCGTAAGAACGTGAGGTTGTACTCGATGGTCCCTCGGCGGACTTGCCAAGTGTCTGTCCGTAGCAAGACTACCAATGCAAGATACCTGTCTCAAACTCAGCTTGCGTTGGGTAGAATGATACGTTGAGCTTACGGGGTAAACTGCCACATGGCCAGTGTAGTGCTCGGCAGTAAGCGCGTGGATTGGGTCATCCAAGGCGCATCAGGATCCTCATCATCCCACCATTCCCTCCCTTCCTCCTCCTCCTCCTCTTCCTCGTCGTCTCCTCCATCTTCCTCGCCCTCGCCATCCTCATCCTCTCCATCTTCTCCATCTTCATTATCCTCTACAGGCCGTTGGGCGATAGCTTTGTAGAGAGATTGAAATTGGAGGAATGACGCGAGGTATTCTGTGACTTGCTCTGTGAGCTCGTCGGTGCGGTGTCTGTTGTCCGTGGCAAGGATGACGCGGGACTTCATGTCGAACAAGAAGGTATTGTCGGTACTCGAATGCTAATTTTGATGAGCCAGGACTTGAGATAACCCAGTAACCACTCACAGAAGTAAAGTCGAGCAACAAAGACTCGACTGCCGGCAACATCTCCATACTCCCCTGTATGACCTTGCTCCAAGCCGCCCTCAAACTCACATCATGCGCACTTGTCATACTATACACCACATCAGGTATCAACGTATTGATAATCATCCCAACCGTCCCCGGATCTTCGAAGTTCCACCCCGGCGCCAGGCTCTGAAAATCGCCATACCGGAAATCTTCAATCTCCTCCGCCGTCGTACGCTGGATCTCGGCATAGTTTTCGCCGCGATAGTCTTCAGAGAGCATCTCGGCTTTGTGGATGAACATGTGGAAGCGGATAGCGGGGTTAGAGAGGTAGGCGCGGACCATGATGTGAACGAATTTGCGGATGGAGTCGTGGTAAGAGTCGTCTTGCTGCCAAGAATGGTGAGTACCTCGAAGGTGGTGTATGGACGGATGGACCTACTTGCATATCCAGCACGTAGACGATAGTGGAGAATGAGCTCAAGGGGACCTCGAGCTGATCAATCTCAAAGTTTGAGGGAGTGTCCCATATCTGCAATGGGATGATGGAGCTGAAAATGACAAAAATGTCTTGGATCAGTCCCGTCCAAGCGCTAGGATTTGAACAGAATCCAAAGACTCACTTGTAGTCAATCTGCTCTATCTTTTGAGTCACACCAAAATGAGGCACCTCCTGGGCTGGGACTTGCTGAAAGACAGTCTTGATGCAGGAAGTCTTGCCTGCTCTAGCGCACGAGTCAGCCTACAGGACCGGTCTGAGGTGCTCGGGAGCTCACTTTCTCCACCCCAAGACGAGTATTTTTTGGCGTGGGTCATGGGAGGTGGGGGACGTGGGTGGCTTGGGCGTCATGCTGGCGGGATAGGGGGGATAGGAAGAGAATGGATATGCAAGAAGCGATAGATAACGAGTTGATAACGAGCCGAACGAATGTCTACCGCCGGGCAACAAGTGGACGACGATTTGATTCCGCTGCTTATGTAACCACTTACTCTCATCAAGAATTCTACTAGCGACGCGCAGGAAAACGCGTCCTCATGTTTGTTTTGCGCGTCGCTTTCCCTCAACGTTTCCCTATTTCTTGTCTGAAGAGGGATACAAGGCAGAGGGATACAAGACCCCAGAGTACTCCCGACCAACTCTTATCCGCGATACCCTCCCCACACCCTCCACGTGTATCTGTGAGTCACATTACTTTTTCTAGACGCGTCGCGTCTCCCTGCTGCTCGACTGACACCTTCCCAGCACCATGTCCTCTTCCTCCCTGCCCCCCCTGACCTCCTCCAACCCCTCCCTTCTCCCACCAGACCCCTCATCTACCGTATCCTTCCCGTCCGACCCTCCTGCAAAGCCGCTCGTCAGAAAGACATACGGTCGCCAGAAACACGTCTCTCCGCCACCTGAACCCCAACCATCGTCTTCGCCCGTAGACGCGCCGGGACCGTCGCCGTCCAAGAGATGGACGAGTGCGAGCGATAAGATGCTTGCCAGTTTTGCGAGCCTCGATCCCGGGGCTGGGGCGGACAAGGAGGATGAGGATGAAGTTATGGATGATCAGGCGGTCAAGCGCGAGCTGGAAAGAATGAGGAAGAGCCGACAAAGTCGTTCTAATCCCGAGCCTGAACCAGCCGTTTCCGCCCCTGAAGAACACTCGCCAAGCAACGCGCCTGCGCCCGAGGCTGAGGGAGCCGTGCTCGAGCCCACCCAAGGCGACGATAGCGACAAAGACGATACTGAAGACACCCCCAAAGCTGCTCCCCGCAAAGACTCTCTCTATGTCACTGTCAATGGCTCTACCCACTCCACTCCTTCCCTCCCTGAACTCCAGCCGTCGTCTCCGCCTCGGGGCAAGTTTCCGTCCTCCAATTCGCTCTCGAATGGCGAGGAAGGACGATCTTCCCAGAGTGGCGCGTCTGCTGATACTTTTATGATTCAGAGGGAACGGCAGGAGAGGAATGAAACACTTTCTCCTGAGAAGCAAGCGAAGAAAGGGTTGAAGAAGAAGAGGGTAGTGGTGGAGAGCGATGAGGAAAGCGAAGATGATGTCCCAATACGGGCACCTCGAGATCGCTCCCCCGAAACTCCCATACAGTGGGAAGACAATGGAGACGAACCTGCAGACGAACCTCAGAAGGGTGAGTATGATCTCGGTGCTGCCATGGAAGAGGTCGCGGAGGAAGAGGAGGAGGCGGAGAGGACACGAACGCGGAATGAGAAGAGGGAGAAGGAGTTGAGTAGAAGAGAGGACCCTTTGAAGGGAGCGGGCATGGACGGGCTCTTTGATGACGACGATGAGGAGCAGGAGAAAAAGTCAAAAAAGAAGGCAAGTCCGCAGGTCATATCTGAGACAACACGACTGACAAATACAACAGAGCTCGAAAGGTCTGAACAGACAAGACAAGAAGCAGATGCACAAGGACATCGACGCCGCTGAAAGAAGTTCGTTTGAACCTATACACATCTCGCAGAAGATTACTAACACACCTCCAGGTCGAACAGTCCACCTCGCCCGCCCCAGGACCGACTCCCACAACACCATGGCCGACTGGATGAGATCCTACGCCGAATCCCAAGCCGGCTTCAGCCGCTCACACCCTTCTTCTGGTCCTGCCGAATCGATTTCAGAGTTTGACACGCCTGTCACTGAACGTATTGCGCCGGCAAAGACGGGGTCGGAGGGCAAAGTGCCGAGCTCGCAGGCGAGGTTGGCGGAGAGTATTGTGACTTCTTCGCCTTCTGCTGCATCAAACAAGCTGGGACGGAACGGCGTTTCTTTCAAGCCTTCTCCGAGGGCTACCCCTGCGCCGGTTGGAGATGAAGTGGACGCAGGAGAGGAGGCACAGGATTTTGCCGCGTTTGCGGCCGACCTTGATGCCCAAGACGATGCTGCCGAAGCTGCCTCCGCTCTCGCTGCTGAAAGGGCCGCCAAGCAGGCTGCGCTGTACAAGAGGAAGCTCGCGCTCGTCGCCAAGGCCGAACAAGAAAAGTCGAAAAAGATCAGAAAGAAGGTAAAGGAAGAAGAAGGGGATAGTGATGTTGAGATTGTTGACGGTCCGAATGCCAAAAAGGGCAAGCGGCCTCTGTCCAAACTTCCCAATGGCGCTACCTTGCATCACAAGCCTCGCCCCTCCGATCAGAAGATATCTGAGACTTACATGGCTCACGCCGGCAAGGGGTTCGCCCACGCTCATGAACGCTCTTTCAACGCCGGCTCCCGTCCGGCAGGCCAGAAACGGGGCAGAGATAGAATCATTTCGCAACAAGATCTGGACAAAGATCTGCATGATAGAATAGCGAGACAAGCCGCCTTTGTCAGGAAGGACAGGGAGATGATCTTTGGAAAAGGAAGGGTGAGGGTGCCAGAGAGACAAGAGGTGGATTTGGATGCGATCCAACAGGAGTTAAGCAAGAGGGCAGATGAGGAGGTCAAGGATGAAGATGAGGAAGATAGGGATGAGGACGATGAAGATTATGTGGAGGAGGAGGAAACGGAGGAGGCGCTGTACAGCGGTGAGGAAGGAGACTCCGTCGAGGAGGACGAGGAGGAGGGTGAAGGGACCCAGGAAGATGAGCCCGGCGTCAAACCCGTCGAGCACGAAGAGGATGAGGAGAACGTCGCCTTTCCCAAACCCAAGACACGTCCTTCTGCTCGCAGACAAATCGTCCCCGACTCTGACGACGAAGATGACGCGCCTGCCTCAACCTTCATGCCTCCCCCTGATCTTCCCGCTTCCGCCACCCAACGACCCACACAAACCGCCTCTAGAATTTCTGTCAACCTGGCCGATGACGATGTGCCGATGGCTCCTGCAGATGCAGGCGGCGAGGAGGGACTGGGAGACAATTTTACAGCCGGCTTTGGAGACTTTGATGTGGGAGGTTTCGGAGATGATGCTGGTGGAGGCTTTTCACAGCTGTTCAACGAGACTCAAGTTGATAACGCTGAAGTGAGTTTTCGTGACGTTCTCTCATCACTCAACTGACTTATCCGTAGGATGCTTTGGCCAAGCTTCGAAAGCCCGACGCCTCGGGGCTAGCACCAACTCTTGCTGCCCTGCCCGAGGTCGAGATATCCGAGACCCAGATGGCGCGGGACGATGCGCTGGTCATGGGCGTGATGGAGGACGCTGCAATGGACAACCGCCGAGAGTCCGAGGCGCCGAAGAAGATGTACCTCAACACTCAAGGGTAGGCCGACATATCGCTCTCAAATCTGGAAAATTATGCTGATTCTCCTCGATAGTATGTTTACCCAGACAAGACCCAACGACTGGGAAGACGCCCCCGACCCAACTCAGCGTCCCTACGACGAAACACAGTCAACTCCCTATTCTCACTCCCAGCGCCCCCCTTATCCCAGTTCTACCCAGCAGGACACTGACGACACACCTCTTTCGACATCAGAAAGAGATGCTGCCGATGTCAGTCCGACTCAGCCAAAGTTGAGAAGGCTCAAGAGACGTTCCTCACCTGCCACAGAGGCGGAAGATGCGGAAGAGGAGGACGAGAGGGTAGCAACCCCCGAGCTGGAGGAGACACAAATGTCGTCGGCTCCTCGTAACGCTTTGACGGCCCTCATGGACTCTCGCAACCGGCGTGGCCCCTCCAAGCCCGCAAAGTCCAAGAAGGGCAAGGGGAAGGAGACGGAATACATTCAGCGCCAAGCTGAAGAGTCGGACGATGAAGACATGGGTGGATGGGGCAAGACCCACGACGACGAGGAAGAAGAAGCCTCTGGTGACGAGGACCAAATCGTGGATGGCCTGGTCAACGATGAGCAGAGGTCGGAGGCGGAACGGGAGAGAGATGAAGAATTGGGCAGAGCGAAGCTGAGAGAGATCGAGAAGGCGGATGACGAGAAGAGGACGAAGGCCGCAAAAGACCTCACTGAAGGAGTGCATAGAAAGCACCGGAGGGGTGAAGACTTTGTGGACGATGATGAAGAGGAAAAGGGGCAGAGGTGGTATAAGAGAATCAACAAAAAAGTCAGAAAAATCGTAAATGAGAAAACAAAAGAGGGTCTCATTGGTGAGTCACTCGATGCCGAGTCCATTTGGGTTGCTGACATGTACGTAGGTAACGAAAGTACCGACCGCTTTCAAGCGGCATACGAAGAGGAGCAGGATCCCGAAAGCGATGATGAGACTCAAGCTTATCATCCCGACATCTTTGAAGGCGCAAGGGGCCCCTCGCCCGAATTGCAGAGAGAGAACACGCCACCGGCGCAGGTAGGCTTTTTAGAGGGACTAAAGAGGTTACGAGAGATGGGCAGGAAGAATGGAGAGGTGAGTACAGTCCGGAGTACAATCCGAGCAAGAATACCACCCGCTGACCGTGGACGCAGCGCAACATGGATACCTTGGACGACGATCTGGATAAGGAGATTGGGTTGAACGACGATGCGTTCCCTGGGGCGCGCAAACCCTTGGGGGATACTTTTGACAACGCTATCGACGCTGATTCAGCCGCCATGCCCGAGCCTGAATACTCCATCGCCCGGGGGAATTCAAAGAGAAGGTCTGGTGCCCCAGAGGGTCCCGTGGACGACTTTGTGCGTAACTTGACTTAGCCAAGTCTTTCTATGCTGACCATTCGAACAAAGACGTACAAACGCCCAAAGACCACCCCTGTCCAAAAATCCGAATCCTTAAACGCATTGCTCAAAGAGGACTCGGCATACAGCCGGAGCTCAGCCATCTCCTCTGGGTCGGCTGGTTCTCGGGGTGTATTTAGATCAAAGGATGGCGCTGGTGGAAGTAGCAGCACGTCGCTTGGGTCGGGATCCTTGGGTGGCGGAGACCTGGGGAGAGGAAGGGCGCTGCCTCAGAGAAGTAATACCATGTTGAGTAGCTCTAGTGGGCTGACGGGGTTGAAGAAGGGAGACAAATTTGGTCGATAGGAGAAGATTTCATTTAGTTCTGGGATCGTTAATCATTTTGTCGTATATTCTAGAATCATATCCGTGTATGTATGTATATCTTGCGACTCGTCTTGACAGAATGAAGGAATCGCAATACCTGAGTAACAATTCCGTCCGTCTCTGGGAGTGTCAATATTTCAAAGCAAGGTGCCCCACAAAGCTCGCTACCCGACTCCGCAAAATGACCAGTGCAGTAGTCTATCCGCCAACAAGCTGCCTGACTGGACAGAACCCAACAAACAGAACAGCCAGCTTCCCCATGGGGTCATCGGCGTCCACCGACCTACCGTCGATTGATTTATTTCGCCTTTGTATGTCAATCATCCAGCACCACGATCCTGACAACAATGGGCCAAGAACAAGCCCCGATAGCCTCCGAGACTACAGTCGGCTCTCTGGCACCCGGTACATACCTTTCTCTGCTGCCAATCGTGGACGAAATTCTCGCTATACTTCACGCGCAAACTGTCTCTCCTGAGCGGATATCCCCAGCTCAATCTTCCGACCAGGTAGCACCAAAGGTGAGGCCAGCAGTACGCTTTTATAACTAGAATTTCAACTAATGAAGGGCGCGACAGGCCAAAGAGCTCTCGCAAGCACTGGAAGGAATGAAGATGTCGGCTCTCTCGCTTCCGGGAGGCAATTTGTCAACGGAAGATATAGGCAAGCTGTTGGATGTTCTAGAAAGCGAGGGTGACAAGAGAAGGTACGTGCTGTGATTGTAAAGCAGCATGAAAGGAAAGCTAACTTCTTGACTATAGACGGATCCTGTCAAGTTTTGAGACGCTCAGCCTACCGACGGTGGAGGAGTTGGCTAGTGCTGGACCGGAAACCAAAACTGAAGGGGAAAGGCTCATGTGAGAGTAAGCAGGCTGAGAGGATGAGCTGTGATGGGCCGCTGATGGCTGGCTTCTCGTAGTTGCCCAGCTTTCGCCGTTCCTTCTATAATAATAGCCTTGTCGCGTCCCTTCACATATGACCGCAAGTGCATGTTGTACAAATATTCAAGCTTTCTCTTTCATGACCATTAATGCATGCACCTCGACATGTATCATGTCTAGTCTTAGAAAGTGCTCTGCCATCTGCTGTACCCCCAAAGTGCCCATGAGCCATACATACCCGTCAATGGCGGTCTCGACCGCCGACGCGTCGTACAGACCTGATAATGATGATGTTGTTGACAATCAGGAGCCTTTTCTTCCGGCTGCATTATTTCCATATCTCTTTCGTCGCCATGGTCACCGACTTCCGGAGAAATTAACAAACCAACACATGCCTCAGCTTCAGCATGCCCGACCCGTGCTGCATCAATTGCCGCCGGTCATATGGCCAAAACATCTTACTCGACTTTGACCCAAGCGGTTTCTGGGCTTGCCCGCGATGCGGCCTCGTCGACGAAAGTGCCACCTCCGCCCAGAGACTAGTAGACTTCAATGAGCATGGGATCCAGGTGGATGATAATATACGGGGGACGAAAGCTGCGTCTTGGACTGATTGGAGGGAGGCGAAATTTGAGGTGAGTCTGTCCCAGCAGTGATGAAGAGCAAGCTGACAGGGTTGTAGGAACATGTGAAGGATCTGTTGGATCTATATCTCGGATCCAAAGATCCCCGGACAAGTATCCTTGGCACTCCAGGCGAAAACGTTCGCACCAGCACCCGCAAATGGCTGACCCGCATACTCGAGGCCGACCGGCAGCTCTTTCAGCGTCTGCAAGGCCACAAGAAGGCCAGTCCCAAGACCAAGTTCTTTGTGGTGATTGCTCTCAAGATGGCGCTAGATGAGAATGCGGTAGCTGTGCTGCACAATCGGCTGAGAGCGGCGGGGTTTCAGACAGAGATGAAGAGTGCTTGGGCGGGGGCTAGGAGTGACGAGCGGCTGCCGGCTCTGAGTCTGTCCCAGCTGGTTGTGAGTTTCGCCATCATCCTATTCATCTCACATGCTGACGTATGAGCAGGCAAGACTCTCCCAATTCCCCGCAACTAGCTTTGGGTACACAGACCGAGAAGGTTATCTGAACCTCCTCCATCGCCGCTTTACCAAGCTCCTCCGCAATGCCCTCACGCCTCTTGAATCCACCCTCATCTTCCTCACTTCAATATCCCAGCGTCTCCGCCAAATCGCAGATGCTTCCAACGAAGATCGTACTTCGTTGCTGCTCACCCGACCACCAGCTGGAAAGGGGACTCGGGAATGGGAAGCCGAAGAGTTCTCCTTCTTCGAAGACGTCGAGTGGGAAAAGGTGCTACCGGAAGCATACAGGCTGTATCAGATACAGGAGTGTGTCTACTTGTGGGGAAATCGTTCGTCTCCCAGCATAGCGATCGCCCTCCTTTTCTGGTCTATCCAGTCACTCAAATCACTGGTCGTCCCTTCATTCTCCATCCTCATGGAGGAACTCTCAGCGCCATACGGCCAACAACGCTGGGTCGCTCTGGAGAGGTTCAAGGAGATGCGGAATCTGCTCGTAGCCTGGAGTACGTCCTTTCCCGAAGCGGCCATACCCTTCCCTCTGTTACCCCTGCCCCCAAAAGGGTTCATAGGCGATGGCGTATCTGGCTACGGTAGTGACTCTCGACGAGGAATACCCGAAATCGACATGGCTGTCACTGTTGCCCCTCTCATCACTCAGCATTGGCGCAAATTACTTCAAGCAAGGTCGCGGACGCGAAAGGACGTCATGCCCCTCGCAGACGAAATCTATCTTGCCCGCAAGATGTTTGTCGTGCGTGCTGGTGACTATGCTCTTCTACTAGACCCGAAAGCGACTCTACCACTCCATCTCAGGAATGTCGAGCGGCCCAAGTTGGGGAGAATGTCGCCGGCGGTGAAGAAATTCAAGGTCTTTGCGGATCAGGCGAGGGCCGAGATTGCTGGATATGTGCCTCTGTGGCGTGTGCGCGTGGATGACGAGGCTGTGAAGAGGAGGCTTGAGGGGCTGCAGATCATCCCGGATGGCAATGACGAACCGGCCAGCCAAGCGAAAGCAGACAAGGCGTCACTTGCAGCATCATGCCAATCCATCCCTGCGCCTGAAACGTCGGGACATGGAGTATACTTCCAGCGTGCCTACCCTGCACCTCCTGCCCGTCCGCTCGCCTCTTCTTCCTCGTCTGACGACCACTCCGGTATACTCATGCGCGAAAGAGAAGAATACATAAAATTCCGATACGCGACGTATCTCGAAGCGGGACATATCGTCTCTCCAGCCTGCGCTACTATCATGTGGGACTGGCTGCGCGAAAAAGTGGAGACGGGCAGTATACCTGCGACCATCACGCCCGAATATCTGGCGAGTATTGGAGTGAAAGCCGACCCGCGGCAGGGATGGGATTTGGGCAATTGGGTCGAGCAGAAGAAGGACGTATGGTCCCCTGTCGAATGTCTCTTGCGAGCTGGCGTCAAGCCGAGCGAGATACCGCCTCACTTTGTACCCCAGTCACCCACCTATCTCAAGGTCATCCTTTGCCATTATCACGAGAGAGCGGCTCTTCTCGGGCTCGTCGATAACAATATATTGGCGCCAGTCGGCAAGTTTGAGGATGAGATCGCGCTGCTGTTTCCGCAAGGAGGAGAAGAGAATTTTGAAGGCATGTTTCTGGACGACAAGGAACGTGCAAAGCGGGAGAGAGACTACAAAGCGATGGAAGTGGTGGGCAAAGACGAAGATATGGACGCCTGGAGAAAAGAAAGATCGACTCGGGAGCGGGATGCCTTGTCTGACGAAGAGGCCTCAGATAGCGAAGAGGAAGGCATCCCCTTCCCACCTACCCTCGCCCGGGGCGAACCATCTTCTCCTAGCTCGCCATCTTACAATCCGCCTCCTCCCACGAGATCCCGCGCAGAGCTAAAGCATCTCGCGGCCATCTTCAACGTCCCTTCACACCTCCGAAGCAAAGACCAGCTTGAGCTACTTGCCCAAGCGATTGGGACTAGCGACGATCCAGATTTACACGACGTTGGGAATGAAGATGACAGCGAGAGGTTTGATGAGCTGGCGTTCAGCTCAATGGGACCAAGCTTGGCTGGGGTGGAGCTAGGATGGGGGTTCGAAGAAGCTGGCGACAGCGAAGAGGATGGTGAGGGTGATGCTCCGATAGCGAGTCAACTAGGGGCAGGCAGCCAGAGGAAGAGAAAGGCGGGAAACGAAGAGAAGGAGAAGAAGACATCAAAAAGTAAGAAATAGACAAGGACACTGTACTTGTATTATATGACCTGTATGTAACCTATAAGATTTCACATTCATGACGCACATGCCAACCATAGGACATATCTCCAGCAACAAAGAGAATGAAGCTGCTGCAAGGTGAAGGCGTGTCCCCCCTACTTTCCTCGAGGCGGCCGTTGCAAGATTATTGGTGGGTTACGTCTCACCAACGGTCAAGTTCCAGGTTCTTTCGGCCAGAACACCGTAAGTCCCTCTACTCATGCACGGCGGAATGCTTATCGTCTTTTGAGTCAGTGGGAGGACCCCACTCTATTCATCGAAGAGTTTCGACGATCTGATCAAGAATCTCACTTCGCCCAAATGGCAGCTCTCAACAACATGTATGGCCGGCTTGGAGGTAATCGTTCACCAGCTCGCAGGCCTTACTCTTCACCTCGTGAACATCGCTTGTAGGCGCCGCGACCATTAGAAGGAGCTCGCTGAGGTGGTTTAGGTATAATTTGTGTGTCATTATTGCCAATTATGTCATGTGAAAGGAGAAGAGAGGCAAAAGCAAAAAGATATGACGAAGACGGGATTTGAACCCGCGCGCATAAGCATGCCGGTAACTCAGTACCTGAACGACACTCCATAACCACTCGGACACTTCGCCACATTCGATAGACGCCACACTCCGCACAAACTGTATTCGGGGTTGCATGTGATTTTCATCGGGCTGTGATGTGCACCCTTTCGCATCTCCAGTCTTTCCTCATCATCTGTGCATTCAGTCAGGATAATGTACGGCGGTCGTAAGTCAACAGCCATCGTACTGATCACAGCTGACAACCCCAGCCCCCTTCCCAGGCTCCCTCCCGCCCTTCCCTCCCCAGCGCCCGCCCCAGAATGGCATGCCTTCCTACCTCCCTCCCTTCCCTCCGCCCCCCTTCCCCCCCGGCATCTCCCCCAACGCAAACCCCGGCACGCCCGGACAGTATCCTCCCCAGACACCCATGCCGGGTATGATGGGTATGCCCCCGATGCCTCCCGGCATGAGACCGCCTCCGCCCGGAATGGCGCCCTCGCCGGCTCGGCCCAACCACCCCGGATTGGGGAGCCAATACCAACCTCATCATGGTTTACCTCGAGCGCCCAACCTTGCTCCTGGACCCCCTCGAGCGGACGTGAAGACTACCAAGGTGTTTGTTGGGGGTATCGCCCCAGGTATCTCGGACGAAACCCTTACGAATCTACTCAATGTACGTATGAAGGATCATGACGGATTCGCTTTCGATTGTAACGAGCTGACAATCACAGGCTTGCGGCCCCCTGTATGAACTCAAGCGAGTAATCGGGGCCAGTGGTAAACCCCAAGCTTTCGGTTTTGCCTCATTCGAGAATCCCGAAATCGTGCTTCGTGCGATCCGCTGTCTCAACGGCGTCGAGCTGCCCGATATCACTCCCCAGGGCAAGGCTGACGGCGCACCCAAAAAGAAGCTGGTGGTAAAGGCAGATGAAAAGACGACGGATTTCTTGAATGATTTTGAAGCTGCTTTAGGAAGGTCAGATGTGAGTGTACCGATTGTTCATCTGCGACCTCTGCTGACATGGATGTAGTCGGATGAACAAGCAGATGCCATCACCCGCAAATCAATCCAGCACATTGTCGCTCTTCTCACCGACCCCAACGCTCAACATCCTGACGGCTCTGCCGCCGCCCAGGACTCTCATGTTATCGTCCCCCCGCATCTCCAAGATCTCCAAGAGGGTGACCTCCCCGAAGACCAGCGTGTCGCCGTACTGGATCAGATTGCGATCTTTAGAGAGAATGCCGCAAAGAGAGAGAGGGAGAAGAAGTTGATGGAAGAGGAGAAGGAGAGGTTCAAGGCCCAGCAGAACCAGGGCCAGGGTGGGTATGGGCGGCAGCAACCTCAAAGCCAAGGTCAAAACCACTACGGGAACAGGGGATCGGGATGGCAGCAAGAGCCTCCTATGAGGCAGTTTGGGACGCCCCAGGGGCGAAACAGCGCCGGACCGAGTAGAACGTTTGGCAGTCGGGATCAGGGCCAACAACGTGACCCTCAAGCGTATGACAAGCCTGTCAACTTTGTGGCTGCTCAGACTGTGGAAGGCAAGGTGGAGAGCGGACGTACGGATGAGGAAGAGGAACAGTTCAGGCGGGCCGCCAAGCAGCGTGATCTGGATATTGCTTTGCGAGACGTGAGTTTTTCCCTCATTGTTGACCGATGACTCAAGTTGACATAAAATCAAGGCCGAAAGGCGTGTCGAGGCCCGTGAACGCTCCCGCCTCACTACTCTCAACAACGAGCTCCAACACCGCCAACAAACAAGCTCTTCCATCTCTTCCCTCGCTTCCCTCCAATCCGCCCTCTATGCCGCGCTCGACGACTTGGACCCATCCAACATCAGACTCCCGCCCAATCTCGGCCCGAGGGATGCGTCATTCTTCAATGACCGCAATGCCTGGCGTGCGCGCAGACAGAGAGTCCGGGCGAATGAGTACCAAGCGGATTTGAGGGATAGACAGGCGGAAGAGGATGAGAGGGTGAGGGCGGACAGGGAGAGTGAAGAGTTCTTGCGGAGACAGATGGCGGAGCTCAAAGAGCTTGAACAGCGTCAGCGTGCTCGAGGTCTTCTTACTGAAGATGCCGCCCCGATCAAGCTCGCCCTTTCTGCCGCTGCCCCTCCCCCACAGCCAAAGGAAGAAAAGAAGCCCGTGCCCCACGCTCGTCCTGGTGTACAGTTTGACGAAGATGAGGATGACAATCCGGCAAAGAAGCGTCGCACATTCGTCAAGTTGGATGATGATAATGCGGCGAACGGGGGCGAGGCAGGGCTGTCGGAGGCGGAGAAGATGGCGAGGAGGATCGCCAAGCTGGTGGAGATCAAGAAGGACGTGCCTAGAGATAGGAGAGGGCTCTGGAGGGTGCCGGTGGAGTGGGCTGCTATCAGTGATGTGAGTCTGTACAATATAATCGTTGAATCGTGTTCTGACACGCAGACACAGCGCCTCAACCAGAACAAGATCAAACCCTTTATCAACGCCAAGATCACAGACTATCTCGGCGAACCAGACGTCGACCTCGTGAATTTCGTTCTGGAGCATTTGCAGGGAAAGAAGGGCCCGGACGAGCTTAGAGATGATTTGGAACCTGTACGTCCCCCTCCCCACCCAAACGAATCTCATCGATCATCTGCTGGCACAAAAGAGCTATAGCGTGTTTGGTTCGAATGAAAAGAAACGAATCGGCTGACATGACTTGCTTTCTAGGTCTTAGCGGAAGACGCCGAGGCATTCGTCATCCTGCTCTGGCGTCAACTTGTTTTTGAGAGCTTTGCCTACAAGGCCGGTACCGAGACTGGCGACATGATGATCTAGAGGGTAATTTCCTCATTGTCCACCGTGAACAGGGATGGATGGGAGGTGAGAGCAATGTCTCCTTTCTCTTGCTTGCTACTGAGGACAATTCCTCTTGCTGTTGCTTTCTTTGCGTGTATAGGTCGATGATGAAATGGATGGGAAGGATGAAGAGAGGAGGAAGGGAACCACCAATAAGGGTATGTCACAATGTCATGCATATCAACCGTAGAAGGTCAACAGATCACGCTTGATCTTTACTCAGCTCAGAGTCGATCAGTCTGCAAGGCAACCTCCATTTCACACGTGAGCAATCCTAGTCATTTGCCTTCGAAAGCGTCGCTGCATATCATCGCCTGTTTCTCATCGTCACAGCTAGAGGCCTTTGTTTATCCATTGCGCTTCTACTAAGACTGCCACGAAGTGAGTACAACGCGATATCGGATAACGTGGGCATCTGGTACAATAACCCAGTATGAATGGCCTTGCTATATATATATATATATATATATAAATATATATATATATATGCATTTCAAAATGACACAACAACTACAAAAGACCCGAAAGAATCTGATTACATACGGTATAGACACTCAAGAATGTGATGGCAAGCCCCGTATAGTGGCTCGACCACGCCTGTGTAAGATGCAAGTGAGCAGAAAGAGAAATTGAAGGAGAAGCTGATTTTATAATATGTACAAGACGTCAATAGGTCGTCATTTTATGTCGTCATCGTGGCACCAAGACTCCCAAAGAAAGAGTCTCATCTAAAGAAGGCAATCACTGCTCTAAACGACGGTGTTTGTGGGTATCGGGTGTGCTGGAGACGGATGTGAGGTGGAGGGCGAAGCCTCGCTGCCGCCAGAGCTGACGACGAAGCCAAGCTTGGTAAAGCATTTCACCAGATCGGCTTTCGTGACAGGCTTCGCGATCACAGCGGAGAATAGGGTACCTTCTTCAGTGATGGATTGATGTTGCTCGTAAGATGTGGCAGCGATAACTAGCGTGCGGGGGTCAGCACGTGAGGAAAGGTAACACAGCTCCTGGACTTACTCGGGGTATCCTGATTTTGGTTGCTAGTCGAGCGGATCATTCGGGCAACTTGCTCTCCATTGACAACAGGCATGTGTATATCACAAACTATGACATCGAACTCTGCCATGATACATTAGTGAACCATGCAGGTGAGAAGGGTAATTATATGCTTACTGATGTTGCCCATTGTTGCCGCCAATGCGCCAGGGCCATCATCGACACAGATACAACGACATCCCATTCGTCTGAGAAGGGTTTCAAGGATCTGGAAAGAGAATCAGCAACATCGCAAGGCTGCACCCCGTGTCACGTACCTTTTGGGAGATAGGGTTGTCCTCCGCAATCAACACATCCAGACCCCGTGTCTCTGCCGGTGTCCTCCTTGCCTCGTCGCTCCCTGCTGGCGCCCCTGTCGCCGACGCTGCAGCCTCCCATTCCTTCCCAGGATTCTCGAGCTGTAATGATGCCTGCCTTCTTTGTCTCCACAATTCTGCACTGGCACTCCCCGCACTTGAGCCCGAGTCCGTCCTGATCCTGTTCTGCTTCACATCTTTCCTCTTTGCCACCTCCAAATCGGCATCAGAAGTCTTCACCCTTTCGAGAGCGTTGAGCTCTGATAATCGGCGAGGATGTTGAGGGCCAGAAGGAATAGTGAGAGGAGGCTGTGGCATGTTGACGCGGGAAGGGGTAGACACCGAGGAAGAGGTGGACGTGGATGGGGAAGGAGGGAAGGGGGCGTCGGCACCATCCGAGGTTTGGCGTCTGGATCTGTCTTTCGCCGATGGTCTCCTCGGCTTGGTCTTGGCTGGCGCCTTGCCCTCGAGAGCCTGGGCTAAGGGTACCATCGAGTCCGTTCTCATCTTCTTGATGACGTCGTCGTTCGCTTGTTTGAGCACTGGCAGATTCTTGTAGTTGAAAGCGCCAAAGTCGTCTTGCTCAGCAATATCACTAATAATAGCGTCCATTTCACCAGTCGTTGATGGGGACGCAAGAGGGACGGTGAGATTGTCACCAACAGCTTGCTTGAAGACTTGAGCTGGGCCATCATCGTCATGGAAGAGGAAAGTAGCCCCGCGGGAGTCAAAGTAGTCTGTAGACTCGGGATCAGTGACCTCAGGAACGAAACTGGGCTCTTCTGTGGCAATGGTATCCCAGTTGATAGTCGCCAAGAAAGGATGCGATTTCACTTCCCCCGCCCCACCAGCTCCCAGACGTCGATGAGGATCGGCACAAAGAAGCTTGTCGATGAGATCTCGCGCCTCAGGAGAGATGTCAATATCTTCTTCGTGCCAGTCGATACGCCTAGAAACCACATTGTCGAACACCTTCTCGGGAGTGTCCGCATGGAAAGGCGGGAATCCGTATAGGAACTCGTAAAGCACCACACCAAGCGCCCACCAGTCCACCGCAGCATCGTCCTGGCCAATCCCCAAAATACTTTCGGGAGCTAGATAGTCGGGTGTGCCGACGAATCTTGCAGGCTCTCGCCCACTGCTAGCAGATGGGGAGTTTACATTGCCAGAAGTGAACTTTGTAGCAGCAGGCATCTGCCTGACATGTTTGGGAATGATGCCCGCAGACTCCGAGCCGCTCGAGTCGTCGGCAGAGCCGATGTCCCGAACAGGTGTAAAGTACGACTGGGTAGCGTTGGTGAGAACCTGAGGCATACCGATGTCGGGCGATGGGGAGAGCATGTTGGAATCGATCGAAGAAGTGTTGGACAGAGTACGACTCATCAATGGTCGCTGACGGCCCGAACCGCGGAGGTTGGGTAGATAGGCTGCCCTGGGACCTCCAACTTGACGATTGAGGAGACCGATTCTCGAGAGACCAAAATCGGTCAACTTCAGGTGACCTCGAGAATCGATCAACAAGTTGTCGGGTTTGATATCGCTACCCAAAGGTCAGCTATGCTCGCGCGCATTCAAACAGCACAAGACTCACCGATGCACTATGTTCCTATCGTGGAGGTACTCGAGACCCAACACCACCTCCGCTATATAGTTCCTCGCCCAGTCTTCGCTCAAACCTCCCAATGTCTTGACCAGAGACGAACAATCGCCTCCATTCAGATACTCCATCACCAGATACAAATAATCCTTCGATTGGAACGAGAAGAACAATTTCGCCACATAAGGCGATCTCGCTTGGTTCATCAGGATGGTCCGTTCGGCCTTGACGTTGGTGATCTGGTTCTTGGCGATCATATCTGACTTTTTCAGGGCCTTGATAGCATAGTAGTCGCCCGTTGTGGATTTCTTTGCCAGATAGACTGACCCAAAGGCACCACGGCTAATGGGTTTGATGATCTCGAAATCCTTGATAGACGTCTGGCCGACGCTGGAACGCAAAGCTGCAGAGGGAATTCGAGGCGACAAGGGAGCATCTCTCAATCCCCTAGACGAGGCAGATACTCGTCGATGGTGTTTATCGTGTGCAAAAGGCACCAGTAGAGGAGAAGATGATATCGAGCTTGGTCTGGCTGATTCGGGCCGCGAAGGTGTACCTTGTCCGGACCTAGACGAGGATCGAGCGCCTTTCACGGGAGATGATCGGTATTCGGCTGAGACCTCGGGGGGATGTCGAGAAGTGTCTGGCATGGGCGCAGGGATACTTGGGGGTGAAGGTTCGCTCGATAGACCAAGAGTCTCGGGTACGGTTGGTGTAGGAGCGACACTCGTTTGGGTCGACTGGTCAGCGTGTGCTGATAGTCGTCGATGGGGGTGACCTTGAGTAATTGGCAACCTCGCTAGAGCAGCAATCTTTCTTGGTCCAGGTGGCGAAACATCAGGCCCATCGCCGTTGCCTGCTGTTGTCGGCTCGTGAGGAGAACCTTCAGACGAGCTTCTTTCGGACCCTGAGCCTGAAACGCTATCCGAGTCGCTACCATCTTCCTGTTCATCCAACATCCTGTTGACCTTGTCCTCCCACTCGTGCCGAGTCTTCTCCGAATACCGGACGGTACTTTGCATCCTTGCGACTGCCTTTTGCTTCCTCTTCAGTTGCTCCTCCACATGGGTGAAAAGGAGATTAAGGGCCGAGTCTGCAGTCTTGGGACGCTGCCATCGCGATATACTGTATAGCTTCGACTCGGCATCTTCTGAAAGATAGTGCTGAGCAGTAGAAGAAAGATCGGCCTCCTCCTCCCTGACGTAGGGTGTTTCGATTTGTCGAGCGGCACAAACGACATTGAGTACGTCTTGAAGATGTTCATGAGCCACCTTTCTCACCTCAACACCCTGGTATTGGGTCGTTGAGACCTCTTCCGTGGCTGCTATAGAGTCGGGCAGAGTGAAGAACAGAACACCTTCGTACTGTGAAGGTTGACTGGGTGCCGAGTTGTCGATTTCGGACTTGAGCTTGACCACTGTCTGGTAAAGTTCATGAAGACAATCGTCGCTCTCGGCGATTTCCGCTTCCAAACGGTGAAGAGCATCGCACGTCTCGTTGTGCTTTTCGAAGAACCAAGTGACGATCTCTCGCTCACAGATTCGGCACAATATGCCTTCGGTGGAAATGTGCCCATCACGAGGAAAGGCTGCGTCTGTGATAGCTTCGACCATGGTTGCAGGTACCGGTTTCAGTACCCACATGGTGTGGGAAGGCTCATTGTTTTCGCGCATCAACATGCCGACGCCCTCAAGCTCGATATACACGGGTCCAATCTGACGTTGCTCGTGTTCTTCCTGCGCGAAATTGTGGACCTCAAATCGGAAGCGAAGCTGAACAGTGTTGTTGTCGTCTTCGACCAGCTTCTGGGTGGCTTCAGAGAACACGGAAGCATCGCCGGGCGCCAACAGATCTGTGATAGGGTGGTCAAGGACCTCTTCCGGTTCCCGGCTGAGTGAGGATTTCGTCAGCTATCGTATGAAAGGCCGTATGTCAAACTCACCCAGTAACTTCCATGATGGCATCATTGACATACTCCACGACCTCGTCATGCAGACTCAACTCCATCACGATGTTCACACTCCTCGCGTGGT